AATGTATGTAATGTATGTAATGTATGTAATGTATGTAATGTATGTATGTAATGTAATGTAATGTAATGTAAAGTAAAGTAATGTAATGTAATGTAATGTAATGTATGTATGTATGTATGTATGTATGTATGTATGTATGTAAATGGATATTATGTACATATGTATATTTATTTACATGTATATTTGTGTATTTGCATGTGTATATGTATATGTATATGTAGATGTATATGTATATGTATATGTTATTTTTTATGTGTATGTATATGTATATGTATATGAAATGGTGGGTGGTTTCTGTTTGTTTTTGGCATGCCTGTTCGGCTGAGAGCATCTTGACCCCAGCAGAGGTCACAGCCCAAACTCCAAAAAAACGACTTTGGCGCGGACTGTTTGAAGCGGGTATGGATCAATACCTACTGTGTAATTATAATATATACATCTAATTAACACATATATATATATATACATGCATTCATCTAGAACATTTAGATGTATTCATATATAGTTTTGTTGCGAGATGAACATCCATTTACCAGCTGCATTTTGTTGAGCATAAAAGGGTTACATGTTTTGACCCATCCCCAAATGCGCATTTTGGTCCTTCTTTTGCGTGCTGACCGAGGCCAAAACTTGGAATTGGCATGAGGCAGATTGCATGTGGATTGTCCCTGGGCTGGATACGGACGGGCACGTTTCCGATGAGTGTTTTGGTAGTCATGGTCAGTAGTATATGGCAGTTTTGGAAGGTTAGTTGGAATCCAAATTAATCCAACAAATCATATTCAGATGGATTTTCCCAAGAGGAGAGAAAATCCAGTCTGCAATCATTTTCGTATGTTGTATGTATGTAGGCTTAACTTATATAATTGATTATACATAGCCATTTTGTAGACATAAAATCATGTTACATAAATATATAGAGATATATGGTTATATGTCATATATATATATAATTATATATATATGTGTGTGTGTGCGTGTTTCATTGCCATAATATGGTGCATACCCCTTTCTGGGCAAACACAGATGTGGGGCGCAGCCTCCCGTTTTTGCCCTTGCTTTCCCTATAGATTATTTGTTTCATTTGAGCCCTTTTGGCCAATGTGGGATGCAAAAATATTCAAGAGCATGCAAAACAAATCATGTGAAACATGTTTGTTGTTTTCTTGACTTGTTGTGGCGTTGACTCGCCCAATCTTTTGGTGCAGATTCACCTGCATAATCGCCATTTTGATCTCTCTCATCTTGTCAGCCTCGGCATGTGTGATTTCCCAAGGCTGCAAATCGCAGAATATCAATCGCTGTACAATTCGCAATCTAAATGTTGCTTTTGCATCAGCACGACCTCATTGCTGTTTGTCGTGGCACATGTTTGACAGTGTCACTTGAATAGGAACAGCTTTGAGGGTGGATGGGACCTGGTTGAGCCTTCAGAACTGACATTGGATTGTTGGTTGGGCCGCCACAAGGTCTGATGGGCCTGCCGAAGTGGCGAAATTTGGTAAATGATGGTAGAAGACAATCAAAAGCATGACAGAACCTTTAATTGCTCACCAGTTGCCGTTTGGGCTATCCCTTCCGAACTGGCATGATATATCATGAAACTGTACTTCTTCCAAAATATGAAGCACAGGGGGCATGCAAATGCCCAATTCATGCAATGCTCGTATAGAAAGGAGCCCCAATCGCGCCTGACAAGCTTGCGTCTTTGGGCCGGGATTTACCCGATTTTGCTTAGATGATCCTAATTGGGTGGTTTAAAACATTTTCATATTCCATTCTCCTGAGGCATGCTGCAGATTTTTGTGATCCCGAAATTTGCTGGAAGTTGAAGCCACCCAACTTAGCTGCCTTCTGAAGCATGAAGATTCGAAGATACTCGCCGCTTTGAATGGCGCGCATTTCAGACCTTTCATTGGGCCATCTTACGGACCCGACTCAGCGTAGTGTGTGTGCTGCCCAGATCCCTTCATGACATGGTGTAAGTAGGTTTTGTATGGTGTAGTGTAGGAACTATTTGTGCGGAAGTTTGTTCATGAACTAAACAAGACTGGGATGACAACGTCTTTGCCCAGCATTCTTCCTTTGCTGCAGTTTCGGGTGGGATCACTGTTGATGTACCACTACAGAGTGCATGTGCCTTCTCAACGTGGACGTGACGTTGCCTTCTCAAAGTGGACGTGACATTATCGAAGTGCGGGATATGGACTTTTGAAAGATGTTTTGGGAGGATAATTGATGGACAATTGTACATATAGTGGAGAAATCGTGGTTTGGTTGAAAGCAATGCGCCCATCATGTTCCCATATCCTGGCACAACTCCGTCCAAGTTCCCTCTGGTTGCAAGCCTGCAAATGCTCAAAGCACAATTTGGAATGCTTAAAGCAATGTGTTTGATGATGAAACGTGATCAAAGCACATGGTTTCCGGCTGGAAACCGTTGCACCTAGAGGATGCTAGTTAATTCATCCCATTTTGATGGTTAAAACTCTGCGCCACTTGAGAAGAGTCCGAACTTTTCAATGGGCGGGCTTTGATCGGCCCGCTCATCCCAGCTGGGACTTTTAGGTCCACTTTTCTTTTGTATAAGTGGATTCCCACGATGGGAATGGTGAACTTGCAAAGGACTCATGCCCAACTCATTTGGTGATTTACATGGTGGCGACATGTTTCTTGAGTAAATCACCAAGTAAAATTCATTTGGTGAATCCAGGATTTGGGGAACCTTCCAATTGGTGAAAGGTTTTGCACCCCAGCTGGATCTTAGTGATACAGTGACCCTTCCTGAAGAATTGACGCGTATGGATGCATACTGCATACTCTCATTGACTACTAGTAGCAATAAAATCATTGATTAAGGGATAAACCATAAACAAATATGAACAAATTATCTAAACATATAAGGCTGAGGGATGAACTATAGTATGAAGAAGTCATCTAAAATCATTTACAGAGATCTAAATGCTGAGGTTCTTTGCTTGTGGCCAACGTATTCTTTTGGATAGTTCTCGGGACCTTGGTCCTCGTTTCGGTTTTGAAGATCGACGATGCCAAGACGTCCAGATTTTCTGCGCGATGGGTGGAGGTAGTGCAACACTCGACCCAGTTGCCGACCTTTTTCACCGCCCTACCCAGCAGCATCCAACTGCCAGCAGCGCACACGTGGACTTGCTACAGAGCCGACATCCACTGAAAGTGTTTTTGGGAGGCGACTGCATGAGAAGGAAGACATAGGTGTGAATTTGTGGGGCCATGGGGTACCCTTATCTTCTTTACTAAGCTTTATTATATGTGTTTTCCCGTGGGAAGAAACTTGAGATATGGTAGCTCAGTGGTTGTTCACCTGCCATAGGGCCGTGGGGGTCCTATGATTTTGCTGGAGTTATAGGTCTAACATCCCAACGGCACAATATTGTTATGCCCCATATTGACGGTTGGGGTGTTAGACCTATAAGACAGAATAGTATAGCGTAGGTTTTAATATCCATAGGTTTAATATCAAATTTTGAAACCCATGCCCATATTGCACTGCATGGTGATGTTCGTGGGGATGCAGGCATCATGGTTTTGTTCCAGTATACAACAAAGTTGGCGCAGCCCAAAGTCGACCGATTTATAGAATCATCTACCCATCGCAAAAACGCATGTGAGCCATGTGGGCAAATAGGCCACCTTATTGATGCTCCGAACCTAATTTGGCATATTTGGCTCGAATTTTCAAGGGCTGAGTCAATCCGTGTCAAGTCACTAGCTTGGTTCAACTTGGATTTCCGCACCATTTCCCAAATGCAGTTGCACAGCCACAGCGCCTCGTGCGGCCAAGCTGTGCCCGGCGTAGGACCTAATTTCAGCATTGCTGTGCCCCTGGGGGTGGTAAACTGACGCCTTGCCGCAGATCGGACAATGAAACTCCTTGGGCACAGCTGCAATTGGGCGTGCATCTTGTGTGTTGACAGCACCATGCGGACGTGGCTGAATTTGAAGCTGTCCCTGACAAGAAGGAACAGCACAAAGCGGGCCTGGGATTTGACCACTGGGAAACAAAGAGGACATCATGATGCACACACTTCACACACCATGAAGATTATCCGTGATTGTATATTTGTTTGGAATGCGGAATGCGATGAAAAAGAACTAGTCGAAGGAAGTTTAGACGTCAAACTTCCGACAATATGGACAGATGGAAAAGCAGAGGTGGGAAGAGTCAGAGAAGAGAAGAAGAGAGAAGATCAGAGATGATCAGAGAATAGAAAGAGTCAGAAGAAAAGAAGATGCAGGTGCGGGACAAGGTAGGAAAGTCGCGAAACACAGTGTTTTTCCAATGATTTGTGGCTCCGGAGGGTCGAAAAGTAGGCTCGCTAAAGCGGCGGGTGCGGAGCCATCTGGGGAGATGAGAGATGAAAGATTGCACGCCGTTGTGGCGCGAAGATGCGCGAAGCACATTTGCAAGTGAAAAAGCTAAAAGCATGCACATTCGGAGCACTTTTGGAAGTTGCGACGTCGAAAAAGTGCATGCCGTTGTGGCGCGAAGCAAATTTTGAAGTCAAAAAAAGTGTTAAAAACTATAAAATATACTGACGGGTTCAGAGCGCTTTTGCAAGTTGAGATGTTGAAAAGTGCACGCCGTTGTGGCGCGAAGATGCGCGAAGCACGTCCAAGTCAAAATGTACAAAACAAAAACACACTACGTTCAGAGCACTTTTGGAAGTTGAGATGTTCAAAAAGTGTACGCCGTTGTGGCGCGAAGCACATTTCCAAAACAAAATTTACAAAACATTTCAGCCTCGGAGCACTTTTGGAAGTTCAGATGTCGAAAAAGTGCACGCTGTTGCGGCACGAAGCGCATTTCGAAGTCGGAACGCTAAAAGCACCACATGTTCGCGCCACTTTTGGAGGTTGAAGCGTCGTTTTGTGTGGCAGGCTCAAGGGATCTGCGCCCTGCCAACAGTGAGCAAAACGTAAGGTTTTGTAGCATATCTAAAACGATGGCAAATGTGGGACATTTGAGGAGGATCTGCAAAGATGGATTTCGCGCGGCAGGCGCAGTACAAGAGACATGTTCATTAGAGATGTCGAGATTCGAGCATCAGACCTTCAGGTTTGCTAAGATGATTTTGCGTGACGGGTGCAGCACTTCGTATGACCCGGCTTCACTTTTTCGTGGCAGGCGCAGTACTTTAAGCAGATGGAATGTGAGAATGGAAAAATCGCAACGCGCATTGGCACGAGGCCATCAGCTCTGCCCTCAACTTTCCAGTTTTGAAGGAAGTCTCCCAGAATTGCTTCGTTTTTGATGTTGTCAATTGTCAATTTGAAAAATTGAGGAAGTCTCGCAGAATAGCTTCGATTTTGACGTTGTGAAGTTCAAAAAATGAGGATGTCTCGCAGAATTGCTGCGCTTCTGATGTTGTCAGGTTCAAAAACTGAGGAAGTCTCGCAGAATAGCTGCGTTTTCAAACTTGTAGATAGATTAGATTAGATTAGACTAAGCTAGGCTAGATTAGATTAGATCAGATAGATAGACAGATAGATAGATAGATAGACACTTGCAACTACAGCTGCAACTAAACTACGCTACCACTACAACTACAAATGCCAACATGCTACGCTGCAGTACACTAATTACACTACATTACACCAATTACACTACACTACGCTAACGCTACACTACACTAGTTACAGTACACTACACTAATTACACTAGAACTATATAACTACAACTACAACTACTACTATTACTACTACAGCTACAGCTACAACGACAACTATGCTACATTACACTGCGCTACGCTAAATACATTACACTACCGTACATTACACTAGAGTACAACTTCAACTAACTACATTAATCTACACTACACTAATTACACTACACTTCACTTCACCAACTACAACTACAGCTACAACTGCAACTGCACTACTGCACTACTTTACGCTACACGTGCGGTACTACTGGTAACTAGTAAGTAACTAGTGGATCTACAGGCATGCATGGGCATCATACCTTTTTTATAAATTTCTGTGCCATATATAGTGTTTTTGGGCTTTCACCCTTTGTGTTTCACGGGTGACTTTTGGACGCCCTAGTGACATTCCAGGCCAGAAGTTTTGTTGGGGGCCCAATGTATTGCAACGATGCATGCTGGCATGCCGAAGTGCTTGTATGAAGAGGACCAGCAGGGAAGGCACGTGATGCAACTATTGTTTTGGGGGCACTGCAACTGAATGATACTGAATGCCCCGAAGTCTCAGCTTTGTTGCGCGCGCGCGACGCGCGGTAATGGACTTCCCTTTTGGGACCTGCCAGTAATGTGTGGTGCTGTGCCAACGAAATGGCTCAGTATCTTTCCAAGACCGCAGAGAGCCGAGTTTGCTGTGGCAGCCAGCCCTGCAAGGTGCAAGAAAAAATATGTCGAACATGGCCGAAGGATGCCGAAGGTTTGTTGCTGATATGAAGTGTGGTGATGACCCAACTAGGATTGTTGATGGTGAAACCTGGGGCTGCCCAACATCAAACCTGTAATCAAACCACAACCTCTTTTGAAAAGACTCAGTTGCTGCAAGTTCAGTCCCTTCGATTAAACATTAAGAACTCATGTAATTTCAGCAATGGTCGATGGCTGGCCAACTTTGATTTATATATGTAATTTATGTAGATGTGCCTGGAGAAAAAACAAGAGGGAATTCGGCTGGTTCGTCATCATTGAAGTTGCTTGATGGTTTCTCGCTAGAGAATTTGTCCAATACAAATTCCCTGAACATGTTTTTCCACCGGCGCAATTGTATGTCAGGGATATAATTTGTACATGCAACATTTAATGATAATATAACATATCTAATGAATGCAAGGACTAATGCAATGACTAATGGTCCGGCCTGGGGCGCCAGGGATGCCCAACTGGAAGAAGAAGTCGGAAGCCTTTCGCCAAGCCATTCAACAGGTGCCCCTTGGAGATCCAGGTGACGCAAAACTCACCCATTTCATGGGGAGATTTCCTGGGAAGGATCAACATGTTATATATATATATATAACTGTAAATAAATAAATATATATATAGGGTACAGGCCTGCAACCCCCCCCCCCCGCGATGGGGATGGTTCCTAGGATTGGGTGTACTACCTCCCTGGAATCCAACTATCATGCAAGGCACCTCTGCTTCCCCGCCCCCCCCCCTGTGGGGTGGGTTGGGTGTAGTATGTATGTACCTACGTAGGTTGGTAGGTATAGGCATGTATGTATGTATGTATGTATGTATGTATGTATCTATGTATGTATGTATGTATGTACGTACGTATTTATGTATGTATGTAATGTCATGTAATGTCATGCAATGTCATGTAATGTCATGTAATGTCATGTAATGTCATGTGATGTCATGTAATGTCATGTAATGTCATGTAATGTCATGTAGTGTCATGTAATGTCATGTAATGTCATTCAATGTAATGTAAGGTAAGGTAAGTTAAGTTATGTATGTATGTATTGTAATGTATTGTAGTGTCATGTCATGTAATGTAATGTCATGTAATGTCATGTAATGTAAGGTAATATAATTTAATGTTATGTATGTATGTATGTACGTATGTATTTATGTATTTATGTGTTCCTAGGATTGGGTGTACTACCTCCCTGGAATCCAACTATCATGCAAGGTACCTCTGCTTCCCCGCCCCCTCCCCCCCCCCCTGTGGGGTGGGTTGGGTGTAGTATGTATGTACCTACGTAGGTTGGTAGGTATAGGCATGTATGTAATGTAATGTCATGTAATGTCATGTAATGTCATGTAATGTCATGTAATGTCATGTATTGTCATGTAATGTCATGTATTGTCATCTAATGTCATCTAATGTCATCTAATGTAATGTAGTCTCATGTAATGTAATCTAAATATTTACATATATATATATGTTTTCATGTGTATATACATATATACATATATACATATATACATATATACATACCCTAAGCAACCAAACCCGTGAAAAATGACGTGTTTGAATATAAACCCGAGGTTGCTCCGTGATCATCCACAAAACCTGGGGTTTTCTTTAGAAACCCTGTGTTTTGGCCAAATCCGTCCGATGAGGCAGATTTCGTCGATTGGAACTTGGCATATCTTGGCTCCAAGGCTTTGCTTGGGGGTGCAAAGCCTAATGTATATATATATATATATAGGAATTATATATATAGGATAGATATCGATGATGGCAAATAGATCAAACAAATATTGAAACCATCAATAGCCTGATGGTACAAACTCGCAATGTGGGATCATGGCACAAGCAACAGCAATGCCAATTTTTCATTTCAATACATCGTGATAGCGAATGGGGATTTGAAGTGCAAACCTTTAATACTCCTTTGTTATACCGGCATGTACCCAAGCCAATTCAAAATGGAGAATCGCCAGCTCCCCAGTTAGAATTACAGTATCCAAAGTATTCAGGGTTCATGTGGTAATTAAGCTACAGTAGTGTAACTCCCAGTCAACTGTTTCACATACACGGCCCGTGCGGCTGCAATGGCTTTTCGCTGCCATCCCTCACGAGCGTCAGGGAACTCAGCTCCTGGAGCAGGGCCCGGAGTGCAACATGAACCCATCTTAAGTTGATCATCATTCTCAGCATTGTTTTATGTTTCTAACCTCCTGTGGGCGCATTACTTTCAGCTTTTGTTTTACTTGTAGCCTTTTGGGCCCAAAGCTCTTCTCCTCAGCTACCACTCCACCATGTCGAAGTCGCCGGCTTTGGATGTGGAAGGAGTTTGGAAAGAATGGGATGCAGATGAGGAGATTAGGGAACTCCTACGTAGTGACAAGCCTGTTTTGCCCAATCCGGTTTCTTGTGACATTTCCAGTTGTGTCAATATGCGGGGTCTTCTGGCACCTTTGTTGTCACGTATGGCCCTACATGAAGATCGTCGATTACCTCCCGTTGACGATTTGAGATCCGAGTTGGAACTTCTGTTCAAAAAAAACAAGCAGGGGTTGGAATTGGAATACCTTGAACTTTCCAAAAAGGCAATGGCAGTGAAAAAACTGTGTGGCCATGTGAAGACCAAGACCCGCCGACGGGAGGTTTCCACCGTCACTGGGTGGCAATGCTTTAGACTGTAAAGAGCTTTATTTGTGGGGTTCGAATTTGGTCGGGTTGCTTTAGACTGTCACAGGGTGGAATTCTCGTGCCCCACAAATCTCTCGTCTGAATTCCACTGTTCTTGTTTGAAACAAAATTAGGTGAGACATTTCCAGAACCTCGTCCTACTTTTGGACCCCATGCTGCAGGCCGGAATTCATTTTAGAGGGTTTACCTCGAACTAGCCTTCACATGTGTTCACAAGTTCTTTGTGTTTCCCTCGCCCACAGGAAGAGGTTGACTCAGTGAACAAGAAGGTTGAGGAACGTTTGAAGAAGAGAGGTCGCAAGGATGTCAGTGTTGGTGGTGTTGATGTTCTTGTTTCGGGTAGCTTGCTAGGGGTCACTTTTTTTAATTTGAATAACTAACGGTAGAAAGTAGGTATATATATTAAAATTCCTGAAAAATAATATCAAAGTTTTCTCAACAGCCACAGGTGCCAACAATCATGAACAACATGGCTTTCCACATGTTTTTCCACATCAGGACACACGAGCTGATGATGAGGATGCCTGGGATGATTCCAGCTCATCAAGTTCAAGTTCGGACACCGAGCAGGAGAACGAACCTGAACCTGCTGAAGCTGCTCCGGTTGTAGAGATCCCCCCTACGGAACCTTTGCCTTTGCCTAGTCCCGCTGTTCCAAAAGAAACCCCACCTACGGAGACTGCAGAGCCCATCCCTTCCGAAAAGACTGGTCAAGGTTCTGGTCTTAGACAAGTTCAACTAATGTTCACGTTTCTATTGATGCACCTTCAAACTTCAGACTTTTAAAAGCCATGCCAATACCATCCACACATGCACACACACACACACACACGCACGCACATCTTAGGTTTTCGAGTTTCGGGTTTCAATTGGTTCCTTTGTTTCCTCCTTCTTGCAGGTGCTGTTGATGATCCACTTGCTCGAAAGCGTGAGGAAATTATGCGGAAGTTGGAACAGTTTCTTGGCCAGGGTATTGGTGGAATTGAAGTTGGCCAGGTCATGGCAACTTTGTTTGATTAGGTTTGCCATTCCATTTGCTGAATGGATGTTTCATAATCATTTTGAAACAGCATTTCAGGATTCGAGAAGCCAAAAAACGTGCAGCCGAAGCAGCTACGCCAAATGTCAAGCCAACCTCACCCTCAGGACTATTTTCAAGTTTCCAAAAATAATTAGTATAATTTCAAAGGTGGTTTCAGTTTCAGCTTTCACTGACTCCATACAGTTCATATGCATTCTATTCTATGATGTGCAGTTATACCAGGAGCATGTGGGGACAATGTGGAGACTCAACCCTTGGTTGATATTCTCGGAGCAGCAGTGCCGCGACCACCTCCGGAACCAACTGCTTCACCAGAGACCACTTCAAATGAGAAACGTGAGAAGTATCAGTCTTTGAAAGGACACGGTGAGAAAACGGAGATCATGCCTGGGTCCAGCCCAGCATCGCCAGGAACATGGATTGACCCTAAGAAGACCCTTAACAAGGCTGATGCGTTCACGGAATCCGAGAATGAGGCGTGGAAAATCACAGAGTTAAGAACCCAACAAATTCCGCAAGTTTCTTGTCCATCATTCTTATTTCGTTTGGTTTCTGATTGTGTTGAGACCTCATTTCTAGTGTCTTGCACTGGGGGGCCGCAAGGCTGAAGATGAAGCTTTTGTTCGAAGGGAAGACCAGCTGAACAACCAGCCTCGTGGGGGGAGAAAAAAAGGGAAAGGAAAAAAAGCAGGCAAAGGTCAGAAGGTCAGAGATGATGAGAACACAAAGAGAAGGAAAATTGCCACCCCACAGAATTCCAAGGAATCGGAACCATTTTGGACAGAGGAGATGGAAAAAGAATGGTTTAAATGGAAGAAGGGGGCAGGTGCTGAGGATGTTGACTATGACGAAACATGGTATGAGGGGGACTGGGTGCAGGACTGGAGCCAGCCATCTGAGGCATGGGACCGCTATGCGACGCTAGACAGTGCTGTGTCCAAACACACTTTGAAGAACCAATCCAAGGAGCCAAGTGAAACACCTTTGGAAAAGACAATTCCTAAGAAAAAGCCAGGAAAGCGTAGTGAGCCTGCCGCTAAGGACACTGCCACAGCGGTCAGCAAGCATGACACTGAACAGGACAAACACCCAAAAAAAAAGAAGGTTGAAGGTGATGATTGTGAGTGCACAACGCCTGAGGACACAAAGGGCCAGGTCAACTCCATAGCCAAATACTTGAGGGTCATCAAGGGAGCTGGATGGAAAGTCAAAGGTAATCAGGACTTGACGGACGACATCAAACGGGAATTTAAAAAGGACTTTCCGACCACAGAAGAGTGCCGTTACAACATCTACTGGAAACTGGCTTCGGTGGGTGTTCATTTGAAAAGTGAAAAGAAGGATTTGGTTACTTACTCAGTGCGTGCTGATGCTGGGCCATATCTTCTTCGGCTTCACTCGTGTTTGAAGGCAGCAAGTTTGTTTGCCACTCGAAATGAATTTCAATGATGTGTTGTCCCAGGAGACCTGCATGAAAGTGCATGACCTATTCCACACATGCTTCCAAACATACCTGGGTGAAGGAATGTTATAGTTTGTGATTTCAAGATTCTGTTCCCCCTTCTCTCTCTCTCTCTGAGGTGAACTACGTCGAAGCCAAATCCCGCCAGCCACGTGACAAGGGGGCCCACTTGAGTGAGGACTCGGACATTCTGACTCTGAAGGATTCCCTGAAGTGTTCAGCTTCAAAAGCTTTGAAGCGTGTTTGCAAATGATTTCTATGTCCCAATAGATTCCAACATTGCCCAATATGTGGCAGTGAGCGTTTCTGAGCAAATTTCTTTGGGTTGTCACAAGTTTTTTTGGAAACTTGGGAATGGGGTCAAAAAGACTCACCTGCCGAAGTGCGGACAAGACTGAACTTGCAGGGCGTTTACCCTGGACACAGCATAGATCTAGTGATCAACATGCACTCGAAATTAGTCCAAACTCCAAATATTAACAACAATACACTATGCTCCCAACTGTCATTTCCATGTGTTGTGCAAAACAATGATCTTCGATGTGCTGTGCTCAGGCTACCCCTTAGAAGTCTATGGGTTTAGAACAGCTCAGCATCGTGAAATTACAGTCCCAAGATTAGAGGATGGTTGTTGTGATTGATCTTTACTTTCTCCATGTTTCTCATTTGGATTGTGACTTAAATCGATGCTACGCTGCTACATATCTGGAGGTACTCACACAAGTACAGTAGACCAGAGCTCGATTGCGGGGAGTCGAAAACGTGATTGTGGATCGCATCATACCTTACCAACATCGAATTCTGAGGAATCCTTTTAGAAGTCAAATTTGTGGATGTCAGCCCCTTCTCAATTTATCCCGGCCACCCTGCATGGTTTCAAAACCCCTGGCTCCTGCAACCTAAGGCCATGAGGAAGCGATATCGTCGAGGCGACCTGTGGACGATACGGTCATGCCACACGAGGAAACGGCAAAGTGCCCCCTGCTGGGTTTGATCTTTGGGCCAAACCACCAAACACCTTGAACATATGAAGAAGTAGACTATAGATCAATTATGATCTGCGTAATACATACACATCGATCGATCTATTGACTGGTAAAAGAGAAACTTGTGGTGAAAGCATCAAATTGGATCAAAGCCATATCGTAGTCCATTCCATTGGGTGAGTTTCGGCTCATGTTTCTCAAACTGAGGGGTTGCTATCATTGACACACTGACACAAGGTATGCAGCCTGCAGTCAAGATAGTAGATGTAGAGGTAGGTTTCAAACGGAGAATGTTATATAGTATTGGAAAGGTGTACAGCTGTTTCCATGTTTCACTATTACAAGATGGTGATATATTCATACTTCGCACTGTCCATTGACCTGTGCCATTTTGCTTTGGGACCATGCTCGACATCAACGCACTGGTGTGGAGACTTCGTCAGCTGAACTGCCCTCAGGACTGTGAAGTCAAGACTGGGTGGGAAATTGGATTGGTAGAAAACTGTCCCAGTTTTCCCTGTTCATCTTATATGAAATGCTATCAACAAACGGGTCATATATAGCAATGCCCCTTGAAAGAGTGGTTGGAGTTGGATATCTCAATCTTGGAATGCCCCAAAATGCTTTTAAAAATTGAGTGGCATTATACTTTGGGGCATTCTCGAAGAATACCCATTTAGTGTCAATATGATCAAAAGCTTCATGCTAATGTTGGACGAACTATCTGGGCCTCTATGTGTTCTTCCAAACCGATGTGGTCTCATCATACTCATCATCCCTCCACAAACTGGGTGATAACATGCCTCGCTTGGTGCTGCAGGACTTTGTGGCTTGCGTCCTGCTCATCTTCTGGACATACACGCTGACACAGGTTTGGGTGAGATGGAGTTGGGTTGAATTGTGGGCTCCGGAATGTCATAGTTATAGTTCACACGTATAGTTCAAGATTGCAAAATTCCTGGTTCTTTCAAGGTTCGCATCTGATTATAGTTCTACTGATTCCTCAGCAACTCTACCCCCAGTTCTAGATGGTGTTGTCTTAATTTGCATTTCTCTGCTTACCATACCTGTTCTCCTGGCATTGCTTTTATGTATCCCATCGCTTCCTGGGAGGACTTTGAATACTATGAGTTCTACGCAGGAGTCGGAAACCTTTGCCGACAGGCACGAGCTTGTGGGTATAAGGCCCTTCGTTTCGACATTTTGGACAATGTCAAACCTTATGACCGCAAGACCAACTTCATGGATATCAATTCTCCTTCGGGATTTGCGTTCCTTGTTGGGATATGTATCCATATCGAATTTGATTTGATTTTTGCTGAGCTAGGATCTTTTACTTACAGTAGGGTCCACATATATAGAAATCTGAGGTACCAAACTTATGCACACGTAGTTGTAGTTTAGTTGCCTATGAGTGCAAAAGCAAAGACTGGTGATAGCAAAAAAATCACTTATAGGGGTCTGTGATCCAGAAACGGTTTCAAACACAACCTTTCCAAATCAATCCAATTTCTAAGGTTGGCTGTGATATCCCTACTCCGAGCTCGAGCTCGTGATTTCTCAGCTCATTTTGCGCTGAAGTGCGCTTCCTTCTGTAAGATGAATGTGGGCACATCAAAACGGTCACCCTGTTCAAGCACTGGTTTTACTGACTACAAGTCGGTTTCTGATTCCAACAGGATGGCAGAAAGGAGACTGTTGCAAACGTGTTCTTGCTTAGCCTGCAATATTCTACGGTATAATTTGTTTTTGGCTAGGGGAACTTGTTCGTTACAGCCCCATTCACGAAACACCATTGGCTTCCCCCATTTCCCTTGAAGGACTTGTTCGTTACAGCCCCATTCACGAAACACCATTGGCGTCCCCCATTTCCCTTGAAGGACGTGCCTGCTCATTCTTCTCTGCACAGCGCTTGAGGGAGCCTGGACGCTGGAGCAGCCGGATGGGTCGGTTCTGGAATTTCTTCCAGCTTTCAGAACGATGTTGCAAAGCATTTTTGCTTGTGGTGGGGTCCATGCTGTACCCTGCTTCATTTATAGTCAGAACTTTGGTTTTGACGACTCCCGCAACATATGTAGGGTTATGAATAGGATCAAAGGTTTGTGAAGTTTGTGGTGTATGTTATATGGTTTTCAAGTGGATCTATCCTATAAATTATAGAGTGTATATATCACTCATATATATGCTTCCTTATCTGAGGGTCTTATTCTATCCCATCAAAAGTTGCCAGCAAAATAAAATTGGTTTTGCCAGCCATGAAGATACGAATTAAGTTCTGCCAGCCGCCAGCAGCCCCAAGGTAGCAAAGGTCAAGTGGTGGATGCAGCACTACCAAGGTCCAACACCAAAGCGCCACTATGGGTACAGCAACTCAAGGGCGGTATTGACCCTGGATAAGGGGAAACTCAAAAAACATCAGAGAAAACCCAAGGACCAACGAATCCGGACAGCTGATGTTTACAAAGATGGGAATGGTGTCAAAAGATACAAGGGAAATGCAAACCTTCGTCCTACTCAGATCCTTGTATGCATTCGGAATGTGTTTGGTTGAAGTTATCTCTGGTTATGTGGCCATCTTGGGAATGACGTATGATACATTGATCATCTAGTCTGCGATGCAGGTACCAACCCTTCCAATAATAGATTCATTTCCACAAGCCTCAAGCCCGAGGATTTACCCAATGCCATTCGCACGGCACGTCATCGATAGCCTGGAGTCCATGAAAGCCACCTGCAAGGGAGCTCCTGCATTGCCCAGTGAAGTGCCGGATGCCAGGGACAGTTTCACCCAATGGCCGGTTGTCAATTCTGAGGATTGGCAATTTAGTGCAATGGCAGAAGTCTTTCAATATCTGCGGGGGAACCGCCATTTAGATATCCCCCAGCAGTGGCGTGGGATTATCCCGGACCGTCTTGGGTAGACCAGATTTCAAACCAACATGGTTCAATATGGTTCAGCCCTTATTTTTCAGATTACTTTATTCCACTGAACCCAAAGTTTCCCAAAATCAACAAATAAATGTATGATTTTTTGGGTCAAGTATCAGCATTTTTCTGATTCAAGTGGGTTTCAACTTCGGAAAAGACGGGTCGGAGTTACGAACGTCTAGCAACCCGTGATTTACCCGTGATCAACCCGTGATATTTGTCAAATACCTCGGGTTCATAAAATAAAACCCTATGTTTTGAGAACAAACCTCGGGTTTCCCCAACCCGTGATCAACCCGTGATTTACCCGTGTGTACCCGTGTTTTAAAACATGGGTTTGGGCCCTCTAGACTAACCCAGAATTGAACAACTATTTTAATGGATTTTGCTTATTTTTGAAGCTTTGGGATAGCCCAAGACAGGTGAAATTCGATAGCATTGCCAAATTCAAGTGGATGTGTTGAATGTATACACGTCTAGATTTGAGGCCCGAGGGGATTTGAAACATGGAGACATATTGCTGAGCTTCACGTTTGAAAATTTAGATTTTGAAGGCACAATCAGGACTGTGATGATATGTTGAACTCTCTTTTTTGTGATACCACATTGCAACTTTGTACCGAAGCCATCTCGTAGGCAGGGTTTCTAGATTGGTTCCAGACATGTTGGAGCCTGGAGACTCCCGGGGGAAAGTCTCTCACTTATGGAGTTGCACTACGTTAGGGGATGGCCTGAAACACGTGGATGCCGAAGTGGCTTTGGGTGCCGGGACTTGTGAGTCTGATGATGAAGCCGAGCTTCTTGCGCAGCTGAAGGAGCTCTAGTTTTACAGTTGTTGCAATCAGGATCCCACTCCAACAAAAAACTTATAAGGACTGTACTTATACCAACAGTTTTCAACCTATCATATTTTCAATATATAAATGCAAACCACATCTTGGAAGTCGTGTGAAAGACGACTGATATGTCTTTGCACAGTGGCGCCCCCCTTTCAGGAAGTCGATGATGAGATAGAATCGACTCGACGTGCTTCACAGGTCATATCCCCAACACTCCAACATTTTTTGATAGTCAAAATTGACTTTTAAATTGTGAATCGCACAACTCCAGCCAGTGTTTCCACCTTCCCCGGCTGCCGGCTCCTGAGGTGGAGGTGCCTGAAGAGACACCGGAAACAATCCCGGTACGCCCCGACACGATAATTCCATGTGTCAATGTTCCATAGTCAATGATCATTGTGTTGAGTATTGTTCATTGCGTCATGCACTATGGTTCATGTCTAGGCGACCAGTGATGAACTTGAAGAAGCAGCAAAGAAAGCAAAAAATGCTCATGAGAAATCCGTTCTTGGGCTGCATTCAACAATATGTCTATGACACCATGATGACACTGTTCATGAAATCGATCATGGGCGTTAGGGGTATTGTTTCCTATTGTTTCCTGTTTGATCCATATCTTTTGATGGGGTACTATCATACACATTCTCGAGATTGTCATCCCTTAGGACCGTGGTGATCAACAACTTCCAGAAGCTGACAATAAAGAGTCTGCTCCCCCATCACCACCTGCCAGGGTTACGACTCCAAGTGGGAGAAAGATACCCCTGGGTATGACCCTTCGTCAGGTCCTGGGTTATGAAAACCATAGCTCTTATCGATGAGTTAATGTGGAAACATATAGGAACAATATTTATAAATTGGCATGTAAAGGGGGGATACGCTTCTATTCTGTTGATGTGGCCCTATGAGACATATAGTTTAAGCTATATATCTCGTGCAACAACCCTAGTAGATCTTGATCATATTTTCCATGTCCACTTGGTTCCCATCGCCCTGCAGTTCAACCTGCGTCGGGCGGCCAAAGCTCGCATTGCTCGGATGGTGGCACCTAAGACGAAGCGTAAAGAACTGAATTCCCCGGAATATGTGAAATCGGAGTGGAAAGATGGTGACCGGGATGCAATGGCAGAGCTACTCACGATGTTGAATTTTGACAAGGAGAGGATTCAGAAACCAATCAAGTTTGATCCATCTTATCAACGCTTATGTTTACTCCCATCAAATGGCACGGGGTTGTAGAGTAGTGGTTTCCCCAAAAAACCAAACGTAGGAGAGTTTCTTCAACGAGATCTTGGTTATCGTGAAGAAAAAAAGTCCTACACTGTGGTGATTGATGAGGGATGGCACAGCGAAAGTGAACTCAAGGAGTTAGGCTGGAGTGCGTCCTAGTCTCAGAATACATTAGTACATTGCAGATCGATATTTGATTTGTCACAGATTTGTAAATATGGTAGCTGCATACGACTTACACTCTTATAACTCTGGAATTCATCTCATTGCAAAACAAGGGCGAAGATTCAAGGGGCGAAATCGAGATGTATGGCCCTGGGTGACAGTCACACAAGGCCAACCTATCAATCACAATGTTGCACATGCACAACGATCCCTTAATGTTCACCTTGTCCTATTTCCCTTTGCTTTACCTGTGAAGGCGAAACGCGTACGATGGAGAACTTGAATTCTTTGTGGTTTTGAGTGAAAAAGCCAAGAGAACAGAGGAAAGCTCATATGAAGAAGAACATAGGAAGCGACAGAAGGCCTGTAAGATGTTTTGTTTCTACAACGACTGGGATGTGTGATTCTCTCAAGTTCCCGTCATGTTTACATGATAGTTATGTCTTTTCAACACTCGCCACTGGAGGTTGATCACGACCCCAGTTCCGATCTTGGCACAAACTTCAGTGCACTGGATGCTCGGGCAACGAGGGAAGCTGAAGAAAAGAAAAAACAGGTTGAAACACCACAGGTGACCAAGTACCTGCAGGACAGACTTTTAAAACAACTTCCTGATACGCCGTTTGATTGTATGTTGCTAAGTTCAAAGTTCAAACCTGGAGACATCATAAACTTCTGATGACGTTGTGCTAGACGAAAGAAACTTTGAAGAAGTTTCTCACTTCCATGATGAGCAAAGCCGGAAAACTTCGCCATTTGGTCCGTGACCTGAAGAAGAGCTACTGTGATTCCGCTACAGCAACGTACCTTGACCATCAACAGTGGTAATACTCTACATTACCCAGGGGTTCTTCACCTTTCAACACTGCAAGCCATCCCGGTCCAGACTCCAACCTCAGTGCTGGCTAGTGGCCCATGTAGCTCTCTTGCTTTTCCCAGGTGCCTGAAGACCTTGGAGACGCACATCGCTGATGTGGACAAGCACTATGATCGCTGCAATGAATCGTGGGCCACAGGGGAGGTTGAGGATTTTGGTACTGAAGAGTACCTGGGATGATTGAAATAATACATCAATGCATTGCAAATTCCAAACCATATTTTGTCTTATGATTTCTTCTTCCAGGGCTGGTCATATAATACTATACTTCCATCCCAGGTGGTACAAACAGGCCGAGCAGCGCATGAAAGATGCCACGTTTGTGTCCCTTACTTAGTTACTATGGATTCCGTTTACAAATTGGATATGATGTGAACACTACTCATGTTCTAATTAGTAATGACCAGGGATGTAACTCTCTCATGCTTCAGGTGTGCCAAGGCCACGGCATATGAAACCAAGATCAGGACTATTTTTTGAAGTGTTACTTCTGGTGTTGTTTCCTGGTAGGATGGATTCGATCTCTTAAATCGCTCATGTTGCAGGAACGCAAAGAAGTACTATGAGAAGAAGGGCCCAGCTGAGCAAGATGATGGGATGGACCATGAGTTGCCCAAGAAAAAAAAGGAATCTGAAAAGAATCCCAAGAAAAACAAAAAGGACAAAAAGTCCAAGAAAGACAAGTAGTCTTTTGGGGTAAAACCTTGTGGCTACTACAGCGCACTTCTCACTTAGAAGCTTTGCAGCCCAGTCCAAACTTTCTGGAACCATTTGAACATCTGGTAGGATTATGTAGGATTGAAGTTCAAAACATGCTACCCCATCAAAAACATATAGACGATGTTGTCAATAAATTGTCTTTTGCAAGGCTCAGTGTGCGTGGCGCTGGATTTTGCCAGCACATCTACTTTCGGCGACAATGCTTTGACATTGTTAGCAACGAACTTGAGACCAGCTTCAGGAAAAAAAATTGGTTCCAATGTGGGTCTTGTCTTGGAATATCACGGCAAGGTTTGGAAACCCCACAAGTAACTACAACTAAATGCACACACTACAGATGAAACTTTCAAGTGATTTCAAGTGGTTTTCACTACTGCATGCATCTTCGAGGTGATCCCGTTTTTTTGGGTGCATGATTTGGAAATATCTGGAAACCATTCCGACTCACATCTATGAATATTTGAATTTATATAATAGTGATTTCTAGATTTTAGATACTGATGTTTACCCTGGGCGATTTTGGGATCCACCGTTTTGGACTTGGACAACTGGAACATTAAACGTTATCAACTCAGCCACCATCACCGCCTGCCAGGTACCAAGAGACCCGGCCAGACCATCCGAGGCATGAGTGCCCAGATTTCAGAAGGAGCCATGGCCTCAGCCAACAGGTGAACTTCCAAGGAGCTGGACTGAAAATTTCATTTTAGAACCATATCTGTTCGTGGCTCATTTTCCTGTCAAGAACTTGAATTCGATATCGAAACTGTACAGATGATAGATGTCACCTTTTTAATTTCCATATATTTCCATGTATATGCATGAACGACTCGAATGGCGAATCTCCTGAAGATGAGTTGCTGGATCTATTTACATGTCACCGTTCTGACCCTTGAACCTACTTTAGTAAACAAATTTGTTTTATTTCCCCTAAAATCACATGGACTAATGTCGTCACATAAGAACCCCAAATATGTTGAGTATATGTTGGGATATTTTTCAAACATATGTAAAGACAGACAACAAGGACAACGAATACCCTTTTCCCTGGACACAAACACAGCGCAATTTGCCAATTTCAGCTAGATTATCACCTTGCTCTTCTTCATCATCGAAACCGATAGGGGATCCTCCGAAAACAGTTGAACCACGACCGTTGGAACGCAAAAGGAAATTTGATTCAAATTTAGATGTGTCATCACCACGATTGCGAGCCCTTTCTGCTGAGTGTGGGGCATTGGGATGCATTTCTTTGAAACTTTGTGACCTGAACGCTGTTGCTGGTGTGGTTCATCGCCATGCAGTTGAAGTCTTGGAAAATCTTTTCCGACAACAAGAACCATTGATATTCAAAATCGGTTTCACCCATTCCCCAATTTGGAGGTGGTCGAACAAAACCTATGGGTACGAAATGGCCAGGGAAAAGTGGTCGAACATGCTTATTTTCTATTACTCCAGAGAACCCTACAGCCCTGCGATGCTGGAAGCAAGTCTAATTGAAAAATATGGAAGTGCCTGTGATGCAGTCAAACTATGGAGAAACGGATGTTCCGTGATGTTTCTAAATGTGCTTTAACCCCCAAATGGTTTTGCATATAATGGGTTTTCATGTTTCACTCTTCTTACCAATCAAGGCAGACGTGGATGTAAAAACATCAGAGCTGGTGGTGACACTGTGCATGAAGAACTGGCCGATGACAGCAGCCGATATTGTACTTACGTTGTGTACAGAAGTTTCCGACACCCTCCTCCTGTCCCTCCTATAAAGGCAACCATTCGCTCTAGTGCAACTGCGAGTGTTTCACGTTGATGCCGCAGAAAACCACACGGCAAAAGTCCAGGATTTGGGAAACCAATGTGCAGCGGTGGCGGTTGCAACCATATCATATATCATATATCCCGATCATATTGCACGAACATATCCCTCAGTAACTGTTAATAGATTATATCATAACATATCATATTGTACCTAGATACCATATATAAACATTATATTTGTGGAGGTGAAATACACCTAAAGAATCACCAGTTTTGTGTTTGCAAGCTGACAGCCCCATTCATTCAACATACGTGTGCATGATTCTACCCTCTGCGTTTGCTGAGGCGTCTTGCGCTGGAGTGATCAGAATGGCCCGGGACGTCGTGTCTGATTTTGGGGAAGCAGCGGTGAGTGCCCAGTCAGAAGGACTTCTTCAGCTTTCAAAGAGAAGTACCAACCAAGGGGAAAGAGACTGCCAAAGGTTGCTGGCAAAACAAATGAAATTGACATTGCCAATCCCTAAGACTTTTTTGGATACCAAAGACAAGTCTTTGAAGATTCCTTTTTTGCGTGCCCGTGATTGGCTGATGTTTTTTCTTCAGAACAACTGCCTTCACATTCTCTGCGGCTTGCTGAAGCCGGACCACAAAAGGCAGGGCGACATTTGGGAAGCCTGGTGGAGAAACTTTGAGGTGCACAACCCCCACCATCCTGCCTTCACTCGATCACGCTCTGGCGAGATTAACTTGAGGCAGACAATCCCAATAGTCGTCCATGGTGACGAGGGACGGTCAAAAAAGAACTCACCGTTTTTGGTGCTTAGCTTCCACAGTTTGCTGGGTCGTGGTATTGAGACGGAGTTGCATGGGCCAAATCCGAGGAAACGAAAGTATGTCAAGATGCTGTGCAATTTTGTTGGTCACAGCTATACCAACAGGTATTTGCTTTCAGCTTTGCCAAAAGAGGACTACACCAACAAGAACAGCTTTGCTTTTGAAATCCTCATGAAGACCCTTGTTGATGAGCTCACCCATCTCGCGGAAGCTGGAGTTTCCCATGATGGTTCCCAGTACCATGTCTACTGTGTTGGGATGGCTGGTGACTGGCCATGGCTGGTGAAGTCAGGTAGCCTCCAAAGGAGCTTTTGGAATGTGGCTAAGCACCCTGGCCAAGCAAACCGTGTAGAGGGAAAAGGTATTTGCCATCTTTGCATGGCTGGCAAAAGAGCATTCCCGTACGAGGAGCTGGGCACTCGGAAACCGGCATGGTTGGCTTCAGTTCTGACACAGCCACCTTTCGATGAAGCAAACCATCCATTCAATTTCCATGTGGTGCCGCATGTGGCAGGTCAGCTGCCAACTTTGTGGAAGTTTGACATATTCCACACTGTTCATTTAGGAATTGGGAAAAATTACCTTGGAAGCATGCTGGCTCTTTTGTCTCAGCAGGAAGCTGGGGGCAATGTCGATACACGATTCGAACTCCTCTCTGCCAAGTATCGTTCTTGGTGTTCTTCGAACCACCGCCTTCCACACTGCAAAAGAATCACAAAAGAGCATGTGAACTGGGTGTCGACGACTTGCTACCCGACAGGTAGCTGGCACAAGGGCGACTTGACAACAAGTCTACTGCTTTTTTGTGAGGCAATGTATCAGAGCGAAGCCTGGGAAGATGAGACACTTCGTCTGGCTGGACAAGCTGCAGAAGCATTGAACAGTTTTTTGCGCCTACTCTACCATGCTGAAGCTTGGTTGTCCAAAGATGAAGGATTTGAGGCTGCACAGCTGGGATTGCGGTTTTTGAGGCGGTATTCATGCTTGGCTAAGTTGGCCTACTCTCAGGGCCAAAAGCTCTGGTTAGTGATGCCAAAGGCACACTGCTTTCACCACATATGTTTGGAATTGCTAGAGCAAAGCAAGGTTGGAGTTTGCATAAATCCGCTGTGCTTTTCAGTACAGCAAGATGAAGACTTCATCGGCCGTGGCGCACGGCTGTCGCGACATGTTAGCAGTGTTCACTGTTCTGAGAGAACGGTTGACCGCTATTTGGTGGCATCATATTTCAAATTCGTTGAAAGTGGTTACTTGGTAGTGGCTAAGGGATGATGATAATCAACAAATAGAAATATATTACAATATATTTAGGCAACCGCCACCGCACTTTGGTTTCTTTTATTCAAATTTGGGATCAACAGATTAACACTTAAAACACCTGCGCCCAAGCTTCAGTCCGCTTAGCGCCAAGCCACTTCAGACAAAGTTCGCTGCGTTCTTGGGGACCAAAATGACTTGAGGCGTGAGTCGGCTAGGATGGGATACATGGTGGTTTTTACATGTTTTTACAAACCCTGGTTTTGTTGTGCAAACCCTGTGTTTCAAGTCACACCTGGCTTTTTTTGCGTGTATGGTAGGTGAAGGTATATACATATATACATATATACATTTATACATTTATACATTTATACATTTATACATTTATACATTTATACATTTATATATTTATACATATATACATATATACATATATATATATATACATATATACAAAAATACATATATACATATATGGGGGCGGTTGCCGGCCGCCGGCCGGGACCATATATAAGTATATAGAGGTATATATAACTTTTATAACTACAATTAAATATAAATAAATATAATTATAACATGCCATGAATGGGATAGAACTTGATAGAACTATCAATGAACTATGAATCAAGGGATTTGTGATAAAACATGCCAATTTCAGGCCACATTGAGAGTTTTAATGGGAGAACCAAGGTTTTGAACAATGATTCAGTGGGACGAATAGCCTATGTTCAGACAAACCGGCTTAGGGGCGTCAGGGGTTGGCCTGCTGGCCATGTCCGACATGCAGTATTTGCTGGTATTTTACCCTCAGGATTCGGACAAATCGATTGTTTTTCTGTTTATAGCTGGTTAACATCAGCCCTAACAAAAACTGCGGTTGTTGGTGATTAGTAAACCCTGAAGTAAGTTCGAACCCCAACATTATTGGTGGTGGTTAATGGTTAAATCCCTCCCAGGCAAGAATGGTGGATCAATACGTGAAGGCTCGGAGGGGGGATCATACTGGGGCCCGGGGGCCCGGGGAAAGACGGAGTTATTTTTGGACCGTACCAAGATGAGATGGATTAAGAGCACAGACCAGTCTTAGATGTTTGCATAGTTCAATAGTTTTTGGTAGGGTTTTGATGTGATTGACTTCGATATTAGTCATCACAGATCATATTATAATTATATAGATCATTTTGATAGATTATCCTTTGAGAATTTGTCACAATTTGCTATGGGAAATCACCACGTTTATCATTATTTTCAGGTCGGTAAATCATGTCTCAATAAATGGGCAATCTATACCAGTTCACAATATACATAAGAAATGGTATATCAAACATATTGCTAAAACCACCAGTAGGTAATCAATGATGTATGTGCCGTTTTGTTTATGTGGATCCAGTAGGTGCCACATCAAGCAAAGCAACAGATCCATGGTAAATGGTATCAATGGTAAAAGGCAATGCCTTTTTCCATTTGGCTATGAGGCTAAATCTACTTGCCCATTAGATGGGAAGGTCAACATGGCAAGAAACCCAGTCATGTTTACGGCCTTGAAATTTTCTCTCAAAATCTCAATGCCTTTCCGATGATGGGCAGTTTCCTCTTCAGCGTATTTGCCATATCCCCCAGTTTTGGACAGTTGTGAAATATGGTGAACTACGCTGAAAAATACCGGTTTTATGCCGCGGGCCTGGTGGGCCATGGCGTGCCATCTCCAGGATGGCAAGCCGCTTTCATCTTTACCAGCTCCTCCCACGGATCCAGCCTTGGATGTTGGGACACTCAGGTGGAGATCCAGCAATAGGATCCACATGGATCCACCATCCTCAAATTACCATACATACAGATACATATATATATATAGTATATTATATATATATATATATAGAGCATGAACATATGCTTGGTTTGTGACATTGCTTGACTCACATTATTCAATCTGGCTGGTGGTTTCAGAATGTTAGGGATTTTGGGGACTCATATTTTTTAGATGGGTCAAAAGCAACCAGAAATTGGGACCAAAAAAGGAGCCACTAAGAGTTTCCCGAAGTGAGGGATGGGATGCTAGACTTGCTTACGTTATTTCATCATGATGTACACAAATGATATTGACAACAGAAGGATGTTTCACTGTTTCACTAGTTACAATTGGCAATCAAGACTTGTTCTTGATTTCGGTTGCGGGAGGGCAATCACAGGTTTCCACGCTGTTCTGCTATGATCTGTTCACACGTACTTTAAAACTGGCATTGGATCCAAACAAAGACGTGTAACATGGCTTTGGAACATGTTTTGTAGTCTTGAAGATGGCAAACTCATTGGCCTGGTTTGATTTAAAATCTCTGGAAGTGTACAGGATGGGGCCAGCACGATAGCTAAGTTGCCTTATAAGTGGCTTAACCATGGTTTCTTCGTTAGATATAACGAACTAGTTCATGTCCTGTATGTAATATCACCCTTTACTTTAATCAAGAACGGTCCGAAGCAACCGTGCGGCGCGCTGGGTCAAGGATCGGGTGGCTTGCCCTCACTGTGGACGTCGCTTTGGTCAGCAGCAAGCTGCAGGGGGGCCCAGGTCGTGGGTAGCACCAGCCAGGTGGGGCCAGGTGCCCCAAAGGGCTTCCAAGGAGGTCCCCAAGTCCCCATCATCCCCCATCGAAAATTGAAATGTTTGGTGTTCCTGACTTTTTTTGACCAAAAGTTGGGACATAACATCATTTGACCACCAAAGTTTGGATCAAGTTGGGATTGAAGGGGCTACAGATGGATGTTTAGCAGACAAGTGTTCAGAGTCGCAAAACATGGATCATGGACATCCATCCGCTAATGTTTTTGAGGTGGATTCAACCCTCCACTGAGTTCTATTTTCTTGGGTATTTCTCATCTCAGGCAAAGTTCGCTTTTCAAAGGCCAGGTGATATTCAAACATATAAAATCAGGATTTGCAAGAAAACCATTAGCAGTTCTACAGTTTCAGTCTCAGAAACCAGGGGGAGACCCCCATCCGACTCATCCTTGCGATTTCCCCGGCAGGATCGTCACATTCCCTTCTGCGCAAGCCGAAGCGCAAAGCAGCGGAACCACAGCAGGAGGCTAGAGGCTTAGAGGGACACACATGTCTTACATACATCCTGCAGCTGTGACATTGTAGAATTAAAATGATTATATAAACTGTATACATCTCATACATACATTGTTGCACATAACATGGTATGTATGCATTTATATCTTCACACAATATATGCATGTGAAAGTGTATGTAGTGCACTGGATGTCTTCAGAAAAGATTCGCAGGCAGTATTTTCAGCTATCCAACACTGGTGTGGGTCATTTGCTGCCAGGTAGTACCAGCTGAGAGAGGCCTGGGCTTCCAGAGTTTTTTTTTGTTTTTGTGGAGACCCTGAAGTTGCTATGGTTCAGAGGCAGCAACGCAAACGAAGTTCGAAAGAAATCACTGGATAAAGATTTTGTTTGACAAACTTTCGAGATGGGTGAGAGAGAGAGAGATGCACGCATAACACAAATATTATACAAGTATACAACATACTATTATATATATATTACAGGTATGTACATTATACATATACGTATGTATATATATATATATACATATGCAGCACGTACTCGTGCGTAGGCACATTTCAGGACCTGTTTGATGATCTATTTTCATCAACTGGCCCTCCAGGCCTGCACTTTTGGGCCGTGAGCCCATGATGTTTCACCTCGGCAGCGTGGCCCTATTGGTGGTTGACAGCCCCTGAACATCCACCGGATGTTCCTGATGTTTAGGGATGTCCAAACCTGCATTCCCATATTGTTTTTGGATAAACATCCATTTAGCACCTATTTTTGATGTTCAACAGGGTACCATGGTTTTGACCCATAGCCATACGTGCTTTGCTTGTTTTCTGCTACTCCTGTGATGTGCTCTGGGCAACCACTGAGAATGTCAGAATCCAATGCACGCTTGACATCTTAGCATAGATCTCCTGCTCGGATCTCCCGCTCGTTGGACATGGTCGGCCTGGATTGTTGGTTTTATGCTACTTTAAGTGGTGAGATATTGCAGTTGGCTACCCCAAGAACGTGTGGGACTTGGCACTTGAGGCAACCAATTTTAGTAATTACAGAACTGATCATAGCACGGGCCGCCTACAGTACGTTCTACGTCGATAATTAAGTGTATAGCAACCCCCCCAAAGACAGAAACAGTAAAAAAAACATCCTAAAATGGTAGTAAGCGACTCCTCTTTATTGGGGCTACTATGAAAGTATTGTTGTTACGTTTCTTCAATTGCTGGTAAACATGACCCGCCCAGAAGGTCGTAACCAATCCAGTGCGGAACCCGCGGAACCTCCCACCGGTGGGACCTCGGCTTTGGAAAAATGATGCCACAGATGGATGTAGCCTGTGGTAACCTGTTTTTGTTCTATCGTTGGCGTTCACGCTTCTATCGTTTCTGTGCAGAATCAAGGTGCAGCAGCAGCGTCTCCCAAAGGCCTTTGCGTAGGTAGCCTAATCCTAAATTGTTATGATTCAGTTGGATTTATTTTGCAGGTACCTGTGCGCCTGAATGCACCAACTAAAAACACATTGTGAATTTTGCATTGTTTTGTAATATTTTACTACTACTACTACTACTACTACTATTATGTGTTTTTTTATTTGAGCATGCAGCATATTTGATTTTGATTGATTTTGCGTTTGGGAAGGCCTTTAGGAGGTCAGCGGGAACAGTGAGTTCCCGTGTTCCTATGGACCCTTCGCAGTTTGTGAATCAAACTGGCGCACAGACTTGGCAGCCTCAGCTGCCTATTTGCCTTTCGCTGAAAATCGCTGCCAGCAAATATGGGGCCCTCGGACGTGGCAATTTTCATGAACGTGGCAAACTGATGACAGAAGTGTCGCAAAGTGCATCAGAGACGCCTGCAAGGAATTTCCCAAAGATCCTGAAGATTCCTGAAAAATGTCACTTTGTCATGTTTTTGTTGCTGTCTTAACATGATTCCTTCCAGAGTCCAGTCAGGTCCCGTTGTGAGATTGGGGTCCAAAAAGCACCTCACCAAGAAATTGCCCCATATATTGGCCAAGATGCAATCCTCGCGATTTGATTGGATCCCAGATTATGAAAGGTCGTTTTCTGGTCGCGAAAACTATAACGTATGTTGTTTGCCACATTGCTAGCACTTGCTGACAGAGTGGACTGTTAGGGCTCCTTCGCAACAAGTGATTCCGCAAAACGTCTCAGATGTTGGTGCAGATTTGCTTGGAAGCGGTCGCTCGTGTCATTTGGATGTTCTTTCCCCGAAGCCTTTCAGTGATGATGAAGCCGACAGCTTACTTCATTAGTATCATTGGTCAATCGCTAAACTTAATATGATATATCTTAATATAATAGATAGACTCCATAAATCATAATGGTTCATTATATTTCTATGGTTTTCATATCATACATACATACATATTATATATATATATGCATGAATAGCAATGGTTGGTTTTCGTACATGCAAAGCATTCAAACATGGTGTTGGGGATAGAGAGAAGTAGAATTAAATTAAATAGATTCGATACATTTTTTGCGCACACTGTATTCTTATATTTATACATTTATACACATGCCTAATGCAGATATATCGTCATAGATGAACATACATCTATAAAGTATCATTTAAATATACATAGTCGCAAGGCATCTAAGATTGGCCTTGCCTTTCAGATCTTTTTTTCAATCCCCTCGGAGCCTTGGCCTTCGCTGCCGGGCGATGGCCTTGCGGTGGCACGAGGTCGCTGAAGCGGAGCGAAGTGCTGTGCTGCAGCAGAGCCAGCAGCTGCTACAAGGCTGCGGGCTGCAGCTGACTCATATATTTAATAATTTGATATGGCTTACTTACTGGGTTACATGTATATAATGAATATATTCCATGCAGTCAATATTAAACCATGTAATTCATGGTTGGCATGGTGTATATGTATTTTTATATATATATATGTGTGTGTGTGTTAATATGGATTGTAGGTGGATGCTATCTGGCTAAGATGGATGATATTTGGCTAACATTCCTCAATATGGACTAAATACGGATGATACATGATAAATATATTACCCAAGAATGGTTAATAATGTTTGGTTAATAATCTGATTAAACAATTACTTTTTGGATTATATATGGTGAATGTTCCCCAAGGATGGTTGATTTATAGGGGCGTGGTGCCCCTAAAGGGCGGCATGTGAAAATAATCCATTGCTGATGTTCGGCGACATTGCATTATTAATGAAATGCAAGAGACCTGGAGGTACTATATAGTATAGCTTGAGAATATGACTCCTGAAAAGGATTGTGTTTCGTGGCCATTCATCAGATTCAAGATTTGAAGGGTGAACGAATTGTGGATCATTGCACTTCTCTCCAACATTTTTGAGTTTAGTGGGCTCGTGATCAGGACGTAGTCATGCATTTGGGAGGGTACCAGGAGCTTCTGGACACGGATCTCACTTCACGTTCCCCTTTGCATCCTTAACTCGTCCTAACTGAAAGGATTTACCAAATATTCTCCGCTAGGACGAACATTTATTAATGTACAAAGATATACAGACACACACATAATATATAAAATAGAATGCAAAAGCGCGATGTTTACTGCATTTATATAATAGAAAATATGATTTATACTATATATAAACATATGTGTGTTTGTGTGTGTGACATGTGTCGCGAGGTCCCCCCCCCCGAATGGGATGGGTCTCCAGGTAGCACCCCCCTTTCCTTCTATTTGCAAGCTATTGGCAACATTTCTGAGGCCCAGCCTCGTATTTGCTAGGTTTTTGCAGCGATTCTGACTTCCAGCCTCCCATTTACTAGGTACATGCTACCCTTTAGACGACCTACGTAGCACACATACTCCTTCAAAGTACCTACGTGCTACCTATAGTCATATATACATGTGCTATGTATCGATTTATATATATATATATATGTTTATTTACATGTTATAGATACATATTTTTATATATATATATATATTCATTTTCGTATTGAAATATACATGCATATATATACACATATATACATATATTCACATATATATATATATTCATGTACATATATATATATATATATACATATACATATATATGCATATACATAAATAAATAAATATATATATATATATATACATATACATATATATATACATGTATATATATATATTTACACACAAACATGTTCACACATATATATATATATATTTATATTTACGCAGTACCACACCCCCACCACACCACAGGGGGGGGAACATAGCTCCTGTATATCCATACCCATTCCTACTACTAACTACTACTAACCCCCCCACCCCCCTACCTACTTACAGGGGGGGCGGGGAACATAGCTCCTGTATATCCAAACCCATTCTTACTACTAACTACTACTCACTACTCACTACTCACTACGACTAACTACTACTACTGCTGCTGCTGCTGCTACTGCTGCTGCTGCTACTACTACTACTACTACTACTACTACTACTACTACTACTACTAACCGCCCCTACCCACCCACAGGGGGGGACCTGGGAGGCTGCATCATATATACACATTTGTTCTTACATATGAACATATATTTGTGAGTTTGGCTTTTTCAAGATGTTGACACCTGACAACACCAGGATGCGATCTTTCTGCCTTGGTGGTGTTGTCCAGGGTCTCCAAGTTGTTGGCCCGCGTCCCAGGCAATGGCTGGGGGTTGGTTTCGTGAAACGAGTGCAGTATAAAGGTAACAGCATGTAACAAGCAACTTATATACTATAATAAGTTGGGATAAATTACATGCACACACATGCATCAAGCAAATATTTATACATATAACAATATTTATCTATATGCATATATACATGTTGAGCACACATATGTGATATAATTTTAACCCACCTTTACAACCATGATGTTATGGATTTATTAGTGGACATCCACCCCAAGTGCCCCAAATTTCCGTAACGGAACTCCCGATGCTCCACACATTGCAGTCACCTTCGCAGATCCGATGCGGGTGTGGTTGGAGGTGTTGGCGATGCTTGGGGCACGGGTGGTGGTGAAATTGTCCAACTGGAAGGTTTCGGGATGTGTTTCATGCCCTTGGTCAGAAAGTCCCTTAATCTGGGGGTGCAGTTCCAGTTATAAGTGAGATATATCCCAATTCTTGGAGGTCAATACCATGGTTATATCAGTTATACCAATCAATACCCCCAACTGCACACCAGAAATCAATGGCCATGTCAGGAATAAGGCCTATGTAAGGGAATATCCCCACAAAATATGGTCTTATATGGTACAGTACCTCCATTTTAGGATCCTGAAATTCCAATTGAAGAAGTATTGTTTATAAGATTATCCGACTTTATACAGTAAATAGATAGATAGATAGATAGATAGATAGATAAATAGACAGATAGATAGATAGATAGATAGATAGATAGATAAATAGACAGATAGATAGATAGATATATATATATACATTTAATTTCACTTAAATCCATCTATAACTGACTACAACTACATGTATCCATTTTAATATGTTTCAACACCCGTGTCGCAGAAACGGCCGGGTCCGACGACCGCGACGAGTGCCTCTTGATCATGGGCTTTGCTTCGGCCTCGCAAAGGGAGGACCTGGGGGCGGGATGTGGCCAGGTGTCATTGGGGATGCAAGCCACAAAGAAAGGAGTCATATCATTTAGCATCAAAACCACAAACCAAAAATATCAAAAGCATATCAAAACCCCAAAAGTCCAAGTGGATATCTATCATTTAACATCAAACATTGGGATTTATCAGTCCAACAAAAAATGATAGTGATTTATCCATCAGAAATAGGGATTCATTTGGCTTCTGGAACCCTTAAATTATGTCGATTGAATCATCGCAAGTGGCAATGATTTGAGACAGCAGACATGCAGAGATCCTTTCATAGTTGAAAAGATGTACGTATAGCATATGTAACAATATAATACCAGTAGTACCGCACAAGGCGGTGGCAGAAGTTTCAAAAATAGGAAACCTATAGGAGAGATTGGTTGTTGTGAATCAGGATGGCAGAGCGAATCCACTGATGGACCGGAAGGTGCTTGAGGTCTCCTCTCTTTCCCTCTCTCTCTCTGACAACCTACCTACCTACATATCTATCTTCTATGTACCTGTCTATCTATCGATCTATCTCTCTCTCTCTCTTTCATCTAATTACCTATCTATCTATCTATCTGTCTATCTATCTATCTATCTATCTATCTGTCTGTCTGTCTATCTGTCTAGCTGTCTACCTGTCTATCTGTCTTTTCTATCTATCTATCTATCTGTCTATCTGTCTACCTGTCTATCTGTGGTGCAGTGTCATTCAGTGTAATGTAGTGTAGTGTACTGTAGTGTAGTGTAGTGTAATTTCGTGTGGTGGAGTGTAGTTGTGTAGCCGTAGGTGTAGTTGTAGTGTAGTGGAGTGTAGTGTAGTGAAATGTAGTGAAGTGTAGTGGAAGGTAGTGTAGTGTAATGTAGTGTAGTGGAGTGTAGTGTAGTGGAATGTAGTGTAGTGTAATGTAACTTTGTGTAGTTCAGTGTAATGTAGTGTAGTGGAGCTGTAGTTGTAGCGTAGTGGAGCGTAGTGTAGTGTAATGTAGTATAGTGTAGTGTAATTTAGTGTAGTGGAGTGTAATGGAGTGGAGTGTAGTGGAGTGTAGTGTAGTTGTGTAGTTGTAGTTGTAGTTGTAGCACAGTGGAGTGTAGTGTAGTGTAATGTATTGTAGTTTAGTGTAATTTAGTGTAGTGGAGTGTAGTGGAGTGCAGTTGTGTAGTTGTAGTTGTGGTGTAGTGGAGCGTAGTGTAGTGTAATGTAGTGTAATGTAGTCAAGTGTAGTGGAAGGTAGTGTAGTGTAGTGTAATGTAGTGTAGTTGTGTAGTTGTAGTTGTAGTGTAGTGGAGTGTAGTGTAGTGTAATGTAGTGTAATGCAGTCAAGTGTAGTGGAAGGTAGTGTAGTGTAATGTAGTGTAGTGGGGTGTAGTGTAGTGTAATGTAGTCCATTGTAGTGAAGCGAAGCGAAGCGACATCTGAACCTCCAAAAGTGGTCCGAACCCCTAGTGTTTTTAACATGTTGACTTCCAAATGTGCTTCGCGCCACAACGGCGTGCACTTTTTCGACATCTCAACTTCCAAAAGTCGTCCGACACTGAGGTGTTTTGCACATTTTGACTTCCAAATGTGCTTCGCACCACAACGGCGTGCACTTTTTCGACATCTCAACTTCCGAAAGTGGTCCGAAGCTGGTGTGTTTTGTACATTTTGACTTGAAAATGTCCTTCGCGCCACAATGCTGTGCACTTTTTCGACATCGCCACGTCCAAAAGTGCTCCGACCATGGTGTGTTTTGTACATTTTGACTTGGAAATGTGCTTCGCGCCACAACGGCGTGCAATTTTTCATCTCTCATCTGGCCAGCTGGCTCCGCAACCGCCGCTTTAGCGAGCCTACTTTTCGACCCTCCGGAGCCCCAAATCATTGGAAAAACACAGTGAATCGCGACTTTCCTACCTTTTCGCGCATCTGCATCTTCTTTCTTCTGACTCTTTCTCTTCTGATCTTCTCTCTTCTAATCTTTCTCTTCTCTCTGCCTCTGCCCTGCTCTGCTTTTCATCTGTCCATATTGTCGGAAGTTTGACTTCTAAACCCCCTTCGATAATATAATATATGCATATACAATTGTGTGCATGACTATTTGGATTTCATATATTTGCTTAATGCATACAATAGTCACATATGTTTGAAGCGTGTGCTTGTGTGTTTGCTTTATTTGAGCTCCCTATCGCATCAGCGACGTAGACGTAGAACCCTTCAGAGCACGAAGCCAGTCAAACCAACTGTTCCCAGCAGATTTGACGCACAAACTCACTGGCACTTTAAGCCGGAGAGGACTTGCAGCGCCTACAGCATGTGTTTGAGATGCTTGGCATGAGTGGGAAGTTACATCTAGGTCTATTTTTGTCTATTTGGTCTATCTATCTATTTATCTTTCGATCTATCTACTGTATCCGTCTAACTATCTATCAATCATTCAATCAATCTTTCTGTTTGTCTACCTATCTACCTATCTATCTGTCTATCTATTTATATATCTCTATATCTATCTATCTATCTACCTACCTACCTATCTATCTATCTATCGATCTATCTATCTATCTATCTCTCTCTCTCTATCTATCTCTATCTATCTATCGATCGATCGATCCATCTATCTATCTATCTATCTATCTATGTCTATCTATCTATGTCTATCTATCTATGTCTATCTATCTATGTCTATCTATGTCTACCTATGTCTATCTATCTATGTCTATCTATGTCTATCTATGTCTATCTATCTATGTCTACCTATGTCTATCTATCTATGTCTACCTATGTCTATCTATCTATGTCTATCTATCTATGTCTATCTATGTCTATCTATCTATGTCTATCTATCTATGTCTATCTATCTATGTCTATCTATCTATCTGTCTATCTATCTATCTATCTATCTATCGATTTATTTATCTTTTTATCTATCTACCTATCTATCTATCTCTCTCTCTCTCTGTATCTCTCTATCTCTCTATCTCTATATCTCTATCTCTTTCTATAGCTATTATGTCTATATCTATATCTATGTCTATATCTATATCATCCTCGATACATCTCTTTCATTCAAAACGAAATTGCATGAACTTGCATGACAATGAATGAAACTGAATGACATACCCCTAGGCCAATCAGCACCCGTCTCATTAGATCCACCTACCTTTCAGAAGAGCTATCTTATCGACCTACTGTATCTGACTTATTTGACCTATCTATCTACTTGTGGATGCCATGCCCAATTCAAGCAAGAAGACGAGTAGGATAAAGAGATGTAAATAATTGATACCCTCAAGTTGGAAGGTTCTAGAATGCCCCCCCCCTGGGTATAAACACGGAGGGTTCTAGAATGAATTTTTTTCAGTGCCCTTTCCAACCCCTAACACAAAACAGGGTTCTAAAATGGTTTACACCCAAGTTGGAGGTCACAAACCCCTCAAAACCCTGATGGAAACCATTTCAGAACATCCAGGCTGAGGGACACCTTGATTGGATTCAAAATTGAAAACGGCACCAAGGTGGAAACATTTGCCCAAACAAATACCTTTCTCATTTTTTGTTCAGGAATGGTGGAATGTAGCTCGTGAAAGTCACTGGTCAATCAAACCACACCAGAACCCAGACCCTAACTAGGCGCGCAAATGGCCTTCAAGCTCTGTCTTCTTCAGTGCCACAGCCTTCACACCTACCCAACTTCTGAACAGAATTAAACAGAAGGATCCAGCCCCATGTCCATGGATTACCTCACGCCCCTTTTTTGTGACTCATGTTTTTGTGCTTCAAACCATCTCCAGTTTTTTTTTTCAGTGCATAATCGAGTATATAAAGTTTTGGATGATTTTTAATGATTTTTTTAAGGGTGGAAGATACCATTTCAGAACCCATTTTAGAACCCAAAAACGGAATAGTGGCCAACAATTTTAGGTTCTAAGACCCCCCTTGTAGATTCCATTTTAGAACCCATATTTGGGTTCTAAAATGGTCCCCAAGGGGGGTTGAAGCAACTTGAGAGGATAATAATTGCAATCATATAATACACATGCACACACACATATATATAAATATATGCAACCATTCTCGGATCATGCCTTGCCAAAGTACGATCTGAATGATGACTTTGATACAGAATTTAAAATGTGACCAAAATCAATTGGCATATTTTCCCCAGATAGGCGTAGATTCTGATCCACCGCATGGCACAGGAACATCTCTGACCTTCAGGTTCCGGGCCAACAGGGTGCCAGGGGCAAAGGGTTGGGGCAGCAGCTTGATTTTGGATGAGGATTTCTCTCGACCCTCACAAGCCTAACCCTCCCTCCCTGACGGACTTAAGACCTTCATTTTCTGTCTTGAGATGGAAGAACGTATCATTTGTTGCTCCTTTCTGAGAGGTTGCCAGCTTTAAGAGGAATGAGCCTCCACCATTCAAACGAATGTTCGTCTCGAGCGCTGCGACAGGTGGTGGTGAATGTGGCTGACGGTCCCACACCACCGGGTGTCTGTGAAGCCTGCGTGAGCCTCACCGAATGACGGGCAAACTATTTGAAGTGTTCCACCGGCAAAACATCAAGGAATGCAATGTCAAAAGGTGTTTCTCGGGAAACTATATCGGGTTGATATCAAAGGCGTTAAGGTGTTTTGTTTGCTTCTTGTAGCCTCTATGAAGCCTTTACTTTATCCATTTTCATTGGGCCAGTAGGAAGGCTAGGTAGTAACGGCTGAAAAGGTGGCAGACAAGAAGCAACCACTGGGTACAGTAAGGCCCACAATGATCAACAAACCAAATTGATGCTGTAATTACTTAAGCACATTTAAACACTAAAAGATGAATTTGGCCCATTGGCACTCCAATGTTGTGCCATAGCCATTTGATGATCCAAGGAGCTGTTGGACGCGCTGTCGCCCCGATGCCGTGGTTTCCCAGGTCACCGGTTGTATTTCCACGGAATCCTCGTGGTTATAGCGAGAATCAATGGCGAAAATCCAGACAGATGTGTCTTGTGTCCATTGGATTTGAAGTTTTGAACATATGTTTTACGATTTAGATTCATTTTGTTGCTCAAAAATAATCTATGGTCCAATGGTCAAACATGGCCAAAGACATGCTAATTTGGTTTAAGCAGTTATGATTTAGGTGTTTCCCAAATGGTGCACCCCAAACAAGTTTGTTTCCCTATACTTAAAAGTGATCAATTTTGAACCGGATGATTTTGGGGAGCCCCATGACTTAAGAAACCCTCATATGTCCAAATCCTATGTTTCATGTTTGGTTTTTTTGATATGTTGTCCATATCACATGGATATGGAAAATCAATGCAAATCACTGTTTTCCAAAGGAAATCATTTCAATCTATCCATCTCAATTGTTCCAAGGCATTCCATCTATCATGAGTCCAAAAACCTATATATATATGTGTGTATATATATATATTGATATATATATATATATACTCGCAACGCCTGGGCTTTGCCCCAGCGTTGCAGCGTAGAGGGTTCCCATTCCCAATCAAATTTTGTTGCAACTTTACAATCAATTGGGAAGACCAACGAGGGTATTAGGGAATATTAAAATCCGTCCCGCGCTCAGCTTTACATTCAATTGGGAAGATCAACAAAGGTATTATTAGGAAATATTAATGTCCCACCCCCGTTAAACTTTACCTTCAAGTGGGAAGATCAACAAAGGTATTAGGGAATATTAAAACATCACCCCCGTTAAACTCTATATTCAGTTGGGAAGATCAACTAAGATGATGATGATGATGATGATGATGATTATTGTTATTATTATTGTTATTATTATCATGATGATGCGTTGCCGGTCGTCGTTGCGGTTCGGGGCAAAGCCCAGGCATTTGCCGTATACCGTGTATATATACACATATTCCCAAAATGTTAATCTCATAATATACTATATATATACACAAATATATATATATATATACATTCTTGGCGAAATGTGTTGAAATCTTACCGTATTGGTCGATCCCTTGAAAATGACAACCTCAGTTGATTTGAAGCTAAACTCAGCATGGTTTCCCATATAGATGTTCGCATCTATTCGTGGCTTAGCCACACACACAAAAAAAAAAAACTGGCAAAGTTCCCCCAATAGTGGATTGAACAGAAATTGCAGAATGGTAGTTCTAGGATATTTTTCCCATGATGTCCAGGTTTCCATTTGTTTTATGTAGCAGTGGTTTACCGGTTTCCCAAAAATATTCCATTAAACATCCATTCTGATTAGTGGTTTGCCCATCAAAAGCCATCGTTTACCCATCAAAAACCATGGTTTATCCAGTAAAAACCATGGTTTGCGTAGAAACCATGGTTTGCCCATCAAAAACCATGGTTTCCTGGAACATTTTCCGGGTAATCGCTTGAAAGCCCCTCAGTCCAAAACGGCCAGGTGCCGCCGCGCGACGTGCCGCATCTCCGGCAGCTGCTGGCTGTGAACGAAAGCACAGAGCTGCTACAACTGGCGGAGCATCAAGAGACCTGGGCGCGGAGCTGAGGGGCAGAATAATCGTAGTATATTAATGTATCTTACTGTATAATATCGTTAGATTTTTACTGTAATACTAGTATATACATGTATATACTTATCAAATGATGTATTATTTTTCTGTATAGAATATTTATATATATATACATAGAATAATGATGATATTGATGTATCTTACTGTAGGTGATTAGTAATTAATTAATTATTGTTAATGACCAGGAAACTATGGTCTAGGTCCCTATTACAAGGAAATGTATGACAAATCCTAGGAAAACATGGAGAAACATGATCTAGCATAGTCTATCACTATGATTTAACTGTGGCGTTCCTATAGATATAACTATAGATAAGTATCTTTATATCTATCGTTTATGGTAGAGATATATCTGAACAAAAATGTATGTTTAACTATTTTGTTTAATGGAAGATAGATCGAACTAGTTACTGGGTTTATTAAATTTATAAACCAAATAAACCAACAAACATAACTGGGTGGCCTCACCGTGCATATCTATATATATATATATCATTATATATAATGAATCATTTTATTTTACTTTTACATTCATATGTATATACATAGGGAGACATGTGTGATTACATATGTAATTTTAGTTATATATATATATAATACATATGTGTAAGGTAAGAGATACGCACATAATAATATATGTTACTTAAATGTCTATATATGAGTATATGCAGTTTAATAAGTGTGACTTATGTATGCAGTGTATATGCATACCGTGGACCGGAGGGAAAACAACAATTTATACACGTATGCGTTTATCTTTTTATTGACAACATCTATTTGAACCTCAGGCACATGGAATCACAATGATGCATCACGTCCTGCATGTTGCGGCATATCGCTCAGGGACCTGCTGTGGTTGCTCCAGTGTGTTTTTTTCCTTTAAAGATCCCAGGCCGCCGAGGTCTCCAAATGAATAGGTATGATTGGATGGAGATCCGCAAACTATGTTGGCACAACAAGATGTTCCAGGGTTTTGATGCACCAGCCATATTCAAAAGGCAAACCCCTCCAATTTGTCATAAAAGTCTAAGGGTAAACCCAAGACATAAGGCATCAATTGGTAGGGGGGTTGACCTGGGGAATTACCCTTATCAACACAACCGTTCAACCATTGGGTGTGTTTCAAAATGCGGCAAGTTTAGTAGGGAAGATTATGATTAACCACGACATTATCATTTCCCAGACGGAACAAGAAGTTGGTGGTGAGTTTCCTAGCGGTCCTAGCGCCTGCCATGAGCTACTCCAGAGCCTTGCTGATCTCCTTGGATGAGCGGCAAGATCGACGTCAACGGTGCCAGGTGCTTCTGACAGAGATCGCTGCCAAGTTGCAGTGCCAGGGCCGCCAGGGCGCGATGCTTGTGGAGGTTCCAGGCCCTGCTGGCCCTAATGATATCACTATGGTGAAAGCCTCCATGTGTCGGCAGCCGGCATCTTCGCATAACCCCCTGTAGCCTAGAGCCTATACCTATATAATCCTTTATGTGTATATCTATTTATATATATGGTTTTATATCAACTTATAACTGGAACTGCACCCCAAAGGTATAATGTGACAAATCCAGTAACCAAATAGTTAAGGATTGTTTATACAGCTGACTTGCTCACAACATTTTAGAGCTGGGTTAGTACCAGCTTAATTAGCACTGATAGTATAGCACAACAGTCCAATGCCATTTGGGGTGTATTGCAAATGCAAGTAACAGGGATGTTTCATGATGTGGATGGAGAGAAACAATATCGGATGTATCGGCATGTATATTCGAAACAAACACGTGAATCCCAGAATAGGTTTCATGAAAATTTTGAGCGGAACCCCCCAAGATTTGGCTGGCATCATTTCCCGTAAATTTTTAAATGTTCCCTGAAATTTCAAAATAGACCATTCAAAAAAGTCAGACAGAACATTGAACATGATCAACATGTTGGCCCAGATCTTCCATTGAACATCAACTTTTGTAGTTTACCCTCCAGTGAACTAACATAACTATGGAAAATCACAATCTTTCATGTTTACATCAACGATTTCTATGGCCATTTTCACTAGCAAACTGTTAGTTTACCGGAGTGCCTGAGGTGGTGGCCCGCGACCCGTGGACAGGACTTGGCGTGTGAGAAGCTGGGGCCGGAACTGCTCAGCAACTGCCACAGTTCCGCGGCAGAGCCGGTGACGTTGTTCACGTTCCTGCCTACCAGGTGATGGTGGTTTAGTTTGTTTTGGTTAAGTTGGTGAACACACCTCCAATAACTATAGGAAGTATGTTTTTTTTTTTAAATGTTTTATTGTAGATATATTGAACTAGTTGGGGTTATAACTTAATTAACTTAAGAACTAGGGACCACCGCCTTGTAGGCAGATGGAGCAGCAACATTTCAAATGGGGACATCATGGGGATTTAATGAGGATACTGGTGGTTTGATGCCTACCTGGGATGATGATCATTGATGGTCATATAGATTTTGTTGAGTGGGATGGGTCGGAAATGGTCGAATTTTGTTGAATCATTTTCCAGTTCCAATGTTTGGGCATCCATGATAGATTGAGATTCAAGGAGTGTGTACGTTTGAATGCAGGCCGAGGCGTCCTAAATTTTGACCCGTGCCCATTATGTGTAATCATTCTTATAATTTAGAGAGAGAGAGAGAGGGAGAAAGAGCCATATTCTAAGAGAAATAACCAAGACACAGTACCTCCCACAGATGGATAGACTGGTTAATATACCCTCTGGTAAATGAACATAACTTAACTATGGAAAATCACCATTTTCAATTGGTAATTCCACTATTTCTATGGCCATGTTCAATAGCTATTTTGACATAACCAGAGGACCAGAGGGTATAACTTCCATTTTTTTGATCGCCTGGTTCAGCAAGGTCAAGATCCGAATCTCCCACGATTTGGATGCTTGGAGGGTGGCGTGGGCTGCGGGGCGGAATGGAGATCGAAACAATCATCAACCACACATACCACGCATACCATACATACCACACATATATGTATATATATAATATTATAATCTATTATTTTACATTATATTATATTGTATTATATTATATTATGTTATACTATTTCTAAATCTCATATTATAATCTATTAAGTATACTATGTTACATTATGTGTTATTATTTTTTAGTTTATTGTTTTACATTATACTGTATTATAGTATAATCTATTATATTATATTATATAGTATCAAACTATATAGTCTTGTATTACACTATATTTTATTTGAAAGGAATTGTATGGAATTGAAAATATATTTGCATTGATCTGATTCTGATTGAATCGCGAAAGTCTGAACTCCCCCCTTCGACAGTCATAGTGTTATAGTTGTCAAATTTGCAACTTATATGATGTCATTTGTGATTTTTGATTCTGCTGAGAATTTTGGCGTTGGAGTGTCACGGGATCGGTTTGTCTTAGTTCTTGTATTTTTGAATCTCCTTCATGAGTCATGACATTCGTGAAGGTACGTCGATTTGGTGGAACTACGACTGGCTTCACATGACGCCGGGGGCGGTTGGGTGTGCCCTGTCCCATCGGGCCATCTGGCAGAATTTGCTGCATGAGGGAGGTGCTGAAGATTGTTGGCTGGTACTTGAAGATGCTCCGCCGCAAGAGCCGATGCCATTTTCAGCCCCAAAGAATCTCACCAGATATTGTAGTTCATAGGGGAAGCCATGCAACATGATCTCGAGGCTCGGGATTGAATGTAATTAACTTATAGGGTCCTTTTTCAGAAGTTTTCTCCTCCTTGTTTCAGTAGAATTTGAAGTGCAGCCCAAGCATCTGCAAAGTTGCAACAGAGGTACCACCTTGTTCTATCCGCCATTTTGAGAAGGAAGATGCTACAACCGCCTCATTACAGGCCAGATTGAGCTGTAAATTCCAACTCAGTGGAGTTTGCCGATCCAGACCATCCAACAGCCCCTCAACCAAATTGAAGCCGTATGCATCCAGCCACAACCAAAACTTGTTTTTCCAAAGTCTTTCCCATGCCCCTTTCCCCTCATTTTTTCCTCAAGTTGGAAGGTTCTAGAATGCCCCCCCCCTGGGTATAAACACGGAGGGTTCTAGAATGAATTTTTTTCAGTGCCCTTTCCAACCCCTAACACAAAACAGGGTTCTAAAATGGTTTACACCCAAGTTGGAGGTCACAAACCCCTCAAAACCCTGATGGAAACCATTTCAGAACATCCAGGCTGAGGGACACCTTGATTGGATTCAAAATTGAAAACGGCACCAAGGTGGAAACATTTGCCCAAACAAATACCTTTCTCATTTTTTGTTCAGGAATGGTGGAATGTAGCTCGTGAAAGTCACTGGTCAATCAAACCACACCAGAACCCAGACCCTAACTAGGCGCGCAAATGGCCTTCAAGCTCTGTCTTCTTCAGTGCCACAGCCTTCACACCTACCCAACTTCTGAACAGAATTAAACAGAAGGATCCAGCCCCATGTCCATGGATTACCTCACGCCCCTTTTTTGTGACTCATGTTTTTGTGCTTCAAACCATCTCCAGTTTTTTTTCAGTGCATAATCGAGTATATAAAGTTTTGGATGATTTTTAATGATTTTTTTAAGGGTGGAAGATACCATTTCAGAACCCATTTTAGAACCCAAAAACGGAATAGTGGCCAACAATTTTAGGTTCTAAGACCCCCCTTGTAGATTCCATTTTAGAACCCATATTTGGGTTCTAAAATGGTCCCCAAGGGGGGTTGAAGCAACTTGAGAGGATAATAATTGCAATCATATAATACACATGCACACACACATATATATAAATATATGCAACCATTCTCGGATCATGCCTTGCCAAAGTACGATCTGAATGATGACTTTGATACAGAATTTAAAATGTGACCAAAATCAATTGGCATATTTTCCCCAGATAGGCGTAGATTCTGATCCACCGCATGGCACAGGAACATCTCTGACCTTCAGGTTCCGGGCCAACAGGGTGCCAGGGGCAAAGGGTTGGGGCAGCAGCTTGATTTTGGATGAGGATTTCTCTCGACCCTCACAAGCCTAACCCTCCCTCCCTGACGGACTTAAGACCTTCATTTTCTGTCTTGAGATGGAAGAACGTATCATTTGTTGCTCCTTTCTGAGAGGTTGCCAGCTTTAAGAGGAATGAGCCTCCACCATTCAAACGAATGTTCGTCTCGAGCGCTGCGACAGGTGGTGGTGAATGTGGCTGACGGTCCCACACCACCGGGTGTCTGTGAAGCCTGCGTGAGCCTCACCGAATGACGGGCAAACTATTTGAAGTGTTCCACCGGCAAAACATCAAGGAATGCAATGTCAAAAGGTGTTTCTCGGGAAACTATATCGGGTTGATATCAAAGGCGTTAAGGTGTTTTGTTTGCTTCTTGTAGCCTCTATGAAGCCTTTACTTTATCCATTTTCATTGGGCCAGTAGGAAGGCTAGGTAGTAACGGCTGAAAAGGTGGCAGACAAGAAGCAACCACTGGGTACAGTAAGGCCCACAATGATCAACAAACCAAATTGATGCTGTAATTACTTAAGCACATTTAAACACTAAAAGATGAATTTGGCCCATTGGCACTCCAATGTTGTGCCATAGCCATTTGATGATCCAAGGAGCTGTTGGACGCGCTGTCGCCCCGATGCCGTGGTTTCCCAGGTCACCGGTTGTATTTCCACGGAATCCTCGTGGTTATAGCGAGAATCAATGGCGAAAATCCAGACAGATGTGTCTTGTGTCCATTGGATTTGAAGTTTTGAACATATGTTTTACGATTTAGATTCATTTTGTTGCTCAAAAATAATCTATGGTCCAATGGTCAAACATGGCCAAAGACATGCTAATTTGGTTTAAGCAGTTATGATTTAGGTGTTTCCCAAATGGTGCACCCCAAACAAGTTTGTTTCCCTATACTTAAAAGTGATCAATTTTGAACCGGATGATTTTGGGGAGCCCCATGACTTAAGAAACCCTCATATGTCCAAATCCTATGTTTCATGTTTGGTTTTTTTGATATGTTGTCCATATCACATGGATATGGAAAATCAATGCAAATCACTGTTTTCCAAAGGAAATCATTTCAATCTATCCATCTCAATTGTTCCAAGGCATTCCATCTATCATGAGTCCAAAAACCTATATATATATGTGTGTATATATATATATTGATATATATATATATATACTCGCAACGCCTGGGCTTTGCCCCAGCGTTGCAGCGTAGAGGGTTCCCATTCCCAATCAAATTTTGTTGCAACTTTACAATCAATTGGGAAGACCAACGAGGGTATTAGGGAATATTAAAATCCGTCCCGCGCTCAGCTTTACATTCAATTGGGAAGATCAACAAAGGTATTATTAGGAAATATTAATGTCCCACCCCCGTTAAACTTTACCTTCAAGTGGGAAGATCAACAAAGGTATTAGGGAATATTAAAACATCACCCCCGTTAAACTCTATATTCAGTTGGGAAGATCAACTAAGATGATGATGATGATGATGATGATGATTATTGTTATTATTATTGTTATTATTATCATGATGATGCGTTGCCGGTCGTCGTTGCGGTTCGGGGCAAAGCCCAGGCATTTGCCGTATACCGTGTATATATACACATATTCCCAAAATGTTAATCTCATAATATACTATATATATACACAAATATATATATATATATACATTCTTGGCGAAATGTGTTGAAATCTTACCGTATTGGTCGATCCCTTGAAAATGACAACCTCAGTTGATTTGAAGCTAAACTCAGCATGGTTTCCCATATAGATGTTCGCATCTATTCGTGGCTTAGCCACACACACAAAAAAAAAAAACTGGCAAAGTTCCCCCAATAGTGGATTGAACAGAAATTGCAGAATGGTAGTTCTAGGATATTTTTCCCATGATGTCCAGGTTTCCATTTGTTTTATGTAGCAGTGGTTTACCGGTTTCCCAAAAATATTCCATTAAACATCCATTCTGATTAGTGGTTTGCCCATCAAAAGCCATCGTTTACCCATCAAAAACCATGGTTTATCCAGTAAAAACCATGGTTTGCGTAGAAACCATGGTTTGCCCATCAAAAACCATGGTTTCCTGGAACATTTTCCGGGTAATCGCTTGAAAGCCCCTCAGTCCAAAACGGCCAGGTGCCGCCGCGCGACGTGCCGCATCTCCGGCAGCTGCTGGCTGTGAACGAAAGCACAGAGCTGCTACAACTGGCGGAGCATCAAGAGACCTGGGCGCGGAGCTGAGGGGCAGAATAATCGTAGTATATTAATGTATCTTACTGTATAATATCGTTAGATTTTTACTGTAATACTAGTATATACATGTATATACTTATCAAATGATGTATTATTTTTCTGTATAGAATATTTATATATATATATACATAGAATAATGATGATATTGATGTATCTTACTGTAGGTGATTAGTAATTAATTAATTATTGTTAATGACCAGGAAACTATGGTCTAGGTCCCTATTACAAGGAAATGTATGACAAATCCTAGGAAAACATGGAGAAACATGATCTAGCATAGTCTATCACTATGATTTAACTGTGGCGTTCCTATAGATATAACTATAGATAAGTATCTTTATATCTATCGTTTATGGTAGAGATATATCTGAACAAAAATGTATGTTTAACTATTTTGTTTAATGGAAGATAGATCGAACTAGTTACTGGGTTTATTAAATTTATAAACCAAATAAACCAACAAACATAACTGGGTGGCCTCACCGTGCATATCTATATATATATATATCATTATATATAATGAATCATTTTATTTTACTTTTACATTCATATGTATATACATAGGGAGACATGTGTGATTACATATGTAATTTTAGTTATATATATATAATACATATGTGTAAGGTAAGAGATACGCACATAATAATATATGTTACTTAAATGTCTATATATGAGTATATGCAGTTTAATAAGTGTGACTTATGTATGCAGTGTATATGCATACCGTGGACCGGAGGGAAAACAACAATTTATACACGTATGCGTTTATCTTTTTATTGACAACATCTATTTGAACCTCAGGCACATGGAATCACAATGATGCATCACGTCCTGCATGTTGCGGCATATCGCTCAGGGACCTGCTGTGGTTGCTCCAGTGTGTTTTTTTCCTTTAAAGATCCCAGGCCGCCGAGGTCTCCAAATGAATAGGTATGATTGGATGGAGATCCGCAAACTATGTTGGCACAACAAGATGTTCCAGGGTTTTGATGCACCAGCCATATTCAAAAGGCAAACCCCTCCAATTTGTCATAAAAGTCTAAGGGTAAACCCAAGACATAAGGCATCAATTGGTAGGGGGGTTGACCTGGGGAATTACCCTTATCAACACAACCGTTCAACCATTGGGTGTGTTTCAAAATGCGGCAAGTTTAGTAGGGAAGATTATGATTAACCACGACATTATCATTTCCCAGACGGAACAAGAAGTTGGTGGTGAGTTTCCTAGCGGTCCTAGCGCCTGCCATGAGCTACTCCAGAGCCTTGCTGATCTCCTTGGATGAGCGGCAAGATCGACGTCAACGGTGCCAGGTGCTTCTGACAGAGATCGCTGCCAAGTTGCAGTGCCAGGGCCGCCAGGGCGCGATGCTTGTGGAGGTTCCAGGCCCTGCTGGCCCTAATGATATCACTATGGTGAAAGCCTCCATGTGTCGGCAGCCGGCATCTTCGCATAACCCCCTGTAGCCTAGAGCCTATACCTATATAATCCTTTATGTGTATATCTATTTATATATATGGTTTTATATCAACTTATAACTGGAACTGCACCCCAAAGGTATAATGTGACAAATCCAGTAACCAAATAGTTAAGGATTGTTTATACAGCTGACTTGCTCACAACATTTTAGAGCTGGGTTAGTACCAGCTTAATTAGCACTGATAGTATAGCACAACAGTCCAATGCCATTTGGGGTGTATTGCAAATGCAAGTAACAGGGATGTTTCATGATGTGGATGGAGAGAAACAATATCGGATGTATCGGCATGTATATTCGAAACAAACACGTGAATCCCAGAATAGGTTTCATGAAAATTTTGAGCGGAACCCCCCAAGATTTGGCTGGCATCATTTCCCGTAAATTTTTAAATGTTCCCTGAAATTTCAAAATAGACCATTCAAAAAAGTCAGACAGAACATTGAACATGATCAACATGTTGGCCCAGATCTTCCATTGAACATCAACTTTTGTAGTTTACCCTCCAGTGAACTAACATAACTATGGAAAATCACAATCTTTCATGTTTACATCAACGATTTCTATGGCCATTTTCACTAGCAAACTGTTAGTTTACCGGAGTGCCTGAGGTGGTGGCCCGCGACCCGTGGACAGGACTTGGCGTGTGAGAAGCTGGGGCCGGAACTGCTCAGCAACTGCCACAGTTCCGCGGCAGAGCCGGTGACGTTGTTCACGTTCCTGCCTACCAGGTGATGGTGGTTTAGTTTGTTTTGGTTAAGTTGGTGAACACACCTCCAATAACTATAGGAAGTATGTTGTTTTTTTTTAAATGTTTTATTGTAGATATATTGAACTAGTTGGGGTTATAACTTAATTAACTTAAGAACTAGGGACCACCGCCTTGTAGGCAGATGGAGCAGCAACATTTCAAATGGGGACATCATGGGGATTTAATGAGGATACTGGTGGTTTGATGCCTACCTGGGATGATGATCATTGATGGTCATATAGATTTTGTTGAGTGGGATGGGTCGGAAATGGTCGAATTTTGTTGAATCATTTTCCAGTTCCAATGTTTGGGCATCCATGATAGATTGAGATTCAAGGAGTGTGTACGTTTGAATGCAGGCCGAGGCGTCCTAAATTTTGACCCGTGCCCATTATGTGTAATCATTCTTATAATTTAGAGAGAGAGAGAGGGAGAAAGAGCCATATTCTAAGAGAAATAACCAAGACACAGTACCTCCCACAGATGGATAGACTGGTTAATATACCCTCTGGTAAATGAACATAACTTAACTATGGAAAATCACCATTTTCAATGGGTAATTCCACTATTTCTATGGCCATGTTCAATAGCTATTTTGACATAACCAGAGGACCAGAGGGTATAACTTCCATTTTTTTGATCGCCTGGTTCAGCAAGGTCAAGATCCGAATCTCCCACGATTTGGATGCTTGGAGGGTGGCGTGGGCTGCGGGGCGGAATGGAGATCGAAACAATCATCAACCACACATACCACGCATACCATACATACCACACATATATGTATATATATAATATTATAATCTATTATTTTACATTATATTATATTGTATTATATTATATTATGTTATACTATTTCTAAATCTCATATTATAATCTATTAAGTATACTATGTTACATTATGTGTTATTATTTTTTAGTTTATTGTTTTACATTATACTGTATTATAGTATAATCTATTATATTATATTATATAGTATCAAACTATATAGTCTTGTATTACACTATATTTTATTTGAAAGGAATTGTATGGAATTGAAAATATATTTGCATTGATCTGATTCTGATTGAATCGCGAAAGTCTGAACTCCCCCCTTCGACAGTCATAGTGTTATAGTTGTCAAATTTGCAACTTATATGATGTCATTTGTGATTTTTGATTCTGCTGAGAATTTTGGCGTTGGAGTGTCACGGGATCGGTTTGTCTTAGTTCTTGTATTTTTGAATCTCCTTCATGAGTCATGACATTCGTGAAGGTACGTCGATTTGGTGGAACTACGACTGGCTTCACATGACGCCGGGGGCGGTTGGGTGTGCCCTGTCCCATCGGGCCATCTGGCAGAATTTGCTGCATGAGGGAGGTGCTGAAGATTGTTGGCTGGTACTTGAAGATGCTCCGCCGCAAGAGCCGATGCCATTTTCAGCCCCAAAGAATCTCACCAGATATTGTAGTTCATAGGGGAAGCCATGCAACATGATCTCGAGGCTCGGGATTGAATGTAATTAACTTATAGGGTCCTTTTTCAGAAGTTTTCTCCTCCTTGTTTCAGTAGAATTTGAAGTGCAGCCCAAGCATCTGCAAAGTTGCAACAGAGGTACCACCTTGTTCTATCCGCCATTTTGAGAAGGAAGATGCTACAACCGCCTCATTACAGGCCAGATTGAGCTGTAAATTCCAACTCAGTGGAGTTTGCCGATCCAGACCATCCAACAGCCCCTCAACCAAATTGAAGCCGTATGCATCCAGCCACAACCAAAACTTGTTTTTCCAAAGTCTTTCCCATGCCCCTTTCCCCTCATTTTTTTAGCCATATCCTTCCTGCTGAGGATGACATCCTGTGGGTTTCAGAGGATTTGGATGCCAAGATCCACCAAGTGATCTCCAAACTTCCTGACGGATGGCATCTTTGCTATTTGGGTTGGCATGGCCAATCCGTGCTGCACTTGGCGCTAGGAGCGCTGGGAGATGTCGACTGCCTCGAGGCAGCGGTGGAATTGGAAGATGTGTTCCTGGCCGCAGAAAACCCGACCTGAAAGAGCCCATGTACAGAGAAGATCTTATGTTTCCCTTGTAACAATGTAAGTAAAGCAAAAATAAACCAACATACTGTGATGGTTTAGCCCATTTGTGGTAAAATTGGGGATGGTCTACTAAGTCTACTATTGCTTTACTAACGTTATGAGTTCAAGGAACTCAGGCTCTACCCAGGATGCCTCACCTATGGTCGTCCACTACATCCCTGCCAGTGGAATACCATCAAAATTCCGAAAAATGATAATGTGGAAGAAAAAAAACCTTCTCCAAATGGATTCAATCACATGTTTTTCTGGAAATGAGAGAGAGCTGATTTCTGGTTTGGATTGGATATTTGCATCATCGGCATCTCCAGTGACAGCTGAGTTCTTCTGTAGATCATGGTCCCTTTGGCACCTTCGCGTATTTGATCCGTCGCTCTGGGGCCCAACGGCTGCTACAACATACATTCCCTTTGCACAGGTAGGGCCATCCTGCGGATGGGAATCACCGAAAGCACGGTAGTTTCACTACGAACATGGTCGAAATTTGTATGATTTCGGGGTACCAAACTTTTAGGAAACCTCCATATGTTGTTTGGTTTGAGTCACTGGCGTTGGCATAATTCTAGGGAAATACACACTTGCCATTCATCTACATTGGAATCTGCAGGCAACTTGATGCACAAATGGCGGAAGTACAGCACCTTGTCTCAAAACGGCCGTCCATTGAAAGTCTTTTTTGCTGAAAAGGGGCTGGGAGGCAACCACCTTCGGTTGTAGCAACGGGTTGTGAACCACAAAAGTGAAGGGGCATCCTGCCATCTCAAGCCGTTTCAATCCATCTCATGCGCCGTTGCCATTTTCAACGCACATTGTTCTTTCTGATTCTTTCGCCATTCCCATTTTGCTTTGGCAACAGATGCATGATGCACATGGCCACAGTCAAGTTGGTAGACCAGGAAACGCGGCGATCTTCGTGCTTTCAGATGTGCTGACGCTCGGCAGTCGGCCAGTTGTTGTCTGATGTTTTTGGGCTGTGAGCTACAGGAAACTTGGAGGACAGGATGACCATTCCCGTCATTCAACTCGGCGTTTGTGCATTTCATATGGGAAAATGATACCATCATACCTCACTGGCCCAATTTACTTTATTATTGATGGTTTCTTGGGAACCATCCCAAGATAGATGCCAGCTCCAGGAATTCTCACAATTTGCCCAGGTTTTCATGAGGACATGGCCCCAATTTCAGGACAGATCCTGTCTCTTCTACAGTGCGCCGTGCCAGCTCCTAGCACCTTGACTCGGCTTGATATGGCTTTAAGTTCCCTTTTGGGAGGGATACTCAGCTACGCCTGTTTTTTGGAGGGCATAAATGTTGGATTGCTAGGTGAACATAGGTGAACTTGCCAAGGGGTGATCTGGTTTGCTGTTGTTTTTTCATGTTTTTTCTCCTTCAGTGGTTTTGGTGAGCGACCTGGATTGTCGATTTATGTTATGCTTGACCTGTTGACTCCCAACTGGTATGGGTGAAATCACCATGTTTGCCATGCACAAACGATCACTGGGAACACAGCCCTGGTGGAACCGCAATGCCAAAGGACTCAGACGTGCAAGCCTGTTGGTCTGCTGATCATGATGTGCAGCTGCGGACTCTGAAGCTGGGATTTCGACAGCGGCAGCGATTTTTGAATGAGCGAGTGAAGCACGGCCTCCTGGATGAACCTTCAGAAGCCAAAACTTGGCTTGGAAGATGGCAATTGGGACAACTTGTTGGGGTCCATGTTGAACGCTTGGGGTTGCGCATGGGGAAGTCTTCGCGCGTTTTTGTGCCAATTTTACACCTTAAGCGGCGCCAATGGTGAGCTTCAGGACACCTTCCTCCACTCCGACTCCCATCACCGCAGATCTCCTTGCCCGATCTGGGCCCTGCACGCCTTCTGCATCCCCGGTGCCACGTGGCATGCGTCGTGGTGGACTCCGGAAGCCCCGACGTCCCGGGCCTTGAACGACAGGTCTGGCAACTGCTGCAAGCAGCGCGAGGGGTGGACTGGAAGATACTACTGCTGTGGTTTGGGCACAGCTCAGCTGCTTCTTGGAGAGACGACTTTTTTGTTGGGGAACGTTTGTGGGAGGCGTGCAGTTGAATTGTAGGTTTAGATGGGCTTAGTATGTTCTATTCTTGAACCCTTGGGAATTCTCAATTCTCACAGTTTTGATACATTTTGACCTGCGCTATCCTATGACCGTGACCATGCCCACATAGTACGTGACGAGTTATGACACGTTGTTAGTGGTGCAGTTTATTCCACACAGCTGTCCGGGTTCCTAGATGCTTCCTGTGCATGGGCCGATCATCAACGCGAGCGTCGCTTCACCTCAGACTGCATATCATTGAAATTCACGGAATATCCAAATGGGTCAGCCCAAAAACATCCAAACATGCATTATAAGTTATACCCCGAAATTATCCGAAATTGCCAGATAGAAAAGGGGTATCCACCCCATTTTTTGGACAAAACCGCATATGATCCAAGTGGGGATTTCGGTCGCCAGAAAGAGCACATTGTGCATCTCATCATCTATAGTCCTTGGTGTCTTCTTATGGCAGCGCCCAGGTTTGCCGCGAGGTTGCCACATCTTTGGGTCTGCCCCTGGGCTCAGTGTTCTTCCAGAACTTGAGGAACAGCCTGGAAGCGGAATGTCCAGGCGTGAGTCGACGGCGCCCTGGAGTGGAAAAAGATGTACTTAGACCCCCCAGATACCTAGAAAAATGAGGCAATCTAATACACTCATGATTTTCAGACTTTTGAATACTTTTGAGCGCATTTTTTTATGTGCGCTTGGAGGGTCTCAGTGGGAGATTCCATGAATACTTTGTTTAAACCATGTTGTTATATAGGTGCCTTATCTATCTTGCATTATATATATAATATATATATATATATTCATTCCCATAAATGTATATAAATTGTTTGTGGGTGTACCCAAAAGGAAAAACACATGGAACCCCACCATTGAGTACAAATGTTGGGCCCCCCCAAGTCCCCAAGCTATGTTTGTTGGATTGTGTTCACCGGTCCAACCACAGATATAACCATCATAAATGCGAGTTGTTCTAGTTATAGGCGAAAATGGCGAAATAAATCGACTTCTCTATTGCAAACCAACATTTGATCCGAAATGTTTCTTAAAACTTAAAACTTCAAATCTGTGAAATCCATGTTTTCGTTGCTTCAACCCATCTTTTTTCTTGGCTTCCAATGGTGCCGACATCTCGTGGCCCCGTGGGGTCGGGTATTGACCGAGCGCAGGCGCGGAAAAGCTGGTGACGGAGGGCAGCGAACAGCTGGTGGCCAACTTGTTGACCCTGCAACCTGGCAGCCCTGGGAGCACCGGGTCGTGGCCGAGGTTTTTGGATGTGGATCAAGCAGTGCAAAAAAGTGGTAATCTCATGGGGGTTTGATGGGGTTTAAGTGGGACTCGATGGGGGGTTGATGGTGGTTTCATGCGTTTAATGGGGGGTTAACGGGAAAAACAACCAGTTCAATCCATTTCATGGGAATCTAATTGTATATAATTATATGTATATACGTATAATAATTATTTGTATATATATATATTTATATTTACATACCTAGAGACTCATGTATCCAAAATTTCGGGCGCATTCCCAACCTACAAAAAAATCAGGCGCAAGTCCACAAGAATGGCGCAATGTAGAAAACATGGCGCAATTCCACAAAAACGGCGCAATGGAAATTCTGCACGGGCAAGGACGGCGCAATCACGGGCAAAAACGGTGCAATCATTGGCAAAAACGGCGCATTCCAACACCAAAATCTAAAACCATATTTGTTTCCCAAAGAACGGCGCATGCCAGAAATTTCAGCGGCAATCAGATGAAACACTGTTTTGCTAGACCAGCATCAAAATTTTGATGCCGCTCGAGTCTCTAGGTATGAATGAATGTGTGTGTGTGAATTCATGTGACGAAGGGAAATTCGACAGACGACCCTCGAAATTTAGGGGTAAAGACTATATGGTTTCCGTTTACGATGTCCCATAAACGAATCCATTGAATGGTTGATTGTTTTTGGTGTTGATTTCATCATACCACCAGAATTAAAATAAATTAGTTGTATAATTACAGGGGATTTAATGCTGAGAACTGATTTCTTTCAATTTAAGGCAGCAAACAATTATGGTTGATGGTTCAATGTGCCTGGTTGGTAAGAAGGGTGGAATTGTACGGCTAAAACTGGTCAACCTTGGATAGTTATATAAGTACTTTGACCTTTGCTATAGATGGAGATGTTGACTCATCAGCTAAATTTTTCCTTTTTTTTGTTGCAGGCTATCCAAGGTTGACAATGATAATTGAGGGAAACACGCCTTAATGTCAGAAAAAGTCAATATCCGAATTGAGTTGATCACTGGATGCGTGCGGGCGGAGTATTGCCAGAAATGGGGGCAATATGGGGCGCCCCCCCTTAGCCATGAATAGCTCCAGGGTGTTCATTAATTAATTGTGTCACTGTTTGACAATGGATTGAGGTAGCAAGTGAACATACGCACTTTTCCTTACTACTGTATACCCGTTGGCCATCTAACATAGATATTAAAAACTACAGTTTGTAAGTATATAATAATTTGGTATTTTTTATTTAGCAAAATTATCTATATACAAGGGTAAATTTCCATAGCTATGCTAGATTACCAGATGCTAGTCCTAGTCCTTGTGATTTTCCTGGACTTCTCATGGCACAAGAGCAAACAGCTGGTTGGTGTCCGTCAACAGCCAGCCGCCATCTTTTTGGTGCTAAACCATGTCTTGGTGATGATCTGTGATGATAATCTAGCCTGGCAAGAGGAGGCCTCGTGCGTTTACAGAGGAAACCCTTATGATATTTTTGAACCAATGGGTAACCCGGGTATGAGGAGTGGGTGGACTGTCTATTGCCTGTTTGGATTTCCTGAGTGTAATCCATTTTATTTGGTCCCAACATGGTTGTCTTGGTTGTCTTGATCAACTGACTAAAACTCACTTAAGATTTTAGTTGTTGAGTTGATGCCATTTTTGGTTCTCAAGTCCCTACCCAACCGGGTCATCCCAGGCCGCTTCTGCTGGGTCTTTGCTCCGAAGACCTGCTGCTCCTCTCTGGGAACGATGCAGGTGCCGCACAGGTCTTGGTGGATGGCAACAGAGTCGCGCAAGGATTGGTGACTGCACCTGTCATTCAGTTCTGTTTTTTGTGGTTGACCTGTGTGTTTGGGCTGTGCGGTTTTTAATACATGATTTGCTATATGTTTTGTTGGTTTACTTTTATCCTTTCAGATTTTCTGCATACCATCATATAGAAATTCAATGCATGACTGGGACATGTGCTCGTTTTGAGGGCATTTTGTATTTTGTTTTTTTAGTGGCTGCGGGCTCTAGCCCAAATCTACACCGACTTGGGCATACATAAGTTGTATAGCCTTCAACGTGCCAAATGATTGGCTTTGACCAATCGTATGTTCATTGAAGTTACAACCTACTAGGCCAGCCTAACCATGTGCCGGGAAAACCAACAGGTTGTAATCGGTGAATGGGTCATTGTTAGGCTGTTTAGGCTGTTTAGGGGAATTTTAAGAAATCGCACACCCAGCAACAAAATCTTGCCTCACAGAAGAGGTCCGTTAGATTGGTGGTTTTATCCCCTACATCCACCATGGTTCATGCGGCGTGCGGTTTAGTAGCCGGCCACTCCATATGAACGGAGGCAACGATTGGTTGTTAGATCATGTTAAATCCCATATTATTATATATCACGCGTATTATCACACGTTTATAGTGACGGACACCCAGTTAGAACCTATTTTGGAAAAAAAAAACGGACTTCGTACATCTGGCCGGGTTCTTACTCCGAGAGTTAGAAGCTTTAAAATTAGTCGCAGTTAGAACCCCACATTTCATATACCACATATGCTCCTGCCCTTGTACACACTCACAGTTAGAACCCCTTTTAAGCATACATATATTCACAAGTATACATGTATAATCATGTATAATATTATCGCTACTCTTGTATATGAACCGATGTTGTGCAAACTCACATATGTCTCTGCCCTCGCGAACCCACACACTTAGAACCTCTTTGTATACATACATATATCATATATCCACAAGTATGCATATATCATATCGTATGATAAATACTTTTGTATATAAACTCAAGTTGTGCCAAATCACATATGTCTCTGCCCTTGCCAGTGCACACTTTGAAGCGAGTGCTCACACTTAGAGCCTCTTTGTATACATAGGTATACTCACAAATATACATATTTCATATTACAGGTACTTTTGTGTATGACTCCGTGTTGTGCGAACTCACATATGTCTGTGCCCTTGCGAGTGCTCACAGTTTGAACCTCTTTGTATACATAGATATACTCACAAATTTACAAATTTCATATTTCGGATACTTGTGTGAATGACTCCGTGTTGTGCGAACTCGCATAATTCTATGCCCTTGCGAGTGCTCACAGTTAGAACCTCTTTGCATACATACATATCATATGCTCACAAATATACATATATCAAGAATCATATCACGGATATGTTGGTATATCGACCTGTGCTGTGCACTCTCACACTTGTTTGTGCCCTTGCGAATGCTCCAACTTTGAACCTCTTTGTATACATGCACATGCTCACAAGTATATGTATAATTATGTATATATATATATATGAGCAACCGTAAAAACCCCGGCAATACTAAATATGTATTCGACGGACTTTGGTTTATGGAAATTGATGGAAATTGTTAAAAACACGAGGTAAGCGATGGGACCTTCCCAAATTAGCGATACCCCTTTTCAAGGTTATGTCATCATATTTCTCTAATATCCACATTAGCGATACCCAAATATCACATATTATTCATAGTTCATCACATATATATATATATATAAATGCAGCAGTTTCCTGTAAGCGATACCCCCCAAGTTTACCATATATCATTATTGTACAAACGTGTGGTAAGCGATGGGACCTTCCCAAATTTGTTGATGTCCTTTCCGTGAACCTAGGGTTTTCACAATCGCTCATATAGATCATATCACAGATGCTTTTATATATGAACCCGCTTTGTGCGAACTCACATATATGTTTGTGCCCTTGCAAGTGCCCACACTTTGAAGCTCTTTGCATACATGCATATACTCACAATCATATTTATATTATATCATAATTCCTCTTATATAATATATAAACCAATTTTGTGCAAACTTACAAATGGTTGTGCCCTTTCGAGTGCTCACACTTAGAACCTCTTTGTATACATAGATATACTCAAACATATACATATTTTATATTACAGATACTTTTGTGTATGACTCCGTGTTGTGCGAACTCACATATGTCTGTGCCCTTTCGAGTGCTCACAGTTAGAACCTCTTTGTATACATGCATATACTCAGAAGTATACATATATCATATCACAAATACTATTTTTTATGTGAACCCATGTTGTGCGAACTCACATATGTCTGTGCCCTTGCGAGTGCTCGCACTTAGAACCTCTTTGCATACATACATGTGCTCACAAGTATACATATATTCCATCACAGATACTTTTGTACATGGACCCATGTTGTGCAAGCTGACATATGATTGTAACCCTGCGAGTGCTCACAGTTAGAACCTCTTTGCATACATACATATACTCACAAGTATACATATATCAAGAATCATATAACGGATACGTTGGTATATCAACCTGTGCTGTGCACTCTCACACTTGTTTGTGCCCTTGTGAGTGCTCACACTTACAACCTCTTTGCATACAGATATTCACAAGTATTGGTATACATACATCGTATCATGGATAGTTTTGTATATGAACCCACGTTGTGCGAACACACATATATGTTTGTGCCCTTGCGATTGCTCACAGTTAGAAGCTCTTTGTATACATAGATATACTCACAAATATACGAATTTCATATTACAGATACTTTTGTGTATGACTCCGTGCTGTGCGAACTCACATATGTCTGTGCCCTTGCGAGTGCTCACAGTTAGAACCTCTTTGCATACATACATATGTCACATGTATACATATATTCCATCACAGATACTTTTGTACATGGACCCATGTTGTGCAAGCTGACATATGATTGTAACCCTGCGAGTGCTCGCACTTACAACCTGTTTGCATACAGATATTCACAAGTATTAGTGTACATACATCGTATCATGGATAGTTTTGTATATGAACCCACGTTGTGCGAACACACATATATGTTTGTGCCCTTGCGATTGCTCACAGTTAGAACCTCTTTGTCTACATAGATATACTCACAAATATACAAATTTCATATTACAGATACTTTTGTGTATGACTCCGTGTTGTGCGAACTCACATATGTCTGTGCCCTTTCCAGTGCTCACAGTTAGAACCTCTTTGCATACATACATATGTCACATGTATACATATATTCCATCACAGATACGTTTGTATATCAACCCGTGCTGTGCAATCTCACACTTGTACGTGCCATTGCGGGTGCTCACACTGTCACACTTAGAACCTCTTTGCATACAGATATTCACAACTATTAGTATTTGCATACAGATATTCACAAGTATTAGTATACATACATCGTATCATGGATGGTTTTGTATATGAACGCATGTTGTGCGAACTCACATATGTTTGTGCCCTTGCGAGTGCTCACAGTTAGAACCTCTTTGTATACATAGATATACTCAGAAATATACATATATCATATTACAAATACTTTTTTTTTATGTGAACCCATGTTGTGAAAACTCACATATGTTTGTGCCCTTGCGAGTGCTCGCACTTAGAACCTCTTTGCATACATACATGTGCTCACAAGTATACATATATTCCATCACAGATACTTTTGTATATGAACCCATGTTGTGCAAGCTGACATGTGTTTGTAACATGTACCCTTGCGAGTGCTCACGCCTGGAACGTCATTGTATACACAGGCCTATACATACATATACTCACAAGTATACATATATCAAGAATCATATAACGGATACGTTGGTATATCAACCCGTGCTGTGCACTCTCACACTTGTTTGTGCCCTTACGAGTGCTCACACTTAGAACCTCTTTGTATACGTACTGACAAGACTACATAAATCACATCACAGATTCATTTGTATATGAGCCCATGTTGTGCCTACTCACATATGTTTATGCCCTTGCGCGTGCTCACACTTAGAACCTCTTTGCATACATACATATGTCACAAGTATACTTATATTCCACCACAGATACGTTTGTATATCAACCCGTGCTGTCCAATCTCACACTTGTACGTGCCATTGCGAGTGCTCACACTTAGGACATCTTTGTATACATATATTGACAAGTATTAGTATACATATATTGTATCATGAATAGTTTTGTATATGAAACCTTGTTGTGCGAATTCACATATGTTGTTGCCCTTGCGAGTGCTCACACTTAGAGCCTCTTTGCATACACACACATGCTCACAAGTATACATATATCATATCACAGATAGTCTTGTATATGAACCCATGTTGTGCAAACTCACATATGTCTGTGCCCTTGCGCGTGCTCACACGTAGAACCGTTTTACATATATTCACAAGTATACAACAAACCGTATCATAGATAGTTCAATATATGAACCCGTGTTGAGCAAACTCACATGTGTGTGTGTGCCCCTTTTAAGTGCTCACACCAAGAACCTCTGGCCAGGACCATGGGTCGGGACAAATCTCTTTATCTATCTAACAACCTACCTGTAATTTATTTATTTATATATATAAATATATATGTATATGTGTGTGTGTTAATTTTAGTTTAGGACATATAATTTGATTTTCTCCATTTTTATGAATCCCTTACTGAGCATTTTGTCCAAAGTGAATGGCGATTAGAGTTTGCAAGCATTGCCGCAACAGAGCGGCCAAATTGAAATGACAAGATTTGATGCGTGCAGGAAAATGATGCGGTTCTCATAGTTGGTTGGTGTTACCCCCTGAGTTAGAACCTTTTGCAAACCAAGGTTCTAATGAGTTAGAACCCTTTGCAAACCAAGGTTCTAACTGTGCAAAATTTTTGGGTTCTAACTGTGGGGCGATGAAATTTTGGAAAAATTTTGAGGTTCTAACTGAGTGTCCGTCACTATAGTTTAATTCTACAATAATTATCCGTAAAGTCACGTTCAACTGCCTGTTGGTGGCCATCGTCTTTCGGCCCTTCTTTTAAGGTCGCCTTTCGTTCTGAGATCTCGGAGCCGCAGCCACCGTGGCTGCTGGCAGCCTTTGAGGACTTGCGTGACGATCCATCTGTGAGTGACTTGCAGCGATCATAAAGTGCTTCGGAAATGGATGGAAAGCCAACAAAAAATCGGAAAAGAATGCCAGGGAGAGAGAGAGAGAGGTATATATCTATAAATTATCTATATATACAGTATACACATGTCCACCAATCTAGACACCAAAATAAATATAGCCGAACCAACTCTACAAATCAAGTTAAAGGTTTTAAATTCATCTACAAGTTCTCCATGTTTTTCCCACTTTCTATTGACAGTTTCATGTGGGGAGGGGTGAAAACCATTGAAGACCCATTATTACATATATTATTACCATATTTGAGGGAATAACCATCCATTAGCCAGCTATTTTAAGGTACCATCCGGGCACCAGGGTTTTGACTCATAGCCATATAGCTTTGTCTGAAAATAGAGTACCCTAAATCCATCGGTGAATGATCATGTTTCCTTTTGAAATAGCAATTTAGGGTTTACCCCCTGTTCAGACAAACCCATATACTGATGGTTCTATCTATCCCAACCTATGGAGATCATTGGATCATCTAAAACCTGGTAACCCTGGTGCTTCCCGTACTTTCAGGTTACCTCGTTCCGGAGGAGGCCATGGTGTCGCCTCCGGTGGAGCTGCTGCAGCTCTTCTTCCGCGCCAGAAGCTGGGCGAAGATGGCCCCCTGGATGCGGGAACTGCTGCGCATCGCCCTGAGGACCTGGATGGACCTGGAGAAATCCATGGGAAAAAACGGTGCATTTCACAGCGAAAATCAATGAACATCAGCTATAAATAGAAGGTTTTCATGGAAAAATCCATGAATTTATGAAACTAAAGTCGAGATGATTGGTGATGATGGTTTTTAATCTACGAATGTTGGTGCAATAGGTAGATCCACCATCCTCAATTTTATCATAATTAAATAGATATAGACGCTATCGAACGTGAACATATTGGTGGTTGATGGCATTACTTTAGTAGCATCATTTCAATGGTGTTTAATGGGAAAACATCAAACTAAATTGTGATGATTGTTCATGATTGGTTATTAGCGAGGGAGATGAATCCCACTATCCCAACATATCAAGCCTATTTGGCGTTTTAACTCTTTGAAATGGTGGTTAAATATGACTGAATTGGGGTTCAATGCGGACACATGGGAATACAATGGGATAGATTACTAACCAACTGGTAATCAAAGGCGGCAAACGCCATATTCTGCCTACGAGTACTTCAGGATGATTATGAATGTATGGGAAAATGCCAGTGATTTATACTTCAACTTATGCTTCTGGGAAAATAGGCTAAAATAATATGGGATGCCCTCCGGTAATTTCACAGTTGCCATGGAAAACGGCCCATTTACTTGGATGATTGACCTAGGAAACATGGTGGGTTTCCATAGCTATTCGAAGTTACCATAGAATTTTCATATTTTCTCATATTTTCCACCCCATTTAGATATACGTATATATATATAATTACATATATATATTTATATATGTATACGATTTTCCAGGCAGCCATGTTTGATTGCCAGAGGGTATATGTTATGTTCCCATTCATCCACTAATGATTTGGTGAAGCTACTGGTTTCTGGGGACAAATCCTCCTGGCTGAGGACAGGTTGGCTTTGGAAATTGTTGAAGATGCTCCATACATTGGCTTGTGTATACCAACAAGTGTTGTGTACACCAAATTAGCAGGTGGCCTATGTTGAAATTTGACCTATGGATTAAATATGGCACGCCCAATGAATGCATTAACGTATGAGATGAAATGGAGGAAGAATCGGTTGATCTCCCATGCGTATGTCCACACATTTGTATTGGCAAATATGTAGCAATTGATTTTAAGCTCAGTTGGGAGGTCATGGGAGGTCCATGTTACTTTGCCGGAAGATGGTATGACATCCAAGCTCTCTACAGGGCACCATTTCCATTATAATCCATTTGCTTTGGATTTTTTAATTTTCCGGTAATGCATATTAGATCCATATATTAGGTCTATTTAGATACATGTTCATATATATATATAATTAGAATATATTGGATGTGAATTTATCATATCATATACTAGATTATTAGATCTTAATTCTTGATTTCCCTATGAGTTCTTGGGAGATAGGCTGGCAATGGAAATATTATTAGATGGACATATTAGAGCCATTTCCCAATGGAAATATATCTCACATATTATTAAATACATTTCCCTATGAGCTATGAGTTAGAGCCATTACATCACATCCTCTGCTGGCAGGCTGCTGGAACTGGCATCTTCTCAGCTGAGGCGAAAACTGACATCCAGGGCGTGGGATGTCGCCGTTTTTAGCGCCCGACTGTCTAACAGCAATATAAAGCAAGCAGCAAATATATTGTAGTTGTTCATTTATACATACCATATGTATATAATACATATTATATACGTATAGATATACAGACATACACGTGCGTATGTGAACGTTTAACCAGTTTGAGACCGTATTTGGGAATGGTTTTTAGGTTGCAAACACCGTCGCAGAATATATTTGGAGCATCAGGGATACTCACAAATAATTTCTATAACATCCTTTATATATATATATAGAGAGAGAGAGAGGTATGTCTTGAAATGTACCATTTTATTTTAGCTCAAGAACACAATCACCGAATATGTCCATCCCCAGACTTTTTATAGACCCTCAGAATCGCCATTTTTCAAAGAAACAAATGTTTTCCAAGCCCCACGTCATGGCAGAGTCAATTTGTTGGTTGGAGGGAGGGTATGTTGCTCCGCGGTTACAAAATGTTACCAAAAAAAAAGTTTCTGAAGGAACTAGGTTTGAAAATTGTTTGCTTGTGGCTTGTGTTATTTGGTTGATCTGTGTGTGTGTGGGTATTTGGTTGATCTGTGTGTCCTGGGTTTATCAACTAAAATCACTGTTAAACATAGAGTAGATAGACATGGCAAAAAGAAACCACATAGCTGTAGATGATTCACCTTTGAACATTGTGTTTTCCTACTAGAAGCTTAGACTCTATCATATGGATTGCTAACTCCCCTCAATGCCCATGATCGCAATGATGCCCAGATGTGCTGAAAAACAAAAACATATCTACCCCAATTGAGGTCACCCATTGGCCATGGTCGCTGGAATGACAATAAAACTGCAGTTGAATGGAAGTACAACAATACCTTCAAACAAAGTTTTTTGTTAATTTGACATGGTTTCCCGATGTTTCCCGTATGTTTCCCATGTTTTCCCTTCGCCCAATTCATTGAAATTTGCAGTGATGTTAGCCGTAACACAGCCAGCAGGACAGCCATCAGTCCGGTGCAAGCCGTTTCAGCCGCAACACGTTGCATCCTGGGTCTTTCTCAAGTGGCCTTGGAGCTCAAAGATATGCCAAGCTGGGAAGTTTGCGACTGAAAAAGTGCTGCGTGAGGGATGTGGGGATGGTGACGTGGTGTGGATCGGTCAATTTATTGAACATATGTACAAGAATGACTGGGGATGCAAAATTTTGTTTCGAGAATTGTGTGTGTGTGTTTGTGTCGTTCTGTTCTGTTTGTTTCTTTCGTTGGCGGCATTGACCGGCCAATTTCCGGGGTACCGGAGTTTGGCCCGGACCTGCAGTATAATCGTTATATAATCATAATCGTTATCTGACATAAAATGGCAATGCTATTTGTTATTAATTCATGTTATTATTGCCATGATTATTGTTTTCCATTGTCAGATTATATTAGCTGTTATTATTATTGCAATTTGTGTTCCATCAATTTCCATCAAACATAGCTTTCGCCACGGCCTGACATCAACCGAGGTCAGCGCTGCCGGCGTCAGCACCCGTCGCAGCGCCCAATTCGAGGGCTATGCAGAGGTGGCCAGAGCCACTCAGCTGGGACGCTTTCGATGCATGGACGCTGTGGATTGGCCCCTTGATGTGAAAGGTTGGGCTTGAAGGATTTAGCATCTGGTTATTTAACATAGCTATGGAAAATGGCCCATTTATAGATGGTTTACCTATTAAACATGGTGATTTTCCATGGCTATGTTAAATAACCAGAGGGTATAAGGATTTTGTGGAAGATGTTTTTTTGGTGATTTTGATGGATTTAGTACCTCAAACTGAGATTGCACCATTGAAACAGCCACAAAACTGGTTGACACATCTATAATTAGGATTCATTTCACCGGCCGAGTTTTGATGGACTTTGCAGTTTGAACAGCCTTGATGTGCAGCTTTAAGAGCTTTGCTTTGCTGAAGATTAGCTTTGGGTAATTTACTGAGAAAATATGTGTGGTCCCTGGCCCCATGGTGGTTGGAATAGCATACTGTATTGTAACTTGATGTTGGAAAAGGAATCGCTTCCAACAATCAGAAAAACACAGAAGGCTCTTTTTTGTAATTAATTTTGCTAGGTGTTTACGCGCTATTGGGTTGCTTTTACCTGGCAGACTCCGGTGTTGTCGGTGTTGCCCAATAACTGGAGGGTTCACATGGTTGGTGGAGTTCAGGTGCAGGTGTAAACTTACATTGCTATGGAAAATCAGTTGTTTGTTCTTTGTCCCTATTTAAATTAAACCTTGAAGCCAACCTGTTGAATTTTCGGAGGATATATATATATACACATAATATATTTAAGTATAAATAAATATATATATATATCTCTCTCTCTCTTTCCGTCCATCTATCTATCGATCCATCCATCCATCCATCGTAAAGAACATCAAAGAAGCTTTCAAGATCCCACGCAAGGTACAGCAGCCCTTGGCAAGGGAAGCTTCTGGAGGCCACAGTTGGGTCAATTCAAAATCCCATCAAGTGGTTTCTGGATGAAGGGAAGAAATTGTTATATACAAAAGATCCAATGATGAAATCCCATGATATATAGCAATACAATAGATCCATATAGAAATTGCTATGATATGGGATCTTCATCATATAGCAATACAATAGATCCAATGATGAAGATCCCATTGAAGCACAATTTTCCACTGAAATCCCCACAGTGCCATCCAGGCCCGCTGGCGGCAGAGACTTCATGGCTGGAGCTGTCCACAGGTGAACCTGCGGGGCCTCACCGTTGGTTTTGGGGATGCTTTGGGAAGGCGGGGAAACCATGGGAAACCATGAGCAACCAGCAAAAAATCGCCACTTTAGATTGGTGAAGTATTGTTTCGTTTTTTGTGTTTTGCGAGCCGGCCAGATGCTTTGCTGGTGTTTATTTCTTGAATTCACGAGCCCATGGGCAGTTTCCATTGCTTTACCAACTACATATACCAAGCCAACACCGTGGTGCTGATTTGTAACAACCAGCTAGATATTGGATACCGCCCAGAATCATCCAAAACCGAAAAAGATACAAAATAACAATCATCCAACATCCACCAAAACCGAAGATGATTCCAATATGATCATATTACTATACTTCTTTATCCACATGTCGATTTGTTGCATAATCATAGCTATCCAGTGGTTGGAGGGAGCCAAGGAGCTAGGGCCAGGGGTAAGCATACTATTCCTTGTTAAATGGGAAGCTAAGGAGCTGCAATCAAAGTTTCCCAAACACATTATGAGCATAATATTTTGCAGATTTACATACATGTGTTACATCATAATGTTATATTATCCTACTTATTATCCACATATATCCACATATTCCAATACAATACGGTGGATGGAAGATGATGGAAGAAATCTCCATGGGTAACATTATTCAATTCTTTAAATAATGGGATTAATTATAATGGGATTATTAAATGGGATTATAAGTGGGAACATTCTTCCATCTACCAGCTGATGCAGGGATTTCGCACCGTATCATCCCATCCTCCAGCAGGTGCCCCTTCGCCTCGAGGTTGCGCCACTCAGTGAGTGGCTGCAGCAACAGGAAAGCCTGGTTACTTGGCGGCCCCTAAAATGGGGAATTTATCCATTTAAGTGGGGATCACACACAGATAAATGTGTACTAGTATATATGTACTCATTACACGCTGTATATATATAATATATATATATATATTTAATTTTAATTATGTATAAATCATACACTTTAAATATGATAGATAGATGTATATATATATGCAGTACACGTATATGCGCGTCTATTTGTGTGTTTGAGTTTGGGAGCATAATGTCCATACAACTACCAATGATGATCCCACATGATTTCTGGGATGATCCTGTGTCAGGGGATTGAAAGCACCAAGTACGGGTCTGGTACAACAAACAAAATGGTGGTTTGATTTAACTTTAACCATCCTGAACATGTGATATGTCAAATGTGTTTGATATGGTCGGGGATGGGACTATCGCTGAATCTGTAATATCATCTGGAAATAGTTGTGGATAGATGGGGAGGGGGACACATCAGATGATATGTGATTCCAAATAGATTTGGTTAGTTTGATCATTATAGATAGATGGCCACGTAACTACATAAACAGCATATGCTACATAATGGCTGCACATATTGAACATATACTCACATGTTACATCTATTCACATAAATATAAAACAGAGAAACACAATATACATATATATATATATACTTATTACATATAATTATATATTTACTGATATATTTACTGATATACCATAAATACATATGAATATAATATATATAATATATATATATATACATATATATATATACATATATACATAATTGTACATATATAACTATATATATATATACATACATAATTATGCACATATATATATACATATACATAGCAAGCAGTTGCAGTAGAGGAATCCCAGCTCCATCTTCCACCAGGTTGGCGCCATGGTGGATCCTTCCACTGAAACATGGGCCATGGAGGCGGCTTCGCCCATGGCTGGGACATCCCTGACTGGTAAATCACCATGGAAAATGGGATAAAATTGTTACCCTTTGGTAAACTAACAGTTTGCTATTGAACATTGCCATAGAAATAGTTCATTTACCTATTAAAAATGGTGGTTTTCCATAGCTATGTTAGTTTACCAGAGGGTAATTGAACAGTTTGCTCTAGAAAAATCATCATGCTTAAGAGGTATACCCTCATGACATGGACCATGTTCACCCATTGATGCCAGAGGTTTAGAAAGGACAATTCGTTTTGCTGACGGATTTTCCGGCCGTCTGGGATCCATCGAGAGGCGCTGGTTCAGCCAGAACTTGAGATCTTTGCGGAAGGAGATCGATGGGATTTTACACCATGGTCCAACTGGATGTCCTTTGGGTTACCCTCTAGTCATTTAACAGTGTGCCATGAAAAATCACCATTTTCAATAGGTAAACCATCCATAAATGGGCCATTTCCCATGGCTATGTTAAATAACCAGAGGGTAAGTCTGTTAAGTTTTTTGGGATCCCAAACCAGCTGGCCAGAGATGAAACGCGAGAGTGAGAATGAACGGTTTTCTCAGAGCTTCATTGCTTTGAAACCATCAATAGTTGTTAGCTGCAACCCCAAAATTAATTGAGGAAGTTTGGAATCTCACCGAGTTGTGGGACACTTGGGGATGCTTTATGGCTTTGGGCCTGCCACATTCTCAATGAATTGGCGAGATGTTGGGGCTCCCCGTCAACAGTCAACACAACCAGCTTTGGTCAGGAACTTTGGGACGAAGGGGAAAGGGTTTAATTCGTGCTGCAGCCCCCTACCACCAGCGGCTTAAGCTTGAAATTGTGGCACCCCTGTTGACCATTGAGCAGTCGCACAGTGTTTTTTTCGCTCACGACTTGCCCAACCCCAGGAGTGGAATGCAAAGTCTTCTACATCCCAAAGTTGCTAAGTCAACAGGAGCGCGCATTTGCTCAGCACATTTTACGATGCACTCCCCCACCAAGCAAACATGGCGACAAACATCAGTTTTGTTCAATCCATATTGGGCGGACATGTTTTCTGTGGAATTTCCAATCCCACTGGGATGACTACAAGACCGAGCCAGTGGTCTCTCATGGGTAGGTTGTTTTGATAATTCCTTCCTTCAAATCTTCGGTGGGGATGGGAATACTAAGAGGAGGATGATAGGACACAAACTGTAGGGATCTACCTGCGCTAGGACTGTCAAAATCTGATAGCCCTGGCCTTGCAACTGCAACAGCCTCAAAGCGCTGCTGCTAGCACCGTACCGCTGCTCGGAGCGTTTGACGTCCTTGGTTCAAAGCAAGGGGTAAAAGGACTTTTCCAGGCAAACCGCGGTTTGAAGGTAAACAACCCATGTGTTCCTTCAGATGTTGCTTTCAGTAATCCAGCGATAAATAGATAAATAGATAGATAGACAGATAGATAGATAGATAGGATAGATAGGATAGATAGGATAGATAGGATAGATGGGATAGATAGGATAGATTAGATAGATAGGATAGATTAGATAGATTAGATCGATTAATTCGATAGATTCAATAGATTAGATAGATTAGATAGATAGGATAGATAGGATAGATAGGATAGATGGGATAGATAGGATAGATTAGATAGATAGGATAGATTAAATAGATTAGATCGATTAATTAGATAGATTCAATAGATTAGATAGATTAGAGATAAATTGGATAGATTGGATAGATAGGATAGATAGGATGGATAGGAGAGATAGGAGAGATAGGATAGATTAGATAGATTAGATTAGATAGATTAGATAGATTAGATAGATTAGATACACTAGATAGATTAGACAGATTAGATAGATTAGATCGATTAGATCGATTAGATCGATTAGATAGACTAGATAGACTAGATAGATTAGATTAGATAGATTAGATAGATTAGATAGATTAGATAGATTAGATGGATTAGAGAGGTTGGAGAGATTAGAGAGATTAGACGGAATAGACAGATTAGACAGATTAGATAGATTAATTAGATAGCTTAGATAGATTAGATAGATTAGATAGATTAGATAGCTTAGATAGATTTGATAGATTCGATAGATTAGATAGATTGGATAGATTGTATAGATAGGATAGATAGGATGGATAGGAGAGATAGGAGATATAGGACAGATTAGATAGATTAGATAGATTGGATAGATTCAATAGATTAGATAGATTAGATAGATTAGATAGATTAGATAGTCTAGATAGATAGATAGATAGATAGATAGATAGATAGACTAGATAGATAGATAGATGGATAGATGGATAGATAGATAGATAGATATATAGATAGATAGATAGATAGATAGATCGATAGATAGATAGATATAGATAGATAGACAGATATAGATAGATAGGTAGATAGGTAGATAGGTAGATAGACAGATAGACAGATAGACAGATAGACAGATAGATAGATAGATAGATAGATAGATGAGTATAAATACATCTAACTACATCATTTACATTCATATACACATAAGACATAAGACATAATGCATAAGAAATATGTATTACATGTTGGAGATATCTTGAACTTCAGCTGCCATGTGCCCCAGAATCGCCTCAGGTTGCCTTCGCAGCTCCTGGCCTCCCTTGGCGTCGAAGATCGCCTGGACGTCGCCCCGTCGGCGACGTGGCTCTCGGCGGCGCCGGCGGCGCTGCTGTGGGAGGCGCCGGGCGCTGCGCTGCGACGCCAGGGGACGTCAGTGAAGCTCACCGCGTGGTTGACGCCGCCGGGGGAAGTTGACCCTCGGAGCATCATAGATTAATGGTGGTTCCCTGGATTGACTAATGGATGTTATGGATGTTAATGGATTAATGGATTGATATGGATTGATATGGATTGCTTATTGATTTAAGAGATTGATGGTTGTTTCTGGATGTTTCTGGTCCTTCACTGGGTTTCCAAGTGGAATATTTGGTTCAACCACTAGATTCACTAGATGGTATATGAATTAATCTGAAGAAAAAACATGGAAAACTTGCGGTGGAAACTGTGGTGAACTGATATACACCGAAGTAGATGATTTCCTGTATCCTGTTGCCTTCAAGCAGTGCTGGGATCGGAGATTGAGACAAACATCGTATTCAATTTTTCCAGGTTTGGTTATAATTGAGGCATGACATTTCTATGAGAATTTTTGGGAACATCCACCAGCATTATTTCTCATTTTTCTGAACATCTATTGATTATATAATATTTATTTAAGCCACAAACATTGGAGATGAACATTTGTGACGTAAACTAAAAGTCCTGCTAGGGATGAACATAATATCCTTCGAACCTCTTGTGGAAAACGCACCTCTGGTAGAAAGTGGAATGCTTCTATGAATCAACAACCAAACTTTGTTTTGATTAAATAGGGCAACATCACCCTGTGAATGTAACCCCAAATTGAAAAGATCCACAACGAAATAAGGGGTTCCTGGGAGCGGTGTTGCTGTCATCATTATTTTGATATATTCCTGTTTTTTTTTGGATGCCTGATGTTCCCGTATTCTTGTCGAAATCAAATCAATGCTCCCAAAACTAGACAAAGGGGCGAACATTTGCAGGACCAACACCATCATCATTTTTTCCTTGCCCAAAATCAGGCTTTCCTGTTTTTGCGTATACCAGATTTCCATGAACCCAAGCCCATGAACTTCTCATCCGGCATTTCTTAGGTCTTCCCCTGGCTGGGAAGCTCCGACAGCACCGCCCTCAACGACAGTGCGCAGCTCGCGGAGTTGGATGGTGTGAGGCTGTCAGCGCAGCAGGGCGATGCGATGCTGGCGCCTTGGCAGGGATTCTGACTGGGTTAACCTTGGATGGGTAGGTCCAATGTATTTATTACTATCAATTAGTGGACATCCAATGTATTAATTATATTTAATTATTGATTACTATTAAAAGGTTAGTTTAACTTTAGAAAAGTAACATCCTATACCAATATATACCAACGTAATTAGTATTCATTAGTGGTCAATTTGTGTTCAACTGTTCACATATAACCTATTTGGTGTTTGATGATTTACAATACCTAACATCCTATACTAGCATAGTGGTGAAATTATATTTGCTCCTGGTTGACCAGTTATGGGAATGGGTGCAAATCAGCCACAACATTTTGCAATTGTTTACACGGTACTGGTATCTATGATTGACATGGATTATGTCATTGTATGACCCACTGGTCACCGAAAAACAAAGCTAGTCCGCTTTGAGGTGATATTGAATATGACGGTGAGCATGGATGGTTTACGATGGTTATTGTACATCAGGAAAGTTATGATAAACCATCATAAATCAGGTATACGGTATATTTGTTCTTTGAACAAACCACTTATTATACCACATCAAGTGGAGGAATGGCCGGCCGCGAATGCCAGGTGGAGCGCGGCCCTGAAGCCGGCAGCCGCGGCAGCCGGGAAGCGTGGCATGTCCAATCCTCCACCACTGGGACCTGGACCCTGCAGAAAGTGTGGCAAAAGTGGGACCAACGGCTGCCAGAGGATGTTCAGATTGGGATTGGGGGGGAAAAAAAACATCAAAAACACCAAGAAAAATGGGGTGTTCGTCAGGTCCAGTTGGAAAATCTATAGGTTTTTTTTCCATGTGTTTTGCTGTAATTCGACAAGCCTTGTGGCTGGTTGGCTTGCAGAAATAGAGCTAGAAGATCCTGTTTGTTTAACAAACGGGTTGGCCGTGCTTGACACTCACATTGTTCTGCAAGGGGAGAGAGTCTTAAGGGCCGGAAATATGCAGCGAAAATTGGGAGATATCATATGATGCCATGCTTTGAGACATCTTGATACTGCCACCCAATCAGAGCCATTTAATCAGAGATATCTTCAGCGAAGGTCAAATTCCCTTTGTCCACCTTGAGACACGTCCTGCAGCTGGCTCAAGAGAGATGACCTGATGAGATCTGTTGCTGCTCGTGGCACGAGGCCCACATGGATCGGCATGGTGAAGGGTTTTTTGGACGACCTTCCTGGTTTTCTGATGAGAAATCGGAATAGAATTTTACCTCACACACACACACACATATATATATATGTGTGTGTAATCTTACAATATAATAATATATCTTAAGATATCATATGTGTACTGTAATATTTGGGTCATTTGATGGAAAAGGGAACCGCATCCTCGGTCTCGTTGCTTCACGAGGTCACGGGTGTGCGGCTTGTAGATTCGATGGCCATGTGTGAAGCTCAGCTCAGTTCGCCGATGTTGACAAAGCCACATCATCCACATATGATGTGGGTAAAACATGGTCAAACAATAACAAGAACCATCCCCAAGTCATCACATTTTTATAGGTGCTATATGTTATAAATCTATAAACCATTCCCAAATGTGTGGTTATTTTTGTTTCACCCAGATAGATTTCAAATATACACCCTAGTCATTGCATTTTTGCGTGCTGGTGGCCAGAGGCCCAGCAGGCCTGAGCTTCAAAAGACATGGCTTCTGCTTGGCCTGTTGCTACTGGTTGTTCCGGTGGATGCAGCGATCACTTGCGTGAAGGCGGGATCAACTCCTGGGATTTCCCAAGGGAAAGCTGCAGGTTTTGTGACTTTACGGCACCTCGGATGTTTTTTTGAGCAATGAATTGACATCTCAGACATCTCAGAGCATTTCGCCAGATCAAGCGCTGGATCGAATATGTCGCTATTTGCTGCTGTACATGCGCGCTACTTGTCAGGTTTTGGGCATTGGCATGGGGCTTTAGTTTTGATGATGACAATTGGCACTACTGAAGTTCTCAATGTTGTTCTGATTCGACGCCTGTTGGTCGTGATTATGTTGAACACATTGAAGGGCTTGCACCTGCAAGATAGTGGTGCTCACATGTTGCCAGCATTAGCGAAGAGGTTTTATAGCAACCTGGGTCTGTCCCAATATATCCCAAGCATAAGTGATTATATCTTTATATATAACCTTTAACATCCTTTAACCCTGACATACTAAACACTTAGGCTAATTCTAGTAACATTGGGGTTTCTGTCGGTGTTTCGGTGTTTGGGGTGGGCCACTTGAGACCTGTCAAAAGTGGCATGGACATAAACACACCATGTTTCGGCCTATGGAACCACTGCTGGTATTTACCAACGACCCAATTTTGGGGTGCTTAAATTTAATCTTTTGCATGAAATTCATGCACAAGTTCACATCCATCAAGTTCTAAGCGCCGCTGCTTCAATTGAGCTGCTCCTGAGCTGGAGGTTTCCTGACATGGTGGTACCTCAAGCTACCATGGGTTTCAATACTAAGTTACTAAGTCATGGTCATCCATGACTTGGATGAAGGGTAGCCCTATTTTAGGAGAGACATGGAGAGACCCTTTTCTGTGTTTCACCATTGACCTGTTTTTTAACCATAGATACCTCATGATACCTCCATAAACTGATCATTTGCTGCGCTCTGAGGTCCATCCTTTGCTCTTTGCTGGTGGCCTTATTTCTGACGAATAAGGGCGGCGATGATGGCGCTGATCCGTGGGAAGGTGGGGAGCCAGAAAGGCCATGGGGTACCACACATGATTCACACCTATTAATGCAGTATATATATATATTATATTATACGATATTATAGCATATATATATATATATATATGGTTCCGTGTCCCGTGTTCCCACCCCCCCCCCCATGGGATGGGGGGGGTATGATACCCCCTGTGGATGTATGATGATGTATGTATGTATGTATGTATGTATGTATGTATTTATGTATGTATGTATGTATGTATGTATGCATGTATGTATGTATGTATGTATGTATGCATACTGTAGATACCCATCTGTACATGCTGCATTGAAATCATCATACTCGTTTTGATGATATCAGATCGGCAATGACACGGACATCTACGGTCAAACTGCTTTTTTTTCATCCTTGCTTCGAGTGGATGCGCCTTGGCACCAACAAGTCATAGTGACAACCAGTGCGTAGCACGTGGCACTGGCCCGTGGCCCATGGCGGGTCCTCTGACCAAATCGGCTTGACCTTCTTGTCATCTTCAATGTAGACGAACACAGCCAACTTCGAACTCTCAACAAACCGACCGACGCTCCACATCGTCGCAAACGAATGTGGTTTCGACATGAACTCCCAATACCTTTCCCAGGTGAAAGGTTTCGAAGAATCCCAAGCAGTCTCTTGTTCCAGTTCCACTTGTAAGCAAGTGGCCGCCATATTGGCCGCATCGGCCGTGCAGCCCTGCACGTAGAGCTTGCTGAATTTCACGAGGTCTTCTCGGAGGGCTGCAGCTCGGGCATCGTTGTCCTCGAGCGCATGCACTTTCACGCCAGCTTGCAATTGCAGGGCCATCGCGAAACTGCGATAGAGGCACCCTCCATCGCCACGGGTCCGAAGGACAAAGAAGCGACCCAAGGTTTCCAAAGTTTTCAATGCGGCTTTGGCATTGGGCGACGGCAAGCCTTCATTGTCTCCAGTGCATTGTCCAGGCTGCACGACACGCGGCATGATCCGCAACAAGGATTCATGTCGTGTGATCATTGTTCCCGTGGTGATCTCCTGCAAAGTGGCAATGCCGCCGCTGAAGCTGACCACACTGTATTGACGCAGGCCATCAGAAGAAGTTTCAAATTTTCCAAATCCAGCTGTGCTCTTGTATTGCGTGACTTGCAAAGTACAATGTCACCGGTCACCAGAGGTGCTTGCTGCAGCTCTTGTCGCTTTTGCCTGTTGACCTTCTTCGCTAAAGCAGCACGTTCTTGGGCCGAGTGGAAAAGCTTCTGCAATTGTGTAACATCATCCCCAAATTTCTCTGCAGCTTTCTGGTACAAGTCATGATCGGCAGCCGCATGTTCATCTAGTAGCTCCAAACACTCCGCATCCGTTAGCGGATCAGCAGTCGTGCCAGCAACAGCTTCAATGGTTTTGCTGCGCCATTGAGACTCAAGTGGCCTCAGCGCCCGCCACAAGGTTTCTGGTGCAAGGCCATGTGGGCGTCTGGGCAAACTGTTGTACGCTGAGACAGCACCGAGCAAGCGTTGACGGTCACCTCCGTGACTCCCGTCCAACACTCTATTGTACCTGAGCGGGCCAGGTGGACCACGTCTGTAAGTCAGTCCTGGTACTGGTTGTTGTTTTGTTGGTGTCTCTTCACATTCCTGGGGTTGCTGTATATCATATTAAGCATATGAACACTGTACACAAGGGAAATGGAATCATCATTTGCATATATCGAATGCCGTGGATCTATCATACCGGAGTGGTAACTATATATGGTCACCGACAGAATTATGGAAAAAATAAAACGTTTCAATTTACAGGCGCCGCCTGTCTATGATAGAAAAGTTACGAACCTTGTTTTTTCCATAATTATTGTTTCCATAATTATTTGTTTTTCCATAATTCTGTCGGTGACCGCATTTCCATCGATTCGCAATTTGAATGCATTTTAAGGGGGAATATTGAATTATAGAAAATATGTGTCTAAAGATCTGGTATATGCCCCTAAGTCTTCCCTTGATATACATAATATCATGTGATGTTCGCAATTTGAATGCATTTTAAGGGGGAATATTGAATTATAGAAAATATGTGTCTAAAGATCTGGTATATGCCCCTAAAGCCTGCCATTGATACACATAATATCTGGATGTTTCCCTTTGCCAAGCCACCAATTGGTTGATACTACATACTTGCATTTGCATACATATTTCCATAACCCCAAAAAAAAACGGGTTTGAATTGTGGATCCATGACATGTCCAACAGGTGGAGCCCCAAACATTAATTATGGAAAAAATAATTATGGAAAAACCGGTCAATCTGGCCTAGCCCCCTGATTTCACAGGAAAAATCAATTATGGAAATAATGGCCACCTCCAAGAATTATGGGAAAAAAAAGGTTCCACGCACTTCCGGGATATTTTTAAACCCTTATGGGGAAAAATCCAAGTATGGAAAAATCGGACGCAGGCGCCGCCTGTCTAAGTTGAACGTCTTATTTTTTTCCATAATTCTGTCGGTGACTGTACTCTGGAACTATGTATATATGTATGTATGTATGTATGTATGTATGTATGTATGTATGTATGTCTGTGTATGTATATGTATATGTATATGTATATGTAATGAATATGAATACAGTGCATCATAGATAGGAGTATATCATAGTGTCAAGTATAGAACATCACCTCAACAAGGGTCTTGGAGGTGTGACGCCCTCTGCCTAGCTGCGCCTCGACGAGGCCATTGGACTGCGGTCGCCCCGCAGGAATATACTTGGGCACTATTCCAAGGGTGAGTCGGATCGCTTCAGCAACGACCCCCCGGAACTGCGATCCGTTGTCTGACCAACAAATTTTGGGTATGTCGACATGATGATAATGCTGCAGCAGCAACGTTTGGACTTCCTTGAGGCCCTTCCTCAGGTGTTTGGCAAGGGAAGAAAAGTCAAAAGTTAAAAGGCTGAGTCACTGATTCTTGAGGTAGTGAAGAAACCCATGGATCTGTTTCCTATCCGAGTGGAAGGTTCAGCAACGTGCCATGTGTGACACCTAAACCGCCGAAAGTAGAAATCAATAAGTGATCAAGGCAGTACCGAGAGTCGCATCATCATCGAGAGCATGGGCCCAGAGGCGGTTGCTTGCAAAATCGAGAAGCAGTAGCATTGTCCAAGGTTCCGAAGAAGAAGGCGTTACCTTCTTGAGGTCGACACCGAGGATTTCACCAGATGCTAATGGCCGTGGAAGCCTCCTCACATCCGGCACGTTGACTCCTCGGGTGGAATTGGCGAGGCAGAAGTCACAACGTCGAAGCACGAAAGCTGCGTCGAGATCCATGTTGTTCCATGTCTGCTCGGCCTCACGCAAGACCTTGATGACACCTTCGCGGCCCCCCAAGTGCTGCAGGGATTCATGCGCTGTCACGATTTTGTTGATTTTCTCCTGGACAGAGATACCAGAAGTGTCAGCTTTGATGTCCTTCATCCACCAATTGGCTCTTTTGCCCACTGCGTGCATTGCCTGAGCCGTCTTCTTGTCGATGCCTGAAGCTGGGAGTGGTGCAACTGAATCTGTTAAAGATGCATTTAGCTGGACTTTTGCAAACATCAACTAATTTGATAGCGTGGTATGTCTGTTTATACAATTTATATATATATATATATACATGTAGTATATTTAAATAAATATGCAGTATATATATATATATATATACATGTAGTATATAAGAAAAGTCAAGGTGCTGGGCAGTGAAGTCAAAGGCACGTGCAGCAACCAACGAAGTGCTTCTGCGACATCCTGTGTCTCCCAACATTCAACGCTAGCGGTTTCGCTAGCTCCAGCGTCTTTCGAGCGTTTGCCACCATGCTCCTGGGCAAAGTCAAGCTTCCGTTTCTGCATGTTCGTCTCACAGCACTCTTTGCAAGTTGAGCCAACCTTGCCAGTGTACTCACACTGAGTTTTGCTGAACGCATCCTTCGCCTTCTTCACCTTGCATTGCTGGCACTGCTTGGTATGCTGCTTCTGGGAAATCTGTTGTTTCGCAACACACAATTTACACTTGGACTTTGACCCGCGCTCCCACTGAGTATCTGTGAAAGAATCACGGGGAAGCTCTTTCAAGCACTCCACGCAGCTTTTGGTGGACTTCACACGTTTCAAGAAACGATCATCCACTGGGCGGCATTCTTTGCACACTGGAGTCTGGGAAAGAAACTGCCGTTCTGTGAAGAGCGCCCTGCGAAGGTCTTTCTTGCATTCAACACACTGTTTTGTAGTGCTTGCAACTTGTGGGAACCTGGCATCCAAGGCTGCCTCAATCAGCTGCTGAACATCGTCCTGGCAACCGGACGGTACCCATGCAATATAGGCTATGTGCAGTGGAAATTGATTAGAAACACGAACGACAATGATATCGATTTTGTTTCATCGGACGGCACTCCTTCCGAACATATTCTCCCGCTTGTTGGGCAGATGCAGAGTGAGAGACAGGTTGCTCGGGCACAGAGCTGGCAGACGCTGGAGCAGCAACAGCCGGAGGACTGCCGTCTCGCGGAGGCTCAGCTTCGCATGATGCTGCGCCTCGTGACAGCAAGTGCAAGTGTTAGACAAGGCACTGTATGCTCATGGAATGTCCAAATTCGTGAATAAAGGTAAAGCCAAGAAGTCTACAGCTCCGGTAGGAACCAGTTGATACTTATGGAATATGCCGATAGCCTGCATTCAAGCAATGCCAAGTGCATGGCGACAACATGTCAAACATGTTAAAATATGGTGAACAACAATGGATGTAGGAGTCAAAGAAAACCAGTCTCAACTGCACCGTGAATGTAAGAGTTCGCGAGTTCGCATGTTCGTTACGAGTTCCAAAACCCCGGCTCCTATGTATATTTATACCATATGTATACATGTATCTATGTCTATATGCATGTATATGTAAATAGAAATATATCTGTCAATGTACACATTCATATCTATATATATATATACCTAGATAGATATATATATATATATGTATATAGATATATATTTTTGAATATATGCGTATATATATATATATATATCTATCTATATCACTATATATATATATATCTCACTATATGTATATGTATATACATATATTTGTATAGGTGTATGTAGGTGCTTTATATGTAAGGTAAATAAAGTTATGCATATATATATATGAATAGAAATAAAGAAATAAATAGATCAATAATACACATATATATATATATATAAATGTATGTATATATTCCCCGAGCGGGCTGGGGACATCGACCATGCAGGCAGCCCCAGAAAGCCAGAAAGGAGAAAGAGGAGAAGGGAGGAAGGGCAAGAAAGCGGGGTGGGGACGTGGCAGTGTCGCACGCACCCACTGCCATGGGCCACCAACCCAGGCAGGGACGTGGAGCACCGCACACGCACCCCCAGGAAAGGGGGAGGAAGAGGAGAAGGGGGGAAGGGCAAGAAAGCGGGGTGGGGACGTGGCAGTGTCGCACGCACCCACTGCCATGGGTCACCAACCCAGGCAGGGACGTGGAGCACCGCACACGCACCCCCAGAAAGGGGGGAGAAGGTGAGGGGGAACAAGGGAGGAAGAAAAGCCTAGACCCCCAAGGTATTTACGTATAGCACCAACGGAACATCCCAAAATCAGTGAGTAGTAATGATACTGTATCTCTGCATTGGTCCATGTATCAAAGGTTCCACTGGAGTACGATCTGGCTACCCATGCGGGCCTTGGCAATGCTTCTTCGCCTTTTCCAAGGTCAGTGTTTCATAGTAGTGTTGATGCTGACGTGTTGCCTGCCAGCGGCCTCGCATATATTCCCGCGCTTCTTCCATGGTAGCCCGGGGATGTTGTTCCCAAAAGGTACAAACAGTTTGCCAATCCTGACCCGATCGATCAAGCAGCTTCTCTCCAGACGGGACCTTTGGAGCAGCTACCTTGGGAACTACTTTGTCAGCCTGAATCCTGAAGACCGGCTTGGGCACCATCTGAAGGAAAATCGACTCATTCAAGTGATCCAAGGATTTATACAGCACTTGCACCACGTGATTCTTTCCAGGCTTGGCATTTTCTGAGCCGGGCATGCGACCTTGTTGATTCATAGAACATGCTCTGGCATCAGCTTGCAATGCCTGCGTCAGTTGCTGCTGCACCCAGAACGCAGTTTTGGCTGACAGCGTGTGGTCGATGAGGATCCACGCTTGAAAGTTTCCAGCAGACGTGGTAGTGACACACCGTGGCCTGACTGCCAGCAAGTCTTCCCACCGTCCCTTGTAGCCGTCTAAATCCAAGAAGACTAGATTGCCTAGCAAAGGCCGCACAAACAAATGGCATCTATTGAGTCGCAGCCATTGTGGTAACGCTGCCAGCAGCGCTGCCCGACCAATCGACTGTCTATTGAAAAGGCATTGGCTCTTGTCAGCGCTGAGTGCTGTCACATGCCAAGCAGCACACTCAGGGAATGCATTTATGAATTCTACCGCTTGGTCCATCGCGGCTATGCCGCAAAATCAGCTGTTTCTGTGAATAAAGGAAAAAGGCAAAGCACATTTGTGGAGTCTCAAGTCTGATCAAATTAGACTGCACCGTCTGTTGTCACCAAGAATGTTGAAGTAGAAACTGGCAAAATCAGGCCTCGTGATAAGTCCCTAGTAGGTTGTTCCGTAGCAGTCTATAGAGACTGCCTCTCTGAACCTATGAACTACTCGCTCAAAAACCTGGTTTAGGCAGTTTACAAACGTCAAACATCTACCACTTCAGCGGCAGCAATCTGCTGGGATCTAAAATCATATCTAGATGCTTTAGCTAGTGCAGCGTTGGGTAGGGAGAAACCATCCAATAGAAGGAAGACACGTACATATCTTATATGGATACATACATACATACATACATACATACATGTACATACATGTATGTATACATTACATTACATTATATTACATTACATTACACTACATTACATTACATACATACATCCCATCCCATACCATACCATACCATACCATACCATACCATACCATACATACACACATACATACATACATACATACATACATACATACATACATACATACATACATACATACATACATACATACATACATACATACATACAGACATACACATATACATACATACTTACTTACATACATACTTACTTACATACATACATACATAGAAAGATAGAGACATACCACCAGCACAGGCCACAGGGGGGGGGGACCACCACAGGCCACAGGGGGGGGGGGGGGGACCAGAAGACACATACATAATACAATACATACATACATACATACATACATACATAGATACATACATACATATACATACATACATACATACATACATACATATACATACATACATACATAGAAAGATAGATAGATAGAAAGATAGATACATACCACCAGCACAGTCCACAGGGGGGGGGACCACCACAGGCCACAGGGGGGGGGGGCAGATAGAAAGATAGATACATACCACCAGCACAGTCCACAGGGGGGGGACCACCACAGGCCACAGGGGGGGGGGGACCAGAAGAACCAGAGGATACTGTAGACCCATACCCATTGGTGGGGGGGGGTGGTGGCCAACGCTGCACCATATATATATATATATGGCAAGATGCTGAACTCCCGGAGAGGGCGATGGAGAGAGAGAAATAGTACATATATGCATATACATATAGACCCAAAAGGAGGATGTAAATTCCTAAACTAGTGATAGATGATATGTTAATTCTGTATCAGGGGTTAGAGCATGTTAGAACAATAAATATTTCTTTATACCATGTCCAAACATATAATATAGGCATATAGATGATTTGCGATTTTTGATGCCCTGGCAAAATTGATGTTTGGCTGGTTAGGATTTATAATTTATATCCCAACTGTGGCAAAAGCTTAAGGTATGAAGCTGCCCGTGTAGATAGATTATCGTTTATTTGAGTAGAGTAGATTGGAGTAGATTGGATAAATATATAGGTAGATATATATATATATATATATATATATAGATGGATGGATAGATGGATAGATAGGATAGGATAGGATAGGATAGATAGGATAGATAGGATAGATAGGAAGATAAGATAGGATAGGATAAGATAAGATAAGATAAGTAGATCGATTGGATGGATGGATGGATGGATGGATGGATGGCTGGGTGGGTGGGTGGATGGATGGATGGATGGATATATAGGTGCCCCATCATGTGTAGCCCTAGAGTTAAGGGTAGTTGTACCCGGGTACCCCTTGCTCCCTGCGCCTTCAAGGCTTCAATCCGGACGAGAACGGCACAGCTGCGGACAACACCACCGCGCGTCTCCTTTCACTTCTGGGCAGGCGCTGGGTAAATCTGGGACCCCTAGTGCAAAACGGACCCATGGGGGAAATTACAAAATCTGAGATATAGAGTTTGGGAATGCTTAACATAGAGACTGACGATCTAAATCCATTAGGAAGTTGAACATGGACCCAGTATCAAGTAGATATTACTTTAAGTATCAAATCCTGAAGTAAATAGAATACCTAAATGTCAATCATATTCCCATCTTGGTGAGGAGTTTTGGACAATTCCATATTCTGTCTACTCCAGGTTATATATTATACAAATTACATAGATGATCAGATGATCCAACATTTATTGACTGGAAGGACACTGCCCCATTCCTGCCCCATACCCTTCCGCTCCGGTGAATGTCACAGGTCCGTGATGCATGCCTTGCGCAGCCCGTGAAACACGGGCTTCTCTGCGCGGGATCAGCGCTTGGGAGCACTGCAAAAAATGACGGAAGCTGCGAGAATGAACCTCAAGAGCTAGGTTCTTTCGTGTAAAGTCTTGTAAATGTTAAATGTCCATCCATTCTCTTCTTTGTTTCTGAACATGTGTTTGAAACATCACCCGAAATGGTGGTTACGTTGAGAAACTGCAAAGATGTCCCCTAGCGAATTTGTGGGGTATAAATATGTGAGATGTAATTATGTGAGCTAAAGGCATCATCTTGTTGGTACTCTACATATTCGGACGTATGATTGTGCTTTCAGATAGGTATGGCCAGTTTAGGCCATTTTGCTGCAATGGCACTGCTGCTTCTTGCTCAGTCCACCAACTTCTGTAAAGAGGCCTGGATGAACATCAGGATGTTTTCAATGTGGCCGGATGGCAGCTTTAAAACTTGAGGAACCTGGGGCAGTGCCAAGAAAATCTGAGGGACTTTCCATGTTGATGCTCCTTACCAGGTCCAGATGATGTGGGTGTCACAAGGCAGTTTGGTTGCAGCATTTGGCCCAAGCCGAAATCAAAGTTTGGGTGCACCTGGTTCACAAGGCCTCAGCCGCTGACTGCAAAGGTGTTGCACAGATTGGCTGGTGATGATCAGAAAAAACAGCTGCCAATTAGATGTATATTCTTGTGTATATATATATATATATCCTTTTTGTATATTTATATGCATGTATATACATGCTGCATTATATTATATCATATTATATCCAGCTATGATAAAGTCATGCCAGTTCCATATATGTCAAACAAGTTCTACCATCTTCGGTCAGGGAAAGGTGCAAGGTTGTCGGGTGAAAACCAGTGAAAGCTCAGATTCCGAATCTCTTGGTTCTCCACTTTAGATGGCCTATCCTTAACTGGCTCGTAAGCCCCAGCAAAGCTCGATCGTGTTTTAATGGTTTTTTTCACCAAGTGACTAAACAGTTTGCCAGCCCCATTACTTGGCCCTTCAGTTTCTCGCCGCCCAGTCCAACCGCTCAACATGTCGATCACGATGTCAGAAAGCGACACTTAACGGCATGGATCGGCTGGCTGGTGTTGATCTATCCCTGGATCAAAGCCAGTCTTTTGATGGTGTCAGATGGATTTAAACCATAGTTGAGTCCCGCGATATTTGAGTTACAACATGCCCCCTAAAACTTCACCTTTTAGCACAAGAAGTTTGCCCACAGCCCAGGTGGTTTCTTGATAAACATCCTTGGATTTTTCTTGGGAACGCCCACGTATGACATTTAGGTCCAGCATGCGGGACTGAAGTATAGCATAGCATGTAGATGATATTCATGTATTATGATTTATAAACCAATCATTGGTCATTCGAAATTACAATTTCATGATTTCAGGTAAGTCCACATCCATTTGCACAACAGCTCCCGATACCTTCTGAGACTGTGGGATGGATTTTAGGGTCCAAACAGCTTCTCAGATTTCTCAAGGGGCATTTGGAGCATTAGAGTATAATCATATGGAATCATATGGAACATGATCTTCCATTGTTTTCCCAGCTTGGCTTGCCACGATTGCGATCTCACGATCTCAGACGATCTCACGATCTCACCGACCAAGGCAATCAAGGAGCGCTTCAGGTGGGCTCAGGGTCGAGAAAACGGATGTTTTTGATGTTGGCAACTGCTAGGCCAACAAGAAGCCTATTTCAGCTGAAGATGGTGTAACAAATTTAAACATGTGCTAACTTCAGTGGGCTCTCATTGATACTTGACGAGTAGGAGAGTTATTTCACCGTAACACGCAGATCCAGGGATCCCCAGGGAGTGGCATTCCCGCGATAGCAGAAGGGGATGACGGAAAAAACCCTGCAAAGTGGTGCCCCCCCAGCTACAAGTTGTTTTAGTTTCACCCACTAATTGAAATAGTCTAGTTATAATTTTACATCAAAATCCATCAGAATCATAGATTTTTTGTCACCCTAAACGCTACAGTAGTTGGAGTTATAAACCAACTTAGCTATGGGGCACCACTCTATATCCCATGATATTCCCATCATACCATTTTGCGTTTCTTAGATCACCATGATATTCCCAGGCTCTTGGACGTGGACCGGGACGGAGTGCTCGATTTCGTTTGGGCCCACAAAGCGTCGCGGAGAGCCATGGGATCTTAACCCCCCAGTTGGGATATGGGCCTATATAATCATATATACCATCTGGTTATTTAACATAGCCATGGAAAATGGCCCATAGAAATAGATGGTTTACCTATTAAACATGGTGATTTTCCATGGCTATGTTAAATAACCAGATGGTAACCATATATAACCTACGTTTGTTTCATGGCTTTTGCAGCCTGAAATATGCTGAAATTCAGCTGGAGCTGCACCCTCAAGTGCTGGTATTGGGTTGAAAGATCTTTTTGACACTAGGATGCTAAGGCACCTGAGTGGGACAAAAAAAACATGTGCATATAATATATATATATATATATATATTATATGTGTATATTTATTTATATATATATACACTATAGATAGTGATATCATATCCCCATATATTTGCAAGGAGAATCCAAAGTCAGCCTGGAGAGTGGTAGCCCAGCACCTCAACGCATTGAGGGCTGGTGATTTTGATTTCATGGCCTGAAACTTCAGATCCACATCACCAGCCCGGCAAACATGGCAATTGAGCATCTCTCAATTATAGCTATAGTAATTATGATATATTATGATTTTCCGAGCTACAAAAACCTCCATTTACTTTTTGGTGATTTCCCAGCCAGCCACGTTTGATTAGCGGTTGGTTAGTGAAAGAATTCCTAATTGTATTCCCAGATTTCCCCATTCTAGTGCCATTATATTAACAACTATGAACCATTTCGAATGGTTAAATTTGCATTGGTTCCATGCTTTTGACCCGGGGCAGCCCGGGGCCATTTCTTGATGGACGCTATCAGGAAGAGTTCTACTCCTGGATCTCAGAAGATGATTGCGACATGACCCGAAAGAAGGCGACCGCAGAAGAAGTTCAACGCAACATATACTATTATATATATATATATTATAATTATATAACATACAAATTGAATTGTTATATTGTATTAGATTATACCTGCGAATATTTGCCTATACATGTACAATCATGTACATATCTAGATGCATCACATGAAGAATATGATGTACACTGCGATCGCTCCAGGCGACGCCCATCTTCGATCAGGTGGTCGATCCCGAAACCGGGAAAGTCACCTTCACCGCGCCCGGGGGCCTGGAGTTTTCGAGGGTGGCCATGTTTTCCCAAATGTTTGGAGAGTTTCTCCATTTTTCGCCATTGTTAGCGGAGCTTCTCCATTTTTCCCCAATTGTTTGGAGGCAGTTTCTCCCTTTGTTTTCCCAATTTTTGGGGGAGTGTCTCAATTTGTTTCATCATTTTTGGGTGAGTTTCTCATTTTTTTCACATTTTTTTGGTGAGTTTCTCCAGTTCTTCCAATTTTTTGGGGCGTGTCTCCATTTTTCCCAATTTTTTTGGGGGAGGTTCTTTCTATTTAGACGTTGCTGAGTAGCTGGAAAAACATTTATTTGCAGCCATGATGACCGCCATGATGACCTGGGATTTCCATTTTTATGGGTACTTGGAGGGTCGAAATAGGAATCCAGCTTGCTTAGGACTGGCAGATATTGGGAAGACTCATATATCCGGGCTTTTTGTTTTTTTGAGGGGGAATGTTGTTTAGCAGCGTATATAGCCAAAACAAAGGGTTCCGGAAAAGGGGGGGACGGATTGTATGGCTGAGCTGGGGATTGGATTAGGAATGATTCTGGTGCTTGTCAAATATTGGCACTTCTGTTTGCGATATATATGATGCATGGTTTACTCATATTGGATTTACCACCTTTGCATCCTCGCCGCAGATGAAATAGTTGTTTGTTTCTTCTATGGTGTTTCATCTTAAAATGGTTGCTTTTCCAGAGCCAGGCTCCATTATGAGAGGGTACCCCGCTGTTTTTGACATAAACTGAAGCGTAGTTCAGTTGTGTTCAGTTTAGATCAGCTAATTACTATTGTCCCAACCTGAAGCAAACAACTATACCTTACCCGAAAGGCACCCAGGTTGGTTTATGACCTTTAAGTGCTGGTTCATGTGATATGGGTTGGCCCCATGGAAAGCCTATAGGAAAGGAAGATGTTTACTTTACATATTTTAACAAACCAAATGCGGGAACTCTTCAAATTTTCTCTGATCCAAGTCCTCCCCGGACTGATATGTTGGGATGGATTTTAGGGTCCAAACAGCTTCTCAGATTTCTCAAGGGGCATTTGGAGCATTAGAGTATAATCATATGGAATCATATGGAACATGATCTTCCATTGTTTTCCCAGCTTGGCTTGCCACGATTGCGATCTCACGATCTCAGACGATCTCACGATCTCACCGACCAAGGCAATCAAGGAGCGCTTCAGGTGGGCTCAGGGTCGAGAAAACGGATGTTTTTGATGTTGGCAACTGCTAGGCCAACAAGAAGCCTATTTCAGCTGAAGATGGTGTAACAAATTTAAACATGTGCTAACTTCAGTGGGCTCTCATTGATACTTGACGAGTAGGAGAGTTATTTCACCGTAACACGCAGATCCAGGGATCCCCAGGGAGTGGCATTCCCGCGATAGCAGAAGGGGATGACGGAAAAAACCCTGCAAAGTGGTGCCCCCCCAGCTACAAGTTGTTTTAGTTTCACCCACTAATTGAAATAGTCTAGTTATAATTTTACATCAAAATCCATCAGAATCATAGATTTTTTGTCACCCTAAACGCTACAGTAGTTGGAGTTATAAACCAACTTAGCTATGGGGCACCACTCTATATCCCATGATATTCCCATCATACCATTTTGCGTTTCTTAGATCACCATGATATTCCCAGGCTCTTGGACGTGGACCGGGACGGAGTGCTCGATTTCGTTTGGGCCCACAAAGCGTCGCGGAGAGCCATGGGATCTTAACCCCCCAGTTGGGATATGGGCCTATATAATCATATATACCATCTGGTTATTTAACATAGCCATGGAAAATGGCCCATAGAAATAGATGGTTTACCTATTAAACATGGTGATTTTCCATGGCTATGTTAAATAACCAGATGGTAACCATATATAACCTACGTTTGTTTCATGGCTTTTGCAGCCTGAAATATGCTGAAATTCAGCTGGAGCTGCACCCTCAAGTGCTGGTATTGGGTTGAAAGATCTTTTTGACACTAGGATGCTAAGGCACCTGAGTGGGACAAAAAAAACATGTGCATATAATATATATATATATATATATATTATATGTGTATATTTATTTATATATATATACACTATAGATAGTGATATCATATCCCCATATATTTGCAAGGAGAATCCAAAGTCAGCCTGGAGAGTGGTAGCCCAGCACCTCAACGCATTGAGGGCTGGTGATTTTGATTTCATGGCCTGAAACTTCAGATCCACATCACCAGCCCGGCAAACATGGCAATTGAGCATCTCTCAATTATAGCTATAGTAATTATGATATATTATGATTTTCCGAGCTACAAAAACCTCCATTTACTTTTTGGTGATTTCCCAGCCAGCCACGTTTGATTAGCGGTTGGTTAGTGAAAGAATTCCTAATTGTATTCCCAGATTTCCCCATTCTAGTGCCATTATATTAACAACTATGAACCATTTCGAATGGTTAAATTTGCATTGGTTCCATGCTTTTGACCCGGGGCAGCCCGGGGCCATTTCTTGATGGACGCTATCAGGAAGAGTTCTACTCCTGGATCTCAGAAGATGATTGCGACATGACCCGAAAGAAGGCGACCGCAGAAGAAGTTCAACGCAACATATACTATTATATATATATATATATAATTATATAACATACAAATTGAATTGTTATATTGTATTAGATTATACCTGCGAATATTTGCCTATACATGTACAATCATGTACATATCTAGATGCATCACATGAAGAATATGATGTACACTGCGATCGCTCCAGGCGACGCCCATCTTCGATCAGGTGGTCGATCCCGAAACCGGGAAAGTCACCTTCACCGCGCCCGGGGGCCTGGAGTTTTCGAGGGTGGCCATGTTTTCCCAAATGTTTGGAGAGTTTCTCCATTTTTCGCCATTGTTAGCGGAGCTTCTCCATTTTTCCCCAATTGTTTGGAGGCAGTTTCTCCCTTTGTTTTCCCAATTTTTGGGGGAGTGTCTCAATTTGTTTCATCATTTTTGGGTGAGTTTCATTTTTTTCAAGGTGAAGTTCTTCCAATTTTTTGGGGCCTCCATATTTTTTTTGGGGGAGATTTAGACAGAGCTGGAAAATTTATTTGCAGCCATGATGACTCCTGCCCTTTTAGGGCTATTATTGGTCCCGGATCCCTTTCCGAAAACGGATCCCAAATATTGTTCTGCGATATATATGATGCATGGTTTACTCATATTGGATTTACCACCTTTGCATCCTCGCCGCAGATGAAATAGTTGTTTGTTTCTTCTATGGTGTTTCATCTTAAAATGGTTGCTTTTCCAGAGCCAGGCTCCATTATGAGAGGGTACCCCGCTGTTTTTGACATAAACTGAAGCGTAGTTCAGTTGTGTTCAGTTTAGATCAGCTAATTACTATTGTCCCAACCTGAAGCAAACAACTATACCTTACCCGAAAGGCACCCAGGTTGGTTTATGACCTTTAAGTGCTGGTTCATGTGATATGGGTTGGCCCCATGGAAAGCCTATAGGAAAGGAAGATGTTTACTTTACATATTTTAACAAACCAAATGCGGGAACTCTTCAAATTTTCTCTGATCCAAGTCCTCCCCGGACTGATATGTTTTGCGAAAACCTACAGGATTTGGAACTCTTCCCACAGCCATGTTTCCTGTAGGTCTTCCCTTGATCCATCGAATTCAAGGACGTATCACCACGGCATTTCTCCATTCCAAAGTGAGTAACTTGAATGATTTTAAGGTGTCCCTCCATGGCTTGGGAACCTTCCATATTCCCAGTTGGGGATGGTCTATTTTTTGGGTGTACCCCATTATTATCCAGTATCACCCATATCCCACAATTATCCCGCTATAGTATCCCATATAGTATCCTATTGGATCGGTTTCGTTATTTTTGTTCATGGTCAACCACAGAATGGAGATAGTGATCCCAACTTCCCCTAATATTTTTCAGGGGGTCATCCAACTTATCCCATGATATCCTACCCTTTAAATCCAAATGCTTCCTGGTCCTGAGACGGTATACGTAAACCCCAGATCATACGCAACTACTTATGCCAGAAAAACTCCATACCCTCTGATAATCAAACATGGCAAAGGAAAATTCCCCTATTTAGAGCAGATTTTCCCATTGAAACCTGCATGTTTTTAGGGGATTTTTCCCATTGCCACGTTTGAAAACATCCCAGTCTGCCAGATTTCTCCATGAAATCCCCGGCAAAGAAAGTCCCGTCCCTTGGAAGTCCGACGACTAAAGCATCAGTTCCAATGGTTAAATTCCCATTAAAAACGGTTAATAATGGTTAATGCTGGTTAGTATCAATGGATAATAATGGATTACATTAAAGTCTATAGCTAACATCTTCCCTTGCGACAGGTTTGTCAGGTGCTGCAAGGAAGTCATGGGCATTGAAATCGAGGAGGAGAAACCACCTGCCACACCACCTGTCGTGGAGCCCAGAAAACCGATTGGTGAGTCTTTGGTGAATCTTTGCTGAAAACATATAGCTATGTAGAAAATTGACAATTTATAGTTATAGTATGTTATAGTTGATTGACCTATTTCTCACATGGTGATGTTCCATATGTTAATTTTTATCAGAGGGTAGCTACTGTTCAATATTGTTGTGCTATTACCCTCCGGTAATCAAACGTGGCAATGGAGAATGGCATGTTCATAGGTGTTGTCCCATTAACAACCCTCATTGACAGAGGCTTTTCCATATTGCCACCTCCACGTTTGATTACCTCGGATCATATGGCTTTCTCTCAGACTCAGCGTAGGTCAAATCACCACCGATAACGATTGATACAAAACACGCACCCCCCAATTATGTTGTTTTATAACCCCATGATCCCCTCGAATTGCAGAGATATCTATGATATCTAAATATATCTAATATCATTCAATTGGTGGTTTCCTGAAACAGGGATACTCCCAAATCATCCATTTTAATGGGATTTTCCATGATAAACCATTGGTAATTTTTGGATACCCCCACTTATGGAAGCCCCCAGTTCTATCCATTGGTAATCCTCAATCAACCTAGCCATAAACCCGCATTTACGGAGCCATATCCAATCCCAATCACCATATGAAGCCATTGTGTGATTAAACTTGTCCAACAATTGACCCCATGTCGGTGAAATATGGTGAAATCTTGAATATAGATGAATAATGTTGGTTCCTGATTAGTGTGTGCCCCCCCCCCCTAAACTAATTTCTGGACTCTCTTTAAAGTAGAAAGTCAAAAATTTTCTTCCCAAAAGAAAAACATATCCTCAATTAAGTAAGGATTTCAATTGGCTACAATTGAAATCTAATTGCTATTGTTTTTTTTGCCGATGAAGTTGTGGTATTTGTAGTACTTGTAGTACTTGTAGTACTTGTAGTACTTGTAGTACTTGTAGTACATGTAGTACTTGTAGTACTTGTAGTACTTGTAGTATTTGTAGTACTTGTAGTAATTGTAGTACTTGTAGTACTCTTGTAGTACTTGTAGTACTTGTAGTACATGTAGTACTTGTAGTACTTTCTTGTAGTACTTGTAGTACATGTAGTACTTGTAGTACTTGTAGTACTTGTAGTACTTGTAGTACATGTAGTACTTGTACTTGTAGTACTTGTAGTACTTGTAGTACTTGTAGTTGTAGTACTTGTAGTACAGTACTGTAGTACTTGTAGTACAACTGCTTGTAGTACAGTACTTGTAGTACAAGCTGCTGTCGCCCAGGGCTGCAGTCTGGGCCTCATGCTCCTCTATCACTTTCTTGCTCTAGCTTTTCACTGCCACTTGCCAGCAGCACCGCTGCTCCAAGCTCATGCTGCAGAAAAGCCACGATGATTGGGCCCGCGGCCCGTATCCCAGACTGCCAAACGTCACTTTCTGAACCGACTAGAAACTACTCCAAACATTGACTTTTTCCTGCGTTTTGCACTGCCAACTGCCACCCTGCTCGTGTCCTCCTGGAGCCGGCTTTCGTTCTGCACCGCTTCGGTCCAGCTGGAGTCCAAGGACCGTGTCGCAGGGCTAAAACACCATGGCATGAAGGACGGATTGGGCCCGCGCCGGCGCCCACCTGCCAAACGTCACTTTCTGAAACCGACTAGAAACTTCTGCACTGCCACTGCCACCCTGCTCGTCGAGCGTCCTCCTGGAGCCGGCTTTCGTTCTGCACCGCTTCGGTCCAAGCTGGAGTCCAAGGACCGTGTCGCAGGGCTAAAACACCATGGCAGTGAAGGACGGATTGGGCCCGCGGCCCGTATCCTAGACTGCCAAACGTCACTTTCCGAACCGACTAGAAACTAGCTCCAAACCTTGACTTTTCCTGCGTTTCTGCACTGCCAACTGCCACCCTGCTCGTGTCCTCCTGGAGCCGGCTTTCGTTCTGCGGCTCCAAACCTTGACTTTACCTGCGTTTCTGCACTGCCAACTGCCACCCTGCTCGTGTCGTCCTGGAGCCGGCTTTCGTTCTGCACCGCTTCGGTCCAAGCTGGAGTCCAAGGACCGTGTCGCAGGGCTAAAACACCATGGCAGTGAAGGACGGATTGGGCCCGCGGCCCGTATCCCAGACTGCCAAACGTCACTTTCTGAACCGAACTAGAAATAGCTCCAAACCTTGACTTTTCCTGCGTTTCTGCACTGCCAACTGCCACCCTGCTCGTGTCCTCCTGGAGCCGGCTTTCGTTCTGCACCGCTTCGGTCCAAGCTGGAGTCCAAGGACCGTGTCGCAGGGCTAAAACACCATGGCAGTGAAGGACGGATTGGGCCCGCGGCCCGTATCCCAGACTGCCAAACGTCACTTTCTGAACCGACTAGAAACCAGCTCCAAACCTTGACTTTTCCTGCGTTTCTGCACTGCCAACTGCCACCCTGCTCGTGTCCTCCTGGAGCCGGCTTTCGTTCTGCGGCCCGTAGCCCAGAGTGCCAAACGTCACTTTCTGAACCGATAGAAACTAGCTCCAAACCTTGACTTTTCCTGCGTTTCTGCACTGCCAACTGCCACCCTGCTCGTGTCCTCCTGGAGCCGGCTTTCGTTCTGCACCGCTTCGGTCCAAGCTGGAGTCCAAGGACCGTGTCGCAGGGCTAAAACACCATGGCAGTGAAGGACGGATTAGGCCCGCGGCCCGTATCCTAGACTGCCAAACGTCACTTTCTGAACCGACTAGAAACTAGCTCCAAACCTTGACTTTTCCTGCGTTTCTGCACTGCCAACTGCCACCCTGCTCGTGTCCTCCTGGAGCCGGCTTTCGTTCTGCACCGCTTCGGTCCAAGCTGGAGTCCAAGGACCGTGTCGCAGGGCTAAAACACCATGGCAGTGAAGGACGGATTGGGCCCGCGGCCCGTATCCCAGACTGCCAAACGTCACTTTCTGAACCGACTAGAAACTAGCTCCAAACCTTGACTTTTCCTGCGTTTCTGCACTGCCAACTGCCACCCTGCTCGTGTCCTCCTGGAGCCGGCTTTCGTTCTGCACCGCTTCGGTCCAAGCTGGAGTCCAAGGACCGTGTCGCAGGGCTAAAACACCATGGCAGTGAAGGACGGATTGGGCCCGCGGCCCGTATCCCAGACTGCCAAACGTCACTTTCTGAACCGACTAGAAACTAGCTCCAAACCTTGACTTTTCCTGCGTTTCTGCACTGCCAACTGCCACCCTGCTCGTGTCCTCCTGGAGCCGGCTTTCGTTCTGCACCGCTTCGGTCCAAGCTGGGGTCCAAGGACCGTGTCGCAGGGCTAAAACACCATGGCAGTGAAGGACGGATTGGGCCCGCGGCCCGTATCCCAGACTGCCAAACGTCACTTTCTGAACCGACTAGAAACTAGCTCCAAACCTTGACTTTTCCTGCGTTTCTACACTGCCAACTGCCACCCTGCTCGTGTCCTCCTGGAGCCGGCTTTCGTTCTGCGCAAACTCTTCGCCCCTTCTGGCATCTTGTTGCTAGTAAGGCCTCCTCTGACGCGCTCCCCCTGCTGACGGCAGGGGTCGGCGGATATTTGAAAAGTCTGCACTCAACAATTGGAGTCCTTGGAGTCCTCATTGTTTCAGTATTGATTCACCTGATTCACCATGGGAAAAAATACCGCAGGCGCCTGCACCACAAGCGCTGCAAGTGCCCCCCAGCGAGACCACCATGGTGAAGAAGGACATCGTGGTGCCTCGCAAGAAGGCACCGAGATTGTTTTTTTCGCGCCGGACCTGCTGGAAAATCATGTGAAAATCATGGGACCGAGATTAATTGAAAATCATGGGACCGAGATTAATAGGACATTCATGGGTAAGTATGGGTAGTGAGAATTGTCGAACATTGGGAAATCATGGGAAAATCATGGGTTTCAAAACGCGTTTGGCTATTCTTGGGAGTTTCACAGTTGGCCTTGTGATTTTTATGGCAGCGGGCGTGCAGGTCTTTGAAAGCTTTCAAGCACCAAAGAAGGCAGCCACCACTGAGGGGACCATCTCCATTCGAACCAAGAGAGTGCCTTGGTTCGCTTTGATGCGGTAAATTTTGGATGCTGCTGTTTGCTGCTGCACTTGTACTTGTTTTTCTTACAAACCATGGAAAATGGTCCCTCTTTATAAAGCAATAATTTGCCTAGTTAAACATGGTGATTTTCCATAGCTTTGTGAAACAACCAGAGGTTATTTGTAGTTGTCATTATGGAGATTTGTAGTGTCAAAGATGTCAAGACCAAGTGGCCAAAAATGCCTAAAGGCTAACATCCCAACATGCAGTGGCATTTTGTTCCTGCCAAATGGACAATGGATCCCACAACCTCAAGCGCAGAAACTTGCATGATCATACATACGTACATACATGCGTACATAGATTACATTATATACATTACATTACATGACATGACATTACATTACATTGATACATTGATACATTGATACATTGATACATTGATACATAGATAGATAGATAGATAGATTGATAGATAGATAGATAGATCGATCGATTCGATAGATAGATAGATAGATGGATACATAGAAACGTAGATACGTAGATACAAAGATAGATAGATAGATAGACAGACAGACAGACAGACAGACAGATAGATAGATAGATAGATATGTAGATAGATAGATCGATAGATAGATCGATAGATAGATAGATACATAGAAACGTAGATACGTAGATACGTAGATACGTAGATACAAAGATAGATAGATAGATAGATAGATAGACAGACAGACAGATAGATAGATAGATAGATACATAGAAACGTAGAAACGTAGATACGTAGATACAAAGAAAGATAGATAGATAGATAGACAGACAGATAGATAGATACATACATACATACATACCTACATAGCTACATACCTACATACCGACATACCGACATACCTACATACCTACATACCTACATACCTACATACCTACATACCTACATACCTACATACCTACATACCTACATACCTACATACCCACATACATACATACATACATACCTGCATCCGTACGTACGTACGTACGTACATACAGACATACGTACATACGTACATACATACGTACATACATACGTACATACATACGTACATACATACGTACATACATACATACATACATACATACATACGTACATACGTACGTACATACGTACGTACATACATACATACATACAGACAGACATACATACGTACATACTGTATTTATTGATCAATATGTGTGTATATACATACAATAAGTAGGCTCATTAGTATCTAGCATTTACCAGCAGATAATATTTGATACTTCACTCACTGATATATCGATGTATTCTCATGCCTTGCCTTTGCCTCGGGTCTGTGAGGCTGGCAGTCTTCCAAATCTTCTTGCCAGGCCGGCAGTCAAGGGCGGATTTTTTCATGACACGCCCTCCCAGTGCACTGTGGATTCAAACTGTTATTGCTGGTTTACAGTTCCTGTTATCGCATGAAGTTGCCAATAAAGGAAAATTATAGAAACCCTTAATGTCAACTTATTGTCAACTTAATGCGATAAGAGGTGAAATACCTTATAATTAGGATCTTATAGAACATTGGATGGGACGAATATGATCGAATATCCACAAGAGAGACATGTTCCGTTGTGAAAACCATGGCATACATATATTTCTGCAAAGTGGTTTTAACATCTCAATCCTCTCGCTGATGGATCTTGATGGACTGGCCATGGAACGCAGGCGTTCTTCCACTGGGAGTTCAGCAAGTCCGCCTACCCTGAAATGGGAGGAGATGAGCAGGGTGGGGGAATTCTGGGGCTGAAATTGTGGGATAGACATGCATGCATATCATCAAAACACTGCAGCATATATTGCAAATCCTCAGCTATGAGAATGTATGTCAGGTAGCACAATTGCCGAGGTATAAATATGAAGTCCCAACAGATCCAAACACCTGAGACCGTAGGGATGGATTGTAGGATCCAAACAGCTCAGTCCGAAGTGCGATCCAGGAGAACAAGATCCCTGGTGCCCATTTGTCACGCATGGCGCCGCCTCTCCCAACTCCTGGACCTGGAGCCTCTTGGCCGTGAAACCGGGAGTTCATTGGGGACATTTGGTTTTAAAGCATCAAATTTGGGGATACCGTACCTGATTTTTAGGACACAGCAAACATATATAAATATATAATTATATATTATATAACTATAAATATATATATATATAATTATATATGTAACATGTATGTATTTGTGATCATTTAATGTTGTATACCGATTAGTGTCCTGGGACTCCATTGTGAAAAACAAATAAAAAATAATTGAATATCTTGTGAATGGGGGGGTGGGCCTCTATTGTGAAAAGTTTTTTTTCAGATCGTTTTTTTTCAGGAGAAGCTTTATCCACCTTTATACGCCTTTCATTGGTAAAGCTGGTCCATTTACTTTAGAAAGCCATAGCCATGTTAAAGCCTTAAAAATGCAAGGTTTCCCAGATAATTAGATGCCTTATTAAACCCTTATTTAAAAACAGCATACAAACAATTTTTCAAGGGGGTACCCCATGAGTGACCCAGATCAAATCCTCAATAATGTAATTATTTCGATGGTACCCTATTGTGCACAAAATGCACAAAAAACTGTTGGGACATTTTTGTTTTTGATTTAAAACGAAAATCAATTGAAAGTAGATTGTCAATTGAAATCCTTACTTAAGTTGACTATCCTAAAAATTGTTGAGCGTGGGGGCCAGAAAATGCCGAGTTATTGAGTAGCCTAGAATTGTTGAGGGGTGGCCACACTAATCAGTATCCAACATTATGCACAATGATGGTTAATTAATGTAAAAGATGGGAACAATTAACACATCTTGTAGTGATTTGGGGAGATCAGGCAGATGGTAAATGATGGTTATATATATATATATACGGTTAAAATATGTTAAAATCAACACCGGATTGATCAAGACTCAAGCAGCAAAGTATATCAAATTATGACTATTTAGGGGGAATCCCCTTATAACAATGAAGTAGGGTTTATATACAAGGCTTTATTTCATGGCTGCGTTGACATTATCATCGCAATAATATCCGGCAATCAAATGCGAAGTACCACCAGAAGATACCTGGAACCCTTACTGAGATATCTTGTATGGAGGTTTTGATGCATAAAATGGGTGGGGTTCATCACTAAAAATGGAGGCTTTGTGCTTATTTGGATACGACTATTTATAGGAACACACAATCAATATATATATAATATATATATATATATATTTGTGGAGGTGGCATGCAGCAAGTAAAAATCCCAGAGACCCATTTTGATGTCTAACTTGTCTTGCTCTGTGATTTCTGCACAAATTGCTCTGGTGTTTGACCACTGCTGGAGCCGAGTCATACAACAACACGGTCAAGGAGAAGGCGCCGGGTTTTCACATCTGCACAACGATGCCACAACCCCAATGACTTTGGATAGATACACCATGATAGAGCAAAAGCTATTACTAGGAGTTTCACTGTGGAGACATCGAAAGCGCAGGTGAGGAGCTTTCTGAATGTATAGCAGGCATGTTATACGGTACGGTATAAAGCAGGTATGTATATCTCTATGTTTTTTTTCGTTCGTGGCTGCGTGGCTAGCGCTGAAATGGCAGGTGCCTGGTGGAAGCTATTTCGGTACTGGTCACATCACCGTTCCGGCCTCAGGATGTGAATATGTTTCTTCAGGAAAGAAGCTGGATGAGATGGACAGGGGGGGAACCATAGCGAACTGTAATTGATCACTGTTTTGGGGGGGGGAGCCCATGAAAAGATTGGATGGGATTGGAAGAGACAACACTTCGGCCCTGGGGTCTCTAGCACTATAGTGCTTGCCAGGTAGAATCGATCATATGCTGCTCATGTCCAAGGCAATTTAAGATGACAACAGGCAAACAGGCAACAGAGCCAGCTGGACCATGTGAAAATTTGATCGGTTGAACCGCCAAGGAAGAACCATGAGCTAGTGGGAGCTGGTTGATTAAACAGACAGACAGTCCTTCAGGTTGGCCTTGAACAAACTGATGCATCCTTTACCTTGTCGCAGGTGGGCGATGGTGATGTGTTGAAGTGTGTGGGTTTGTGTGAGGTTTGAGGTTCCATTCAAACTCCTGGAGTTGGGTCTAAAAAGTCGCTACACCTCAATAGATTGACATCTACTAATTTTGTCAATGAGATTAAAGCCATGGATTTTACGGGTACAGTATCTATTTTCACACAAACCAAATGGAGTTGGAACCAAAGATGTTCCAAGAGGAAAACCATGTTTGGCACATGGCCGCTGACATGTTCGCAGGCATGAATCATGTTGGGTATGAGCCAAGGCCGCTGGAGTGCATCAGCAAAGAGTAATGGAGATAGATTGCACTCCGAAACAGCCCAGCAATGCGCAGCATTCATACATAAGTTCCAAGGTTGACATTGAGTATAAATATATCTACCATAAACCCAAGTTATGTTATTTGCACCAACTACTGGTAATTTCGCTATGGGGCAGCAGCAACAGGAGAAGCAGTCGTTTATCAAGTACGACTTGAACAAGAACGGCAGCATGGACTTCCAGGTGGTCATCGCTTTATTGTAAATAGATACAATCCGGGGTGCCCCTGGATTCACCAGATAGCTAATGTTGATCTATAATTGTTCTTACTAGCTTAGCTATATGGTTTTTGGATGTTTGTGGCAGAGATATATCTATTTATACATATAGATTACATATAGTTAATGTGGTTGATAAACCACTCGGGAGGCAGGTCACTTTATACAGGAAAAGCGGCCAGGAACTCTGTAAACTCCTGAAGAAGGGAGACCCGAATGTGACTGATACAGAGGCCAGCTGGGCACCTTCCACACTTCAGCGTGGCATCGGAAATCAACATGTCCCAGATTTGGCTGAAGGAAAAACCTAAACACCTGCAGGAAAAATTGATATTTGGGGACAAGAACCGTCAAGAACCAAGGTTTCCTCTTGATTCCTAGATTTCGCCTTCAATCCATTGATATTGCCTTTCCTTGTGCGCCTACAGCAACCATGCCACGGTGTGGCCAATCTGGAAGGTCCAAGCACTCTTCAATGCCCTGGATCGTGATGGGGACTGCGACTTGGGTTGTCTTCTCCAGTTAATAGGTATCCCAGAGGCATCCAAAAGGATCCAGTTGAATGGATGCCTTTTGTGCTATAGTTGTTGCGACAGTTTCAGATCATACATTTTAGCATGCGTCATACTGCAAAAAACTCGACCATCACGGTTGATTGTCCGAAATTGTTAGACTAACGCTATACTGCTGATAGGGGGTTGCTCATTTCAATGTCAGATGTACCACATGTTTTTGACAAACACCTCTGGTGATTTACAACAGAGCTACATACTGTAGCTATGGGAAATCATCGGACCAAATTGGCAATCTATGCCAGAGCTATCTTGAAATTACAGATGCTGTATGATGCTGTATAATTTAAGAATCATACATACATACATACATACATATATATATATATATACTGTATATATATATTACCCTATATTATACCCATCATAATTCCATTTTAGATGGCTCAACCCACCCGAAATTCCCATGAAATCACCCGTTTTTGTTGGCAGGACGGGAACATCCGATTCAGCGAGCTCACGGAATACCTGCACCCGCCAGGTTCCACGTTCGAGCATTCCACCTGGCGTCACTTGGTTTATAGCTCCTGGCGTTGATTTTCTGAGGTTTCCTAAAGTGGTACCCCATGTTGGATGTGTTTTTAAATTAAAATGGAAAATCAATAAATAGAGAGAGATGATTTGGTGGTACCTCCGTTTTAGGATTTGTTCAAATGGGCAATTTATGAACATGTGCAGGTTTTGTTATGTGATATCACTTGGGTAGATTTGGATGTATCAACTTTGCTTTCCTCCAAAGCTTCCCTATCTTCCCTTAGATCCACTTTTTGTTTGTCAAGTTTGAATTATTTGCATATGGGGTCCAGTCAACAACCTTTAGTAAGTTAGAAAAGCGCGCATGTGCGAAAGTAAGTCGTATTATAGTTGTCCATCCTCGTTATTTAGCAGGCCCCTACCAAAATACAGCATGTTTGCATATACGGCATTTCTGCACCTCGGAGCTAGGTTCGTGCTAGCATTTCCTTGCTTTAATATCTTGGTGAAGTCGTTTCCACTTTTACATATATAATTATAATTCAGTATAATTGCTGCATTATATATATATATAAGTAAATATGTGTTTACATATATATATATAATGTATAGTTATTGCATATATATATATAGATATAGATTTATACATTTATACGTACATAGTTGGCTGCTGTTAGTCGCAGTTTTCCAGTTCTTCCGGTTGTTTTTGTTACGGATGTTTTCCCATCAAGTCCAGGCAAGAAGCTCCGAAATGCCTTCCAGCTTTCGCAGCCTGGACCTGCCGATTACGTGGCGAGCCAAGTGAATGGGAAGGAGTTGAAAAATAAATGGAATGTATGCATGGAAAGGATGGAACACATATAGTATATATTTTATATTATATATTATATATAGTATATTTTTTATATTATATATTATATATTATATATTATTTATTATATTATATTATATATATACACATAATGGAAATTTAATGGGGCTATATATATATATATATAATGATTATATAGTTTGATATAGTTTTTGAACTAATGGGGATTATATAATTGAATCGTAGGATAGAACATATGTTTTTTCCTCTGCATGTCTGAAAATGAGGTTTATACCTCAATATATTGGCATATTTCGATATAATTCATAGAAAACGACTAATCCAGTTGTTGAATTCTATGATCCTTCCCCAGCCGGAGCAGCTGATGAATATTTAGAGATGTGGCAGTGGAGGTATCAGCCTGGCTGCTTGGCTGATGCTCAATGTTTGTGGGTTTTTGGATGAGCCATCCGTTCACACAATTGCAATGGTTCTCATGGACCTCCATTTGCTCTGGCAGCAGTGGCATGTTTCATATAAGATCTATTAAGATCTATGGATTCCTATATGGATTCGTTACTGTTGTACCTGCGCACATAACGAGAGTCATTTGGGCAACTCAGGCATTGGAGGTCCAAGGTTTGACTTTGGCCGACACATGGGATTAATATGGACTCTCAGATTCAGATAGTTGTTAATTTCATTGAAACCAAAAGGTGGGTTGGATTGCTAGTGGATTCCCACAACAAGGTTTTTGGCCACCAGCATCAGATTACAACATATTTTTTGAATTAAAAACATTTTTTTCCATATTCAATCATTTATTTGATTGTATCTGAATTTATTTGACTTTATTTGAATTTATTTGCTTTGGGACCTCCCTGTAGTTACCAAGAAATACATAGCAATACATCATGTGACAAGCAAATGTGTTTTAAATCCTTTCATCATAGAAGCTCAACATTTGACAACACAAGGAAATATGATAACAGCTGACAGTTGGGCAGCAATTCTGCCGCTGGCCTCAGCAAAGTTGTTGTAAGGTTGCGTTAGTTTTATTTTGTTTGTTTCTTGTTTTTTCCTTTTTTCCCAGCAAATTTGAGATATTTTGAGATTTTTTGAGATTTTCTATGGTCCAGAAAAATATGCAATACAGAACCCAGTCTCGCAAAACCACGTTTGAAAAACAACATTGGAGACATTTTGAGATTTTTTGAGATTTTTGGAGAAATTTTCAGATTTTGTCAGATTTTTTGAGATTTGTCTTTTAATGTTTTTTCATTTTTTTTTATTTTTTCATGTGTTTTTTATTTTTTCAATTTTATGCATATATTTTCATATTTTTGATTGAAAAATACCATTGCCAATCCAGACCACTGCAGATCTAACCCACGTTTTGGTGTTGCTGATAATTCAATGGTTTTTGAGGAGTGATGGTGAAAAATCTGCGGTTGAAACCGCCACTTGAAAAATGGAGAAAACTCTACCAGATCTTCCCCCTTCTGATCCATTGATCAGGTGCAGTCTCTCAATGGACCGATCCACTGGAGACCATAAAGCCACAGAAATTGGAGGTTTTTTTTGCCCTGGTTGAAGGAGGCCTCGAATGTTGAAATACAATGGGGGTTTACGCATACTTCAAATATATGATTTCAACATTGAAAATGATGCTCGCCATAGTAAGATATTGAAAATTGATTGAACATTGAACTATTGAATACCTCATTGACCTATGGTAATCTCATGAACCTTCATAGTAATTCTTGAACCATAAATCCTATGAGCCAGGTGGGCAACGACAAGAACCTGGCGGGCAAGCGCAACGCGCCCCGCGCCGTGATTCCAGCGCAGAGGAGATCTGGATAGAACTGGAGTGGTGGGAAAAATCCAAAAAAAAATCAATTGGCAAATGGGAAGCTAGCCATTCGAAATGGTGGTTTAATGAGACTTAATGGGATTTTGATGGGATTTTGACTTTGAAGGGATTTCTTGGGGAATTTATACAATAGGATATATATAATAGGAGATACTGTAAAAATCCATACAATAATGGGGGATTTTCCAGCAAGCCACGTTTAATTGCCTGAGGGGAAATAGGAAGAACAATTGTCAACCGTTTTCAACCCCGATATACGCATTTTGAAGTGGCGGACCTTCCCCTTGCAGCCTTGCAGTTGTTTTTTCTGGTTTTGACTTTCCATTCCTCTATCTTAAGCTCTATCTTAGGATGATCCCAGTCGACATCTCGACATCCCAGTCCACATCCCACTGATAATTTTTTCTCCCAGTCAAATAGACCATGGCTTTTTCGGCGCTTGACCAGGAGAATGACGGACCATGGCATTAACCAGTTCTCACCAGGCCCCTGTGCCTACACCAGCACCGACACCCAAAGTGCGTTTCACAAGCACCTCGCTTGAGCCAAGGCGAACTGGGCACAATTTGCCTTAAGTGAAATTGGTGAAAGCTGAGATAAGCTGAGTGTTTTGTTTGTTTACAGAGTCTACTTCATTTTTGATATGTATCTTGACATGTTGACATGTATACCTGCCATCATAATCACGTAGTTTGGGCTGGCAGAAACAACGGCTTCATGATTTTGATGGGAACAAACTAAAAATCAACCCAATGAATCCCCAGGACATGGCGAACGCATAATGTTGATGGTTCAACCCTCAATTTTTAATAGTTGTTTCATCGTTTTTATCTAATATATATATATACACATGTTTTACCGTTTTCTCCAGATGTATTTGTTTAACTGTTACAACTGACACGTTTCAACATCCCAAGAAAACCCATTGATTATTTGATGATAGTGTTTCCATTCAACATCCATTAAACATATAGCATAGTCAAAACCAATGAACATGGCGTATCTTTCACCGGTTTTCTCCATGGTTTTTCCACATGTTGATCATCTCCAACGCCTTTTGGCCCAGGAAAACCTACTCCGCCACCTTCGGCTCCGCGCCAAAAGCCCGTGATGCGCGCTCCGAATCGCCGGGGCCGGGCGCCTACGTCCAGAACTTTTCGGTGCGCGGACGCGGACGCAGGGCCGTGGGGAAATGCCCAAACTCAATGGAGGCTTTAATGATATTAGTAGTAGTTAATAGTAGTTATACCATTATAGATTTTACTAATATACAACAATCTATAATCTATAGTGGTATACTCTACAATAACCCTAGAATAATGTTTGTTTTAATGTACATATATAATATTGTGTGTATAAACATATGTATATATACAATTATATATTATATATATGTGTGTGATATATATATATATATATTATATATATATATATATATGCGTTTTGAAAAATAGATATACATACTGTATGTCACAAACTCTCGGAGAGGGCCATGGAGAGAGAGAAATATGTATAAATACAAGTGTGTAAGTATATATATATATATATAAGATTTACATATATATATATATATACATATATATATATGTGTGTGTATGTGTGCATCTGTGTGTGTGTGCGCTTACTTTTCTTTTGTTGGCCTTGTAGCTTGCATCACAAATGGATCCTTGCATGGGTGAAGCAAGCACAACGCTAGAGAGGTCACCAGGGACCTTTATCGGCAAACTGGTGCACTAGTGGCCCCTGAAAATCCGAAGACCCGCCAACAATGAGTGTTTATGACAGGCTCATTGCGGCTTGTTCAACAACAAAGACCAACAACAATCACCAGTCTAAGAACTAAGTAATAATTGATAGCATCCCCCAAATTGAAACATGTCACCCATTGAAATATCTTCCACTGGAAGTTATCAACTATTCTATTGACAATAATTAAGTGGGAAGGTCTTGATTATGAACCACTCAACTGCCTGTGGTGATGTAAACAGTTACAGAAAGCCCTTGAAATCCCTTGAATTACTGGCCACAAAACTCAATCACAAAATCCAATGACTTCTCGGAGTCAAATCCACATCCATCAACATTGGGGTAAAAGATGGTAAAAGTATGTACTCAATTTTAAAAGTGCATGGCTCTGACCTACTTTCTCAGAGGTGGTTGCGCCATCTATTTAGTGAAAAAATGTCCAAAATGTCCCACAATTATGGAGGCGTCGGTTGAATCCGCCAGGTCCTTGCACATCAGAAGCAGGGCCCCCGGGCCACCATTGGCGCCGCGCGGCGCGCCTTGTGCTACGACGGTTCGGAGGAGCCATCGCCAGGGCCGGCCACCTACGCGAGTGAGACCAAGTACAAGGCGCCAGTCCTGCAGGTTTGTTGGGGTCTTGAGGGTCGAAAAAATGTTGATGTTTTAGATGATTTTTGAGATGTGTTTGATGGTTTTATGATCGGAAAACATGTGGTTTTATAGGATTGCTGATGTTTTAGATGATGTTGCTGATGTTGCTGATCTTGGTTTTCTGGATCAAATCAACGGTTGTGGCCACGAATCTCTGCCAGGTGAAGGGTGGAAGCTATTTTGGTGTGCCTGGTCGCATGAACCTACCGGAGTCTTGGATACTACTGGAAGCTGAACGTGGGTTTCGTAAGTCGTAATTGAAGAGCAGAAATTCATGTTAGAGAGAGAGATCCAACCCTGCCCAAAAGGTGCAACAACATCTACAATGCTCAAGAAGCCGCATTTCATGGGCCTTCTGTTTGCCAGGTATCTTCTATAATACTTCAAGGATCTTCAAGGTGTTGACTCAAAGGAATTTTGATTTGGTCGCACTTAGAATTGGAAAATAAAACAATGTTGGACAGCCTAGCAGTTAGAATATGTTTAAACATGACATATGAAACATATTAAGTTGATTATCCCGATACAGACGACAAGATTCTTATCGTTTGCATGCCTGCATGCAATTATAAATCAATTGTATAGAATGACATCAAATATCAAAATATAAATCATACATTTTCTAGGTGTTAGCACCTAACTATACTATCCTGTCCTATTCTTCACTCTTGCAACTTAGGAACTATACATGGTTAAACGTTGATGCAACCGACATCAGGATTTGCCATACGAGAAACGCGCCTTCACCAGCTGCGATGTGGATCGGGTGCCTTGGCCAACTTGTGGGCTGGGTGTCAACATGGGCCAAAAACCCACATATTTTGTTGGGTAAATGATAATTTTTGCGTTCAGGTTATGTTTGTTGGCTTCTGTTCGCCCAACATCATCCAAGTGTAGAGAATATCCGTATTTTATCCACCATGGATGCGACAGTTTGTTCCAATATGGGGGATACCCAGGGAGTTCTATTGCATTAAAGCCAGAGGATAATTTTAGTGGTGATCAAGGATTTCAAGGTATCTTTTAGTGGTGACTGTAGGATTCATAAAATCCCAAGCATGACATTAGCTTCTGGTTCATCACCCTGGAAAGAAAGCGGGAATCCAAAAGAAAAATGCTCTCCTATTTTGGCAGCAATTGATGGCATAAAGACCTCCGAACTGGAAGTTTCTTATTGGATTCACTCTATGTTTTTCCCCACCTGCCAGGTGAGGGTTGTTAGATTTTATGTCAGTTGCTTCCTCCTCGTCCTCCTCGTCCTCCTCCTCCTCCTCGTCCTCCTCCTCCTCCTCGTCCTCCTCCTCCTCCTCGTCCTCCTCTCCTCCTCCTCTCCTCTCCTCGTTTCCTCTCCTCTCCGCCTCCTCCTGCTCAACCGCGACCCTCGACGCACAGTGTTCTCTGTCGGACGTCAACCACGACCATCCATTCCAGTGTTCCCTGCCGGACCTCAACCACGACCATCTCCGCCCAGTGTTCCCTGTCGGACCTCAACCACGACCATCCACGCTCAGTGTTCCCTGCCGGACCTCAACCACGACCATCCACGCCCAGTGTTCCCTGCCGGACCTCAACCGAGAGTATCCACGCCAAGTGTTCCCTGCCGGACCTCATGTAGGAAGATATGGGACAAAGAATGTGCAGAAGAAAGTTAGAAAGAATGTCAGAAAGAATGTCAGAAGATATGCCGGAAGATATGCCAGATAGAATGCCAAATAGAATGCCAGATAGAATGCCAGAAGATATGTCAGAATATATGCCAGAAGATATGCCAGATAGAATGCCAGATAATATGCCAGAAGATATGCCAGATAGAATGCCAGATAGAATGCCAGAAGATTTGCCAGATAGAATGCCAGAAAATATGCCAGAAGATATGCCAGATAGATATGCCAGAAGATATGCCAGAAGATATGCCAGAAGATATGCCAGAAGATATGTCAGAATATATGCCAGAAGATATGTCAGATAGAATGCCAGAAGATATGTCAGAATATATGCCAGAAGATATGCCAGATAGAATGCCAGATTGAATGCCAGAAGATATGTCAGATAGAATGCCAGAAGATATGCCAGATAGAATGCCAGAAGATTTGCCAGATAGAATGCCAGAAGATATGCCAGAAGATATGCCAGATCATATGCCAGAAGATATGCCAGATAGAATGCCAAATAGAATGTCAGAAGATATGTCAGATAGAATGCCAGAAGATTTGCCAGTAAGAAAATGTATAAATGTCATGGTGGGGATCACGCGAAGTAAAGTATTTTTTTTTGCAGCAAGAAAGACTAGTCTGTTTGGACAATGGCCAATGGCCCATGTCTAGATGATTCACCGTATTCCTTCATCTGATATGTTAATTTTCCAGTTTGCAAATTGTAACTATCATTAACTATCATTAACTATCATTTGCAAAAATAGTATTATGATCGATCATTTGTTCCAGAGGATAACTAACATTTGATTCACCACTATCATTATTATTCATCAACTATCATTATTATTCATTAACTATGATTAACTATCATTATTATTCATTAACTATCATTAACTATCATTAACTATCATTAATTATCATTGACTATCATTAACTATCATGATTATTAATTAACTATCATTAACTATCATTATTATTCATTAACTATCATTCACTATCATTATTAGTTATTAACTATCATTAATTATCATTATTATTTATTGACTATCATTATTATGTTCTAACTATCATTAACTATCATTATTATTTTTTTGACTATCATTAACTATCATTATTATTTTCTAACTATCATTAACTATCATTATTAACTAACAGTATCTTCCTCATTTGATTCACCCCACAACTCGCTGAGGATGGAACTTTGAATGTGGACGAAGTCTTCACGCTTCTTAAGAAGGCCGATCCATCCATCAGTGCCTCGACAGTGGTTGTGGACGTTGGATGCCCTGAGGGGTGGAAAATGGCTAGGACATCCCTGGCCATGGAGGTGTCTTGTGAGGTTTAGTTAGTTTAGTTGGCTGTGAAAAAGAATCATCAAACTCAATGATTTTATGGGATGTTCGTGATGTTTCCAATGTTGGGTTTAATGAAGACAATGAGAGTTTTTATGGGATGTTCCCAATGTTTGATGACACTGGAGGGCAGTGACCTCCCAACTTTGGAGGAGTTGGATCGATTGGGATGTTGGAGGAGTTGGATCGATTGATGTAGTTCATTTCATTATCCCCCGTCCAAAGAAGTGGCTAAATTTAATTAGATAGGAAATCCACTTGTTCCGGGAACTTGGTTTGCAAAAGTACGCCAAGGTACTGGAGCGTAACAGATCAAACAAAACCCTGTCAGCACACAGTGTCAAACCTAGTTGGATTCACACCGCGTATATCCAACATGGAACCCTCAATGTGAAATTTATGGGGTGTAGCGGGGGCAGTTTGAGAACATATCATTTAAAAAAAAATGTGATATCTGAGAAGACAAACACCTTTCAGGAAGGCTTCAAAATGTTAGAATTGGATACCTGGGGATGATTCCCCGATAATGTTCCAGTCACAAAAATCAATTTCAGGTCAACAAACACCACAAGTAATAAGTAACCCCTTCCTCGCAGATATGTCATGAAGTGCTTAGATATTTCTCCAACATTCTCCCAGAGGTTTTGGCCACCTCCGGTATACAAGTATATAGACATGTCCTTTAGCCACTGGTTCATTGATTCATGAACGGGCACTCCGCCAGGGTGGTGGGATAGGATGGTCGTTGGACATTTGATGGTCATCCTACCGGTTTTTTTTTTACACTTATGTTTAGCCATGAGAATCACAAGGTTAAATCAATGGCTCCCCATAAGTGTATATATATATATATATATACAGTTACCTATATATATATATATAAACAGTTGTATATATATATGGATATATATATGTTCTCTAGGGACTGAACTGATGGCGCTGGAGAGAGAGAGATATATAGAGAACATCAGAATCATCATCTCTAATGGGCCATGTTCCATGGATTCCAAAGCTGAAATTACCAGTGTGTTAAACATTTTTGCCCGTTGCTCATTGGCCATGTTTCTAAAGACGTCATGGGGAGCTACTTCCCCAGGTGTGCTTGAAGCCAAGCAGATTTTCGACGCTTGCGATCAGAATCAGGCACCGGGGCGCAGCCAACACACCGGGGGGTTAAAAGGGGGGTTAAATCCTAAGATGAGGCCAGTTAGACCCAGTGAAGAAAATGGTGATGCTGAACGCATCCCAGCTATTCCCAGCTAAGGGGATTTTCCATGATGTGTCCCCCGAAGTTGTCCTAGAAACCCAACTTGATAAGGTCAAAATGGTGCCTGGGATGATCAGAGTTGGGTTTTTCCCAGCTTTTGGGAACTGACCATATGGATCCTGAGCATTTTGGTACTTGATCCCAAGTACCATATCCTCTATGCACTATATCATTAAAGATGACTATATAGTTGTTTTTTATGTGTATTTCTATACTATTGATATCTATTGATTATATCTATAGTAAAGTCCTATTAAACTATATATCCACACCAAGTATCATAGAAATATATCCATGTCATATTAAACTATATTAATGATATCTATGTAAACATGTATTCCTTTGCCATTTTGTTGCCATTTCGGTCGATCTTGGTGGCCAGGATGGCAAGATCGACTTCGAGGAGTTGAGGAACTATCTCCATCCGCCCAGCGGCAACGAAAACACGGCGCCTCGACTCGGATGCCTGGGGGAGATCCTTGGGATTTGCCAGCAAAAAAGGCCAGGGCCCCTGGGGGATGGTATCATAGAATCCAATCACGTCCAATGCCAAATGTAGGGGGTGCGTTTAGGCTTTCTGTTTTTGTTGGGTGGTTTTTAGATACATGTGAGTTCGGATGAGGTTCAAACATATGATCAAGTCTGATGTTTTTTTTGGGGGGGGCATGCTAACAGAATCTAACATAGTATACTAACCAAACATACTTTCTGAAGAGTGCCACATGCATCGTCTACATGGCAATCTACAGTTCAATGTGTGCAAATCAAGTGCACGCCATAGACCTTGACGCATTTATATACATCGCGAATCGTCAGCGCCTTTTTCGGGATCCCCGCACACCCGGCCAAGGCTCATAGAAAACGCTTCAAGGACATTTTCTCTGCGAAGTCGCCCGGACCATTGGACTACGAAGCTTGGTAGCGATGATCATCGATGATCCCCCCGTCCGACCAAGACCTGTCCGAGCGGTAGCAGTATTGTTGCAGTATTGTTAAAGTTAAAGATGTTAAAGACCAAGAACATCCAACTGGTTTTAGTTGTCAATTGTCTATTCAATATCTGCGGGACTGGGGAATCTTATCATGCTAATTTTGTCTCATTTGTTTTTTTTCAAACAGGAAAATTGGCCTATGCCGTTTGATGTCTTGATTCTCAAGTGACATGGGCTTATTTGTCTCATTTCTTGTTTTTGGAAGTATGGCACTGGCTCTGTAGTTGGCCCACCGCCCAGAACAGCGCGTGGGTCTTAGTGCATTCTTTCTTGCATTTATGAAGACACGTTCTTTCAAGAGATTTCTGTTTTTTTTTTTTTACGAGGGTGCTTCACTGCTTCATAGTTGATGAGAAGAGTCACTAGAATTGCCATCTCAATTCTGCCAAACTCGCAGATACCTAAAGCAGCTTTTGGAGTTTCTGTGAAACTAATTACGCATGTTCTTTGATGTTATTTGTTTCTTTGATTCAGCTACAACTCATGCATGTTCTACATGTAGCCAGCCGAGGACACCATCGCGCCGCGCAACAAGAAGATTCATGGGGGCACCATTGGAAGGGCAAGGCGCTAGGTGCGGCGTCCCAGCTGAAGCGCCTTGTTGTGCGGTGGAAATTGTAGCAAACCATCAGGAAAGTGAAACAACTACTATAAAATACTGGTTGGTGGTTTGGAACATGTTTAGTTTATTTTTCCATATATTAGGAATAATAATCCCAACTGACTAATATTTGTCAGAGGGGTTGAAACCACCAACCAGAATATGGTTATGGATGTTTAGAAGATGAACACCCATTTGCAAGCTATTTTGATGTTCACCAGGGGTAAAAGGTTTTGACCCATCATATAGTTCTAAATTTGGCATTTTTTGACCGCGTGTGCATCTTTTTGGGGGTTCTCCCCACTTCTATAAATCTGCGAGCTGGGGTGACCTATTTGGTAAACCTCCTTTGTGACATGGTTTGTGCACAACATAATCAAATGATTTTACACCCGTACTGAATTATGAATTGGCATGTGTATATATATATATGTATATAGATATAGAATATAAAGAGGGTTTGTCAGTTTGTCATCCAAACATCGGTAACGACCGCGTATTTGAGTGATACATATGGATAGATATGGCTCATGGATGTTCACAGTGTCGAAACTAACAAGCGTTTTTTGAAGAGCAAGGCCTGACCCAAGTGGTTCGCACCCTGGTTTGATCAAGGCCCTGTGACGTTGGACTGTAGCTTGCTGCTCATGACGCTCACATCATGAATTGGTGAGAGCTATGAGCAATCATGGGAAACATATGGAAGCATAGTTTGTAAATGTGTGTAATTCTTGCTGAGGAGCAACTATCAAGATGTATGACCACAGATCACCACAGAGTAGCATAAAAGGCCAGAAGGCCCCCCCAGCTATAGGTTGGTTTATAAATCCCATTATCTATAGATATATAGATATACCTACAATTAGCCATAGTTAAGTTAAGCTAGTTGTACAATAATTTCGCTATTTGGTTGGCCCCCAAAAGTATGTTTCCCGTCGCGGAAGTGTGGCATGGAAGTTGTCCATGGCATGGCGTCCCTTGGGCGAAAGCCTGACGTGGATTTAGCTTCAGGTGGAAGGCGGGATGGGCCTAGCAACCACCAACTGGTGCAGGATTTTGCAAGCATCCACAGTTCCTGTTTTCCGCACATGTCTGAGTCGTCAAGTAGTTCATTCTGTATTTGCAAATGGCACCTTTAAACCTTTAAATGTTTGCAATGGAAACTGCAGCCTCCAGTATCATATAGTGTCCCGGTTTGGTCCCCGCAGTGAGGTGTTCCAACCCTATGAGTCGCAAGTCATGCCTTCAGTCAACCCACCAGCACTTTCAACAACCTCACCCACACAACTCGTCGACGCATTTTCTGTTATAGTCTCACCTTGTGGCTTTTATAATATGTATATATAATTATATATATATGTATATTATAATATGTTAAGATCCCTTTTTAGTAGAGGATGTCCACATATTTGGGACCCTCTAGGGGGTGTTTCATATTAGGGGGATGGTCCATAGGGAGAGGCTGCAGCACTCACCACCGGTGAAACTGTCCAGGCCATGCCTTCCAGCGATCAGGAATTGCAACTCCGTCGCTTGGAAATGGCTTCGGTTTGTGCTGGAAACAAACTAGGAAGGTAAGCCCTCAGAAGCTGGAATCCTACGAGAATAGTGATATACTGATCGTAACCCCTAAAACCGATGGAAAAAAATCTATTTCTAGCCCTACTAAAATATAGTGACAAATCACAAGTTGTTTTTTCATTTTTGTAGGGGGTGGCTGCAATTTCAGATGTGTTTATATTGGTTTAAATCCATGCGTCAGGTCAGAGACAACTTTCCTGCGACACATTGGGATGTTCCATTTTGATTGCTAGGGGGTAGATAATTACATTGTGGCTTGTGCTGACTGACCCCCAAAAAAGGTTGTATACATGTTTTTTACCATGTTGTAGATGGTTCGATTAAATTGTCAAAAGCAGTGGAAAGCTTTCTGAAACGCGTCTTACCCAACATCGATTTATTTAGACATATATACAACTCCCCAGCTTTGTGCCCACCGTTCTATCTAATCCTTGTATGATTGGCTACTATATGTTTCCCATTTCATCACCATTACTCCCATTTATTTTTTTTATGTTTAGCAGTAGCTTAACTATGGTTTACAGGTATCATAACTATATCTGGGTTTGATCAACTTATGGAGCTTATCACCATGTTTATACCGATTAATAAAAACATGAAGAAAACAGCAACTGCGGCGCCCTACATTTCGGGGCACCCTAGGCGCCGCGTTGAGTCAAGCGCTGAGAGACGTGGAGCGATGTCAAGAGGCAGTGCGGAGCGCCAAACAGGCCTTGCAGGTGCAACGGAGCCATGGGGAAAACCATGGGACTAGGGATTAATAGTGGTTGATGGTGGTTCATAGTGGAGAATGGTTGAGAATGGAGAATCATGCTAGTGATAGTGGCTAATTTTATGTTATTCTATCGTCAAGAGGTGCAGAATGGTTCACAATGGATAGTAATTGGCTTGTCTATAACCAACAAAAATGGATGAACAAATGCTAAACATGGATATCATGGTGAGACTATGAATGATAATTGAAAACAGTCATACAGTTGTGATGCAGCAAATGAGTTATGGGGGGTAGAAGGTCAAGTAACATGATGATATACTGCATTGGTGATTTAAGGAACCAAATTGGGGGTATAATCTCCAAAAACATGGGATATAACGGATGATTTTGGTTTCATGATGATTAAGGACGAATCGTAACCAAGATCCACTTGTTAAGGGCGAATCTTAGCCATCTGTATTGGGGGAGGGGTCACCGATCTGGATTCATTGAATTCCTGTGATGTTGAGGTTTGAACAATTCAAAAACCACCAAGATATGGTGGATTTACCAACTTTAAACGGAACAAATGTAAGGGGATTTCATGATATGTTGCACAGTGTAAATCTCCATGCTTTATGGGTGCTATCAGTAATGTTACATCGACAAGGGGGGTCCCCCCCTATTTTTTTTTTGTGGGGGGGGGTCTGCTTTGCAATAGTAAATCGAAAATCCCAACTCTTCCCCAAAGGCTTCTGTAAGGTTTTGACAAATCCTCTCTTTTCTGATGGGCTCTGATGGGATCTTCATTGGATTCTGATAGGAAGAAGGGAAAAAATGCCTGCTAGAGCCAGGAAGGTTGTTTCTTATTGCAAGTGCTAATTCCAGTTTTTAATTGCAAATGCAAGGACCTGCAAGGGGATACCCTGACCTGTTTTTTGCAATTTTTTAAAAGGATTTTTATAAAGAAAACAGGTTTTTTGAACAAGGTAAAGTGTTTGATTTGGTAAAGGTTTGCTTTGTTTTTGCTTTTGAAAAACATGCAATCACAATTAAAAACCATTCAACCACAATTAAACACACTAAGGAAGAAGGGAAAAAATACAGCTGAACTGTAACTGGTTCTGTTTTTTTTCCTGCATCCATACTAAATCTCAATTAGCTCCTTTACAATTTAGTATTGGAAAATCTGACAATTTGGGAATTTTCTGAAAATTATTTGTAGCGAATTATTGCGAATGAACCACATTTATTGCAGATGCTCTGGACCAAGGTTGATGTTTGTAATTTAAAATCAATAAGGCCTAATTTAAAATCAGATTCTGAAAATTATTTGTAGCTACTGCACGCGCTTTACTATTGTCCATTCAACATTAGTATAGATCCAATGCTCCTTTGATGCTCAGTTGGCTGTGTATCCCAAAATTAACTGATGAAAGATGAATGGGCACCAGTCAGCAGAAGACTTGCTGCAACTTGCTGTGCTTGAAAATGCCGGATTGACCCGCAAGTGATGGCAGTTTTGCTAGCGGAAGCATGATTGACCAGTGGGTTCGGTTGCATTCTTGGCTTTGATCGGGCCAGCTGCTCGCCCTCACCCTGACGCTCCTTAGGGATGGCGATGGAGAGAGAGGGAGTGGATTCGGAGTTTTTCCAAAATTTTCTAAATTTTCTGGAAGAAAACAAACAACATGCGTAATTTGGTGTTGCATACGTAGCTGGACATCCCGCGGTTCCGCTTCATGGTTCGGAACATCCCAGACGTCATGGCACCCGCAGGCAGCTGTTCAGCGAAAGGAACAGCTGGAGACTGAGCTGGAGGACCGCTCCGGTAGAATGGGCTATTTGTATCTATTTGTGTCATACAAGTTGAGGAATGATTAATGAATCACACACGCACATATACATATATAATATACATATAGAGTATGTATGTTTATATGACCATATTTATATATATATATATAGATATTATACATATAGAGTATGTATGTATATATTACATCAGTAGTAGGAGACTTGTCACATATGGATGAACACAAGTATTCTGCTGCAGAAAGTGGTTAGTTAGCCATAGTTGTTAGATCCCTAAGGCACTATCTATGGCCCTCCATGCGATGAAAAGACCTAACCCCAACATCATGAACTTCAAATTTACGTTGTCGAAAACATGTTCGAATCAACTCAACCCTCAAAACTTGGGACCATCATTGAAGTTCAACATGTGCCAACTCCCAAGTCTGGCAACCTCGCTGTGTCCTGGTCCTTGAGGACCTTGAGGCGGGCTCAGTTTCCAGCGAGGATTGGGAAACCAAGCAGCCCTGGAGTGAGAAACTTCGGAAGGCGGGACCTGCTGAATGCTACGAAGGCATAGCAGGGCCATGCAGGGCCCTAGGGCCCTGCGACCCGTAACTGGGGGACCTTGGTATGTTCTACTTAGGGGTAGATATGGTATACTTGGGTGCTCCATTTTCAGCAGGATGTTAAAGTGGCTTGGGGGCCCTTGCGGTGAAAACGCGCGTGTCCCTTTTTTTTCCCGGGGGCTGATGATCTCCTATAGCCCATCACTAACCTTCAAGAAATTGGACCTGACCCAGGTGTTTGCATGTTTTTCCACGTTTTTCCTTCATCAAAGGCTTGCTAGGGTACTCATGGGTACACCCCATTTGGGTGCTCCCTTGGTATCCTTGGTTTGCCCCCCCTATAACCGCAATTTGGGTTTGTGGGATCGTGGAGGCGTGCGAGGAGATCTTTGGCGTCACTTCTTTCAGAACGAATCAGGCTGTGGGGCTGCGGTTGTCACGTTGGCCTTGTAGAAGATGTAGGAGATGTTTGTTTTTGCATTTTTTTGGGAAAACTGTGTACTGTAAAGAATCTGTAAAATGTACCTGGGAATTGAATGAAATGGTATGAAATTGTATTAAACTTCCCTGGGCATGGAGCATAAACAACTCTATATTCGGATCTTTACTGACCTTTTCCCAATCGTCAGGAGGAGGCCATGAACGCCCTGCTGTCGAAGCGCGACGTGTTCTTGGTGGCGCCCACTGGAGCAGGGAAGTCCTTGTGCTTCCAAGCGCCTGCCTTGGTCACCGGCAACCTGACCTTGGCGCGGGGCCCCATTGTAGGCCCAGTGGGGAGTTGGGGTGAAGTCATGAAGGCATGCGTCCTGTCCGCTATTTCAACGGCAAGAGATGGCTGTTTTAAAGACATTTAGCTTATTTTATCTCACTAAAACTAAAGTTTACACATACAACCATGAAATGCGGTAAACTATTATATACTGTAAATTGTCCCTGACTTTATTTTTAGGTATGTTTAGACTATAAAACCAAATAAAGTCAGGGAAAATGACTGAGGGAGTTCGATGTTTTACTTCAGATTTCTGTGGCAATGGCTTCCATGGTTTCTCTGCCCTTGCCAAGGTCGTAAGCCCCTTGTTGTCCCTGATGCAGGCACGCGAGCTGAGCTGGGAGAGCCGGATAGAGATGTGATGATGTGATGTGAGTAGTGGGGAAACACAACCAAAGATGAGGATATACTTATATATATATACATATGGTGGGATATGTTCTGATATTTTGGATATTAAACAATATAATATTTTGTCAGCCACAGTCACCGGGATATATACCCAAATTCATACCAATTTGATAGGACTAAACTACGCTCAATTGACGCTCAATGAGTGGATCTAGGGGTACTCTATTTGCAGCTAAAGCCATATTGAGGGCCTACTTGTGAGTTGTGAAGGGTTGCCAGATCCGCAGCAATCTCGCCAAAAAAAGGGCGGATCATGGTCGCAAAGGTGGTTTATTTCATCCGCATATGTGAAAATTATAGACAGCCAGAAGATAGATAATTAGCTACTTTAAGATGGATACCCTCTGGTTATTTAACATAGCCATGGAAAATGGCCCATTTATAGATGGTTTACCTATTAAACATGGTGATTTTCCATGGCTATGTTAAAACCAGATGGATAGATGAAATTTGAATGGTTTTGATAGGTGGGGTCGCATGCTGCATCATGATGCCAAGTCTCATGATGCTTTGTCCTCGGGTTTGGTCTCCTCTGCTTGTACCCCCGCAAGAAGATGTACTGCTTGTTAAACCATGCAAATAACATCAGAAACTGTAATCAGTTTTGAGATGTTTGAGATGTTTTGAATCAATTTGAATCTAGTCATTTTTTTTCTTGGGACCATCCCCTGCCACAGTTGAAACATGGTTTTCCAGCAACAGTTTGACCAGGACCCCAGGAGCGGTCAACTCAAGTCTCGGCTCCCAGGATCAGGTGATGTCCTTGCGTGCCGTTGGAGTTGGTGCAGCCATGCTGTCCAACAGCGACTCACGTGAGGTTCATCGTGGCTGGGAAATCCCTTGAAGATGGATGTTTATAGCTGAGAATGTCATCTATTAATATAAATAATTGGTGGGATGTCCCATTGTGTTTTCACATTGTCAAGTTCCAAGAGTTAAATCTATCCACGGAATATTATGATGCTTATTCCCACTGCTATTGATCACATTTGTGTTGGTGTGTGTTTCTAGCATCAATAGATATCAATAGCATGGCCATATGATCAATGATGGTTGACAGTCCTGGGCACTATTCGAGGCCGGGGATTATATGGGATGATCATCCGTGCACTGGAAACCCGCCGTTGGTCGCCAGGAACAGACGCGGATCCGCAAAGCCATGAGTAAGCTGGCCACTGCAAGCAATGGCACCGAAGCAGAGGAGACAGCTGGATGATCAGATTCAATACTAAGCCAGAATTTCTGTAGGGATTGATTGAGTTTGGAACATCGACCTAGGTTGGGATCATCTCAATTAGATTCAATTAGTATCTTGCAACATATGGGTAGAATTTGGTTCGCAAGGAGTTGCGGGTGCTCTATCTGACGCCCGAGAGGCTTGCGAAGAGCAAGCTCGTCACTTGTAGTTTGCAATTAGGAGCCATGGTGGTGGGGAAGTGCTTCAAGAATATCGCGTATATACTGTACTGCATATGATAATATGTATGTATGTGTGTATATATATATATAATTACACGTAATCCCCTTCCCGTAAAATTTAATTTTGGATACTCTCCACTATGGGCTCCCAAAATGAATAATTAGATCAAACCAGGGCTTCTAGCGTAGGGAAACTTATGGGAAAAAAATACTTTGCTTTGTGTGATCCCCACCATGACATTTATACATTTTGTTACTGGCAAATCTTCTGGCATTCTATCTGACATATCTTCTGGCATTCTATCTGGCATTCTATCTCGCATATCTTCTGGCATTCTATCTGGCATATCTTCTGGCATAAATTCTACTCAAATCTTCTGGCATTCTATCTGGCAAACATTGGCACTTTATCTGGCATATCTTCTGGCATTCTATCTGACATTTTATCTGGCATTCTATCTGGCATACCTTCTGGCATTCTATCTGGCATATCTTCTAACATTCTATCTGGCATGTCTCCTGGCACTCTATCTGGCATATCTTATGGCATTTTATCTGGCATATCTTCTCGCATTCTGTCTGACATTCTATCCGGCATATCTTCTGGCATTCTATCTGGCTTTTGAGGTCCAGCGGTGCGCACTGAGCTCGGAAGGCCCAGGTTGAGGTCCAGCGGTGCGCACTGAGCTCGGCAGATCCCAGGTTGAGGTCCATCGGTGCGCACTGAGCTAGGAAGGTCCCAGGTTGAGGTCCAGCGGTGCGCACTGAGCTGGGAAGGTGCCAGGTTGAGGTCCAGCAGTGCGCACTGAGCTCCGAAGTTGGCAAAGAGCTTGGCCAAGATTTGGCAAGGCAACAGTGGACGTGGAAGTGGAGGAAGGAGGAGAGGAGAAGGAGGAGGACGAGGAGGAGGAGGAGGAAGGAGGAGGAGGAGAAGGAGGAGGACGAGGAGGAGGAGGAGGAGGAGGATGAGGAGAACAGCTCTGATCAAATCTAACAACCCTCACCTGGCAGGTGGGGAACAAAGAAAACCCGTAAATTGAGGCTATGAACCACTCACTTGCTCGGATGCATATCTAGGCACCCCCTACTGCAATTTGCAGTTATCCAGCATTGGTGTCCTGAAACTCTGCAGCTGCACATGTTCGGAACTTGTACCATTCGAAGCCACAAAGTCCCAAAGGCATGTACTCGCTAGCCACGAATGTTGGGGTGTGCCCCACCTAGTGATGTGGTTGCGGCAACCTATTGTGTAGGTAAAGGGTTGCCACTTTTGCGGGAAATGTGCCGATTTCGTTTTTTCACCTAATTTTCCCCGCTGGTACCTGCGGTGTTGGAAGCGACCTGTTAGCGATACCAAGGTAATGAACCTCTTGGAGAGCCTGTATTTGCTTGAGTCAACCTTTTTGGCACCCTCCGGTGCCATCAAACATGGCTATGGGTGCGGAAAACCCCGAACCAAGTCCAGGGCTGCTTCAACTAAATGGGTAAATGGGTCAATTTACCTCGATCATTCGAGATATTTATTTACCCAACTCTCCTTGTACCTGGGTCTTTGGAGCAACCCTATAAATGGAGGTTTTAATGTGTTAGTGGCAACATCATCGACCCAATTGGCGGATTTGGAGAAGGATCATGCAACACAGGAGGCTCTTCATTCCGCACTTCCCCTTCTGATCCAAGAGAGTGACCCCAAACTGATTAAGCTCTATATATTATCAAATGTTTTTTTCGATTGAAGGTGATCAATTAGACGTAGTACTTCCATGTAATCACACTGTAATTTTTCTTGAACTAAGATTAATTGCTTCAACCGTGCTCAACCGCGCCTTTTGGTTTCTTGCCATAAGATCCAGCGGGGTTTTCCGAGGAGAAGATCTACTCTGCAGGGCGAATGGCTTTGATCGCCATCGATGAGGCTCACTGCATCTCCCAATGGGGACATGACTTTCGACCAGTGCCTCGGACTGAGAGCATCAAGGATGCCTCAGTTGAGACATGCTATAGGTTTTATATAGGTTTTAGGTAGATGTGGGGTAGTTTGGAGGGTATCTATATGGGTATATATCCATCTATCTGAATCTATCTATCTATCTATCTGTCTGTCTATCTATTTATCTATCCTATCCTATCCTATGCTATCCTATCATACCCCTTCCTATCATATCCTATCTATCTTACTTATCTTACTTATATTACTTATATTACTTATCTTACTTATCTTACATATCTCACGCATCTTACTTACCTTACTTATCTTACTTATCTTGTTTATCTTATGTATCTTACTTATCTTACGTATCTTACTTATCTTACCTATCTTACTTATCTTACTTATCTTACTTATCTTACTTACCTTACTTCTTTTACTTCTCTTGCTTCTCTTACTTCTCTTACTTATCTTACTTACCTTACTTATATTACTTGTCTATCTATCTATCTATCTATCTATCTGTCTATCTATCTATCTATCTATCTAATCTTACCTTATCTGTTCTTACCTTACCCTATCTTATCTTATCTTATCTTTTCTGATATTATCTTATCTTATCTTATCTTATCTATCTATCTATCTACCTATCTATCTATCCATCCATCCATCTATCTATCTATCAATCTAATCTAACCTAATCTAACCTAATCTAACCCAATCTAATCTAATCTTTTCTAATCTTATTCTAACCTTATCTAATCTTATCTAATCTTATCTAATCTTATCTAATCTTATCTAACCTTATCTAATCTTATCTAATCTTATCTAATCTTTTCTAATCTATCTAATCTTATCTAACCTTATCTAATCTTATCTAATCTTTTTTATTTAATCTTATCTAATCTTATCTAATCTTAATCTATCTATCTATATTTCTATCTATCTATCTATCTATCTATCTCTCTCTCTCTCTCTCTGTCTCTCTCTAGGTTCACTATAGATTATGCAATTAGACTGCAAGTACTTTTGGATAGTGTTGGGTCCCTTTGACGATTTTAGCTGATTTCAATATCTGGGCGATTTGTTTTGGGGTCCCCACACGTAAGAAGCATTGAAGCCATTGAGTGGTATGATGGCCTGTTCTTGACGTTTTGACTCAATGTGTATATATATATATAATATGTATAGCTGAATTTGCTGAAAAGACAAATGTTGGCAATAATGATCGTTGATACAACCTATGCTGTTGATACAATCTATGTTGTTTCAATACAGATCTCTGTGCCATTCTGTCCCAGTATGTTAACACAAGAGGGTGATCAAAAGATGTATTATACGACATTTCCATACTGAGGGATTGTCATGCTGGGAATTGCAATGGCAAACGTCAGGATTTCCGACTTCATGGTAGGATGCCCATAATCCTTATTAGACATATACCATATTGATGACTATGGTCAACACAAAAAGAACATAACTTATCCAAAAAATCCAGAACCCATATGCCATGCAACTCGAACATGGCGCACATGTTGATAAGCGCGACTTGTCGCTACTTTGTTGAAAGCGGCTTCGTTTGCAGTGTTTAGTAGGAAGTGACATGTCCGGAGTGACAACTGACGGATGTTGAAGCCTGAAGGCATCCCACTTCGGAGAATCATGGCTATTCTGGTGATTGCATGCATGTTCTTTGCCGAAAAGTAGCGAAGTGGCGAAGTGCATCAAGACTCATCTAAGTTTGAAGTAAATATGTGAAATGTATTGAAACATCATGAGGAAACCCATGGTTTGGTGGACCGCAGATTGCCCCTTGTTCTGAGGACTATGAGAAGCTGGCAGCACTGCGGATTCAGCATCGTGGCCGTGCATCAGTCGTGTCAATCCGCATGGCAGAGAAATGGCAGTGAACATTATGGCAGTGAACTATACTACATTGACGTACTGCCAGCAAATGAGTATCTCCGCACATATGTAAGTAGACAAATACAAATTGTCAATGCGTCAGTGTGTATATAGCCATAATTATTTGTAATAGTAACCTCTCAGTGCACATATTCTTTCACATGCACATGATATATAGTTCACTGGAATTGCACCCCCCAGGTGGACTGTATGCTAGCCCCAGGTTTCCAAAGACGCCCATCCTTGCCCTCACCGCAACAGCACCTTGTGGGCAGTGGTGACGGCGTTTTTTTTTGTGGCGTAAGTTGTCCTTGGATATGGATGTTTCGCCTGTTATATATATATATAATATATATATATAATATATATATAATATATATATATATATATATGTATATGTATATCCTCTAGGAATCAAACCAACTTGGCTAGAAAATCCCCCAGAGAGAAGATATTTGAGATGGTGTTCCCACGCTTTCTCATTGAAATGCCCATTTAAGGCCATAAGCATTTTCCCAAGGCAGCCATGGCCCGTGCCCCTAAAACCCCAGGGGATTACGAATAGGCAACTCGCAGCGTGGCAGCGGATGTGCAGAAATGTCTCAACCTCACCTCCGTGGTGGAGTTGCTTGGTGTCCTTCGCTGAGGATGCGGTGGAGATCCAACCGTTTCAAAGATGGACTCTCAAACAGCTTTATACCGTCTTATATCCCAGATTAAGGCCAGCTACGGTCCATGCAAACCCTTGGGATAAGTATACTGCCCGTCAATCTGAGTGGTTCGGAACGCAGCTTCGACCCCGAGAACTGAGACCCTCCAGTCATCATTGCCATGGCTGAACAAATCCCAATTTACTTCGATGATGTTCCTGTTAAAATATTCTAAAACCCCGCATTCAGATGGAATTCCCCAACTTAATTATTTGCTTGTAGACCATATAGTAAGGGTTTTAAGCGCCGCTTATTACCGGGCTTAAAATCCAATGGGTATATCGTTTGTTATCATCATAACGGCAACCGTAGTAGCCGAGGCCCGGACCCTGCCAATAATTGTCCCCCAAGCTCATTTCGTGCAACGTTCGCTCTTGTAGTTCCATGGCTCGCAAAGCACGAGTTCTGCGAGTTCTGTTGCTGGCATTTTCCTTGGTGATCGTCCAACAACAGCTCACCTTCATCTTCGGTTGGACTAGCAGACCAATCCCAAAACCCGAAACGGTGTTTGACCAGATTTTTCGACGATTTGACCCTTGTGATATCTATCGGACGAGGACCGGGACGGCAAGATTACTTGCAGCATCTGGAGGCCAACAACTTGGCCATCATCAATGATGTCGATGACACCGTGGCGCACGAAGTCATTGACTTCGATGCGAAGCACTGGAGCAAGGAGACATTGAACCAGGCAGCCGTCAAAGCTAGCTCCAAGAAGTCCTTCCTAGCCACGTTACGTGGCAGTGGTGGAGGCAAGACACGTGCTCTGAAAGAGCTCCGCTGAGAGCTTTTGGGTATGGACGGCGTGTTGCCCCTGGCATTCACGCATGACTCTGCCATGGAGTTGTTTCCCAGTTGAATTTGGCTGGAGCACAGGCTGTGACCTCAACTATGCCATCACGGTGGTGACGGGAAGCCGCTTGATGAGGTTCTGGGATTGGTGAAACAACGTGCACGGGCTGGAGGTAGGAGATACCCACTGCAGCTCATCCGGGGCTTTATCGCACATGCAGTGCAGAAGCTCCTTCGTCGTCGAGGCATCCACACCGTTGTCGTCCTGGCCGACGAGGTGGCAAGGGCAAAGGAAGCCTTTGTCAAGGAGTACAACTTGGGAGCCTCACGACAAGATATTACTTCATTCCTCCGGCAGGCTATCCTTGACCAGGAAATTCTCCCAGGCCTTCAAGCGACACTTGTGATTTCCTCATTGACACTGAGTCCGTTTGGTGCATCACCTTTTGGCAGATTCCCACGCGTCTTGGAGCTTGCCCAGAACCTCAACGCGACGAAGGTCGCCACATCTTGGTGGTGCAAAGAGCTGCTGATGATGATGTGGCAACCTTCGTTGCAGCTGCCCTCTCAGAGCTCCCACGGTTTCTCGAGTTCGCTGCTGACCTCTTGAAGCCAAAAAACATTGACCAGACAGACAGAGGTGAAAGCAGTGTTTAAGCATGTGCGGGAGGTTTTAGACTCGTTACCAGCCGGAGCTCCCAGAGGCGGATGCCCTCTACCCAGCCATCTTTGGCGAGAAGACCACACAGAACAAGGATGTTTTGTCCCTTATTGCGGACAACATCTTCGTGAACGCGGTCAGGACGATCAAGACACCTCGGACTGCCAAGCGCATTATGATTGAACCAGTGGTGTCGCTGTTCATGCTGAGCGCAGGGCAGAGGCAAACAGTAAGGACAGCTTCCCTCAACTTGTCGCCAAGTTCCCCGACAAGATCGAGCTGACCAACGCCGGACGGCCTTTGGAATGGTGCACCATGTGGCGGCTGCGGATGCGCCTCGCCACTGCCGCTGGCAAGCAGAACTTCCCCTTGGTAAAGCTGCTGGGCGTGGAGGGGGTCGAGTTCAACTGCACCTTCAAGAGCCAGCTTGATCAGTTGGAAGAAGTGACCCTAAACATCCCACAGAGGAGCCGGTTCGTTCAGTCAGAGAATTTCAAGGGGGGCAAATTGCCCAACAGCCGCCAGAATGCAGTTGCGTTCTTGGATGCTTGGCAGGGCATTCCTCAGAATCCAAGAAACCTCTCGCTGCTCCAATCGGCTGATGGTGAGGCATGGGGTATCTTCTTCGCCGCATTCGACACTTTCACTCACAAGTGTCAAGTGGTTTATTGCTTTCTTGGAATTGAAAGCAACAGGAAGTCTGAAGTTGCGTAGCCAAGCTCAGCATGTGGAAGAGCTGGCGATAGAAGCTCGGAAGGGGAAAAGCACCCTGGGTCTTTTGGAGGCATTGAAAGAAGGGCGGCTTCCTGTACATAGCCACAGCAGAAGGCCAAAGTGAAGCAGACGAACTGGCAATTGTCCTCAAAGAGGAGGACACCGCCGCTAGATTTTTTGGACCTTAGTCCGCTGTGGATAAAGCAATTCGACAGGCATTCCCATGATACAGAAATTCACGGTGGGAAGGGCCTAAACCAAACACTGCCGTTTGAAGAGCAGGAAAAGGAAGGTAGCGGCTCGCTTGAGCGCTGAGCTCTGGATATCGAGTATCACTTACCCCTTCCAAATACAAGAAGGGGTTTCAGCAAAGGCCTTGCAAAATTGTCCTCAAAGAGGAGGACACCGCTAGATATTTTGGACCTTTGGCCGCTGTGCATAAAGCAATTCGACAAGCATCTCCATGATACAGACACGGTGGGAAGGGCCTAAACCAAACACTGCCGCTTGAAGAGCGGAAAAAGGAAGGTAGCGGCTTGCTTGAGCGCTGAGCTCTGGATATCGAGTATCGCTTACCCCTTCCAAATACAAGAAGGGATTTCCACAAATGCATTGCAAAAAATAAAGATAAATAAATAATAACCGCAACTGTACACCCAAGTACCTTCCCCATGGTTTTGGATCTTGGACTGGCCTCACACGGCTGACATCGCAACACAACGCTCCGAGGCTGCGGGCGGCAACCAATCGCTCCAACCTGTTCTATGCTGTGCGTTCTTGGGCTGATCGGTTTCAGAACCGGACCACGGGAGCAAGCAGGCATGGCATTGGAGGAACCAACCATTTAATTTTATGGGAGCATTTTATGGGAAAGGATATAGCTAATCAAGGATACTCAGTTTTGTGGGTCTGACAATTGTGTATGGCAACTTAATTAAAATGATTAAAATCCCTTGCTTGGAATGGGGGATGGTTTCCTCCTCTCAGACAAACCCAAAAAACGGGATGGGTCAAGACAACCATATGATAATTACCAGATATTACCAAGGTCTTTTGGGGATGCGCATCTTCCTTTGCAAATTAGTTCGAGGTGCACTGGCACGCGGGTTTTGATCCATAGTCTTAGGTGCCAGGAGCCGAGCCCATGGCTACCCAGGACATCGTCCCAAGGACGCTTCAGAGGTGCTTGCGATGGTGTTGAAGACCATCAAACTCTTCCCTGTGGGAACACCTGGCCTGGTCTACTGCATCACCAGGCTTGGCGCTTGGGCAAGGTCGATTCCGCCTTGAGGATTGAGTAATCCACCCAGATACTTTACTGATGGTGCTGGTGAGAGAAGTAATTATAGCATATTACAGCCATCAAAAGGAACATAGTGTCTTGCCCTGTTCATTCTTAGGGGCCCATATGGGGGTTGTTTATTTCTAGGGTGGTGGGAATATAACGACATAATATAACGAGGTAACCCAGAAATGTTTGTTTTTAGAGGATGTGTTATGTTTTGTCATGGGGTCCGGTCACTAGTTGAGTGAGGCCAATGGTCAAAACTATCAACATCTGTCGCACCTGGAAACTCAACTTCATGGTCCTGAAAGACCTCAGGCGGTCTGAGTGAATCAATACTTTGTTTGTGTTAGATATGTCTACCAGATTTTCCAGATTGGTATGCAGCAACCATATATGTAGTGATTATGTCATATACTCACACATGCAGGTAAACATAGCAGCCCTAGCATTGTGTACTGATGTGTACTGTGCAGATGGAGATAAATGGCTGATCCAAGGATGGGCCCATAGGATCAAATACGCACATCCGGTTTCTAACGCAAGTTTGCACTAGTTACACTAGTTGTTATGGTAGTTGTAACCTCTGCTAAATATTATATATATATATATATTTATTTATGTTTATTTTTAATTATACATATGCAATCATAATTATGCATATATACATGAAATATAAGCATATGTACATATGTGTGTGCCCACCCTCTGTCTCTCTATATACTTATGTATGTTCGTATTTTTGGGGTATACAGCAAGTGGTAGGGGCCCAGCATATAATCGATATGTCTTTGATCAAAGCTTCCGCCAGACCGCCACACTTGTCGTACAGGAAGGAAGCCGAGTGCCTCCGCGAAGGCTTGTCGCAGCACGTGCCCTGTGCCTTCTACCACGGCGATTTGACGGCTGAAGCGCGACAAAAGGCCGGGGGATGTCGTGGAAAAAGAAGGACGACCCCAACAAAAATACACAAAAAGTGAATACATATCCTCCATGTGAATGTGAATTCTGGTTGATTGATGCTAACTTATTGACTCTAGGAAGGATACACGGTGGTTTAGGTTATGTATATATATATATAAAAACACAAAAATCTTCCCAATAATTGTTGGTCATATGATATGAACATATGGTTTGAAGGTTTCATAGTCTCATCCAATTTGTTGGTTGATCTTGTTACATCTTAACGCACCCGTTTTGTGGAACTTTTCTGGTGTTATATGTGTTCCAGATCATCCATGTAACAAAATGGAATAGTGAACAAATTTGCCCATATGGAATTGACCATATCTCTCTGGTAAACATACCAGCATCAATGGATTGGTTTAAGGGAAAATCTACGGGAAACCATTGATTTTGTCCCATTAAAGATGGGATTTTCCTGTAAAAATTACTTTCAACGAGTCCATTGACAGCACCATGGGTGAAGCAGATCCCGCAACGGATCCTCCGTTAATCGTTGCGGAGGTGCATTCCAGTTGGGTCGAAGGAAACATCCACGTGGTGGTGGCCACCGTGGCATTTGGCATGGGGATCAACAAGGCCGAAGGTGTTTATGGAAGTGGTTTAAAACCAGATAGATATTGGTGTATATAGTGATTATACTTTACCAATAATTAGTATATTGGTAACAGTATATGTATATAATATTATATAATTATATGCAGATATTGGTAGCATATTCTATATATATATATATTATAATATCTACATATGCTATATGTTTGGAATGTTTGAAACTTCCCATTTTTAGAACAGGCAGACGTGCGCTTCGTGATCCATGCTGGCTTGCCGGCGTCCCTGCACCACTACTACCAGGAGTCAGGGCGCGCTGGCCGCGACGGCAAAGCGGCCTTGTGTTTGGTGCTGTACCGACCCGGTGATGTTACCAGGCATAGTGCCATGAAACTTGGATGGCGTTGGTCAATGCATTGGTTTCAAGGAAAATCTGAACCGGAAACCCCAAGGTGGTGCCCCGCGCCCCCTCCAGTTATGTTTGTTGGTTTGTAAACGCATTATATACATGTAATTTAGTATAATGAAATCATACAGTAGATAGAATTATAAACCAATTCAGCTAACGTCGTTTGGAGGCCCCAGCTTGTACCAGTCCCACGACTCAGGAACTACTACAAACCCCAATTCTTGCGAGAGATCTATGGTGTGGCCATGTATTGCATCTCGGTTTGTGTCTAGATGTGTTTTTTTAATTTATGTCCCAGCAGTTGGTGGCGAACCATGAATCTGTACAGTGCGATGTGGTATAAGCCCAATTATTAAACAACAAAGAAAACAAACCCCAGTGTCACCAGAAATAGATTATAAACCACCCCAAATTGGTGGTTTATTTGTTGGGATTATCGCATGATCGAGTGTAGAGCACGGTTCCTGATCCATCCGACACCCGCTGCTACTTATTTTTTGAAGAAGTAGTGGTTGCTACTTATGCCTTTTTTGCTAAACAGGATGCAAATGGATCCCAGGTGGGTTTCCCTTCCCCAAGGCCCATTTTCTTATTGGATTTGTTCCATACCGGTCCCCATTCCCCATTTGGGGAAGTTATATCAACATTACAGGTACATTCACGGCGTGTGTTTGCTGTACCGTGTTTTTGTTGCAGGTTGTTAATGGCCATTTTAGCCCAGATCACATATTATTACCGGAACGTTATAATTTGCATTTGGTTGTTTAAATCGCCATGCGTTTTCACTAATTATACCAACGTTATCGGAGGTCATATAAATAGTGCTCCCCCCCATAAAAACAACCATGGACAAGGTTCAAATTACATTTTGTTTTGGTGTGTGTCCACTATTTACTTCCATATTACTATGGAATTTAAATATGAAATCGATGTGTCATGATGTGTCTATTGGTGGGAGGTGCTACGCCCATGTTGGCAGGTCAACGTCGCGAGTGTCGCCGGCAGCAAATCTCGCGGCACTTCGGCGAAGCGATTCCCGAGTGTCGTGGTGGCTGCGATGTTTGCGCTGAGGCAAGGTCCAGGGATCGGCCAAGGCGCTCCCAAACGAGAGCTAAGGTGGGGAACACAACTAGGTGAATTCTATGGGTCTTGGATTTTTATGGTAGATATATCTATAGCATATAGTTCTATAGTCGCTGTGGTTTATTATACACCAACTTAGTTATTTAGGGGACACCAGCTTGGGTAGTTTAGATCTATGCAACTACGAGGTGCTGTTATCATGGGTGCTCTCAACACCTCAGATACAAGGGTGAACAAATATGGAAACATTGGGAGATGAGATCGAGAAAAATGATCATTTTCCACCCTTGTTTTGTAGCTATAATTTACCAATAGTTAGAGCATCCCTGTTTATAGCATATTTCTTTATCAGAGGAATGAGAGTTATATGAAACTGAAAAAAACTGAATTCTTTAAGTTCCGGGAAGATTTACAATGAATGGACACTAAGATCGAAATCCTAGGTGTGTGGTTGGATGTGGACACGATTGGGACTTAAAATTTGCTGGATCCTAGCTATCATTGGGAAAACATCCAATGTGATTCAATTTTGGGATGGCAACTGTTTGGAACCAATCATCAATAATCCACTAATCCAATGTATGATTTTGGTGTACGATATCTATGTTGATTTAAAATCTATATGATTATGAAATGACTATTTAACAAATATCTGCGTCTCTTTCAGGTTTTGCGTGTTCCGGAAACAGCTCCGCCAGGCTGCCCAAGCCACAACCGAGCCCAAGCCACCCAAGCGGCAGCGGCAAGAAAAGCGGGAAGTGCCGGCAGAAGCCACTTGGCCACGGGGAGATGATTTGACGGCGGTTCTAGAAGATTTCGAGCAACCAAATGGCCGACTTTGCCATAAAATGATGCTCAACAATATATGATAATTATATATATATATGTATATATATTCACATATATATATATATATTCACATGTACATGTTACTATACGTGCCATGTATTGTATATTATAATAATTTATGACATGTGAGATGCAGGGAACGACAGTGGGTATCAGGTTGTGATTCGGTTTGAAGTACAAACAGGGTTTGAAGCTGCCTGCAGCGTTGCAGCGCCCTGCAACTGGCATCTCTCGGGGTGCGGGGGCGAAGTTGGCATTATCCATGTGAAGTCATCGATATTTCAGCAGAGCCGCTAAAGTTTCAATTAAAGTCTGGAGGAATTCAGGAACCAGCATCGGCAATAGTTTGTGTTTGGAATTATCTACAAGTGATATCACATGTGTTTTCCCAGATGTTATTTCAGTTCAAAGAAGCCAGAACAAGACCACTATTACATACTATTACATCTAGTTACACAATTCCCGAGCAATCACAAGAAAAAACCACGAGGGTGGTTTGGAACATTGGTTATTTTCCCATATCTTGGAAATAATAACACCAACTGACTTTCATATTTTTCAGAAGGGGTTGAAACCACCAACCAGTAGTATACTTGACCCTCACAAAAAAAAGACAATGGTGGCCCTTGCCAGGTCATCCATAGTTTTCAGTGAGGCGTGGCGCGCTGCATGTGAAGTGGCCGTGGCACAGCGAGGCGCTTTGCTTGCAGGGGAATGTAGGACATCATGCCATTCTAGTGGTCCAGGGCCCACATCCGTTCATCACAAATTTGCATGTTTGTTCTTCAGATTTCATCAGATGTCATCCCTTCTTTTTCAAAATTTACTGTTTTGAAAGTTTGAGGTTGGGTTCCACCAACCTCCCTGCAAAATTCATAAATGGTTAAGATTGATGATTGTTGTTAATGAGCCCTTAATAAACCCTTATCAATTTGGGCTGATTGCCTTTAGGGCAGCTCAATCCCCATATGGAGAAGACTCCTTGGGAGGCAAGGAGGAACAGCTCACCCTGGTGAAGCTTGGAGATCGCGTGCAAAAAACTTGCAAGTGGCGCGGGGAACCAGCCGGCGAAGATGCCCTTTATGCACCTTGGAAGTCTGAGAACCGCACAACTGCGTTCTACCCCTGTTGGTTGATGATTTCAAACACTACCCCATATATATATATATATGTGTGTGTTTATATATATATATGTGTGTGTGTGTGTCCAATAGAATTCTCGAGGATGATAATAATCCATTTTGGGAACCCCCCTGTAGCCAGCCAATGTAGTGGACGTACATGGCTGGGGGCATGGGTGTGATGCACCTGTATGGATCCCCTTCATGATAGAGACCCACAGAATACCCAAGACCCAGGGGGGTTGGATGGTTTTGGTATGTTTGGGTTCAGTTTTTTTTTAGGTCTGTAATAAGCTAGGCCATAATTATAATTACATTACTATGCTATTTTTGAGGTAGTGAATTCTGACCCATGCAAACACTATCCATTGGGGTGCAAGATGTGCTGGATTTATAGACAAGGCTGGGTGTTTGCCATGATTGCCAGCACGGCTGGCTGGTGGTTTCAAACAAGTAGTCCATCTTGAAAAGATGAAACCCTTTGGCTAATATGGACATGGGTCGAGAACCCTGGTACCTTGTAACCGAAATAGCTGGGGTTTGTGGATGTTCAACCCCTCCAGATATGGTATCTCGCTTATTTTTGATCCGTCCCCATATGGGTTGAAGCAACCAGACGGAAGGTGGTCATGTCCCTACTGGGAACTGGATATTTCCGCGAAGAATTTCGTCACTCGCCCTACACGACCAACGCCTACTTGGTGGCCAGCTCTTTGATTTGCGCACGCTTTTCTCGTTTTTTTGGTTGTTGGTGTCATTTGTTATTTCAAAGAATGCCCAAAGTGGTACTGTATTCTGACAGGCTACTATGGTATAGATGGCGCGGTTCTAGATGAATAGCAATATAGATTATATAACAATAATTACATAATTACCTATTTCAAATATGTCATATGTTGATTTTCCATGTTTGTCTCTAGGAGGATTTGTTCTAACGGGCCCAAGTTACTAACAGTTCTCGGGGATGAGCATAGCTGCCGAAAGTGACCACTTTTAGTAGGTAGTTCATTTGTCAATGGGCCATTTTGCATAGCTATCCATAGCTACATTCTTAAGTTTCCTCAATGGCCATTCCAGGAACCCAAATTGGAGGAACCTTCCATATTAAGGCCTATATAATGGCTATTTTTTAGGGAATATCACCAGAAAATATGGTCAAAAATATGGTATCAACGTACCTCCATTTTAGGATCCTGGAATTCCTATTGAGTGATCCCGCTTCCAGAGGTAGCTACACTTAGTGCAGATGGCCTGTTAGATGGGCAGAAGATCGCGGCGGAAACGCTGGACCTTGGAAGTTACAACGCCTTGCTACATAGTCCGGTTGCCTCTCAGCGGATGAATGGGGTTCAGTACGTGCACATAACTGGGTTAAGATCGCCAGGAAATTAGATGGAGTTCTGTGTGTTTCCATATTCCTTGCCGATAACATATAGAGCATCAGAGGTATACGGCTGAATTTGGCAAATCGTTTGAAATTGAAGACACATTTCCGATCCACTTTGGCAATTTTCTCGGGCCATCTGGAGTCGGATTTCTTACATCCACAACATCTCGAAGAAAACTACTAAACAAACATGTCAGAACATCATAACATCCCCAAGAAAAACTATATAAAAACATCTCAAAATTGCCAAATCTTGGCAGATCCCATGGCAAGGATCCCGGCAGAGCCGTGTCAGTGGCCGAGAAATTTGCCGCACTGCGGCGGCCCACGGCAACGGACCCAGTGGAAGTGGAGCGACTGCGGTGCTTGCGACAGCTGCGGAGTGCGTTGGGAAGGCGGGACCTTGGGGACTGGGGATGTGATGGGGATATAATGGGGATAGTACACATGTTTGATCATGTTTGATCATGTATAAAATAATATAAACATAATATAAGTTAATAAAGTATAATATACAATAGAATATATATTTATCTATTTACACCAACCAACTCAGCATCATTCCAAGGCACACTATCTATCCCCACTATATAGTATTATTTGCCTTAAGATGTCTTAAACCTATAGTGAGAATCTTTGAATATGGACAATCCACCAATCCGATATCGTTTTTTTCTCCAGCACATGTGATTGGACACCGACACCCACAAGGTGGTTTCCTGGAATCAGCTTTCTTGGTTTATAGCTTAATTATCTATATTTATAATGCCATATAGGCCATAAACCTTATAAAATTAATGAGGTTTACCAACTTCGCTATTTTTTAGGCCCTAGGCCCTAGGGACGGTGTCAAATCCGGTCCAATCCCCTGAAGGCGCGCAGAAGTGCCCGGACAATTCATCTTGACGGATGGGGACCTGGCGCAGCTGACGCGAAAACCCCCAGAGCTCAAGGAAGACTTGCCGCTGTCAGCGGCCAAGTTCCTTGGCAGCTGCTGCTGAAGATGTCGACATGACCGACACAAGGCAATATGTATAGAATAGAATAGAATGAAGACATCTCTCCGTACATGATATTTAGCATTCCTGTTGGACTACAAAGTGACTATCTCTATTTTAACTTTGTTGTTTGTGAATTTAGCAAGGCTTAGGTGACAAGAATCCAAGTTGATGCCCGAGGCGAAAACTCTATGGCGATGCCATCATCAGTTGCCTTGCCGAGCTGAAAAATGACACGACTTTGGTCGCTGCAGATGCCCTCAAAGATGTTCATAACGGGAGTTTCAACATGTTTCAACTTATGCATATAATATGATTCATAACAATAACACACAAGAATAGTAACAACAACAGCAACAACAACAATAATAATCACCATCACCATCATCACAATCATGATCATGATCATGATCATGATCATGTTCATGATCATGATCATGATCATCAATCATCATCACCATGATCATGATCATGATCATGGTCATAATCATCATCATCATCATAATCATCATCATCATCATCATCATCATCCTCATCCTCATCCTCATCCTTATCCTCATCTTCATCGGCATCGGCATCGTCATTGTATGTTACGTTCACCTCCTCCCTATTTGGTCTAGTTTAAATTATCGCTGTGGATCGGAGATGCCAAAAGTCAAACAAGATGCGCAATGTTGAGAAATAGGAAAGGATTTATGCCTTTTTATTTTGTCATCGTTCTTTGGCTTTTTGTTTTTCAGATATGTTGTTGTCATCGTTCAGCATGGAAATTGGATGAAATTGGATGATAATCGCCAATGTAGAGCCTATTTTTCTGGGTTGCTCATTCTCAATCTCCGGGTCTCCAGTGAAACCAGTGCGGCTTAGGTGTCCGACCTCATCCGCTGGGTGACGCTCTTTGGCGTACCTTGGCGGGTTAAAACACCTTGGTGAAGTGTTGGAAAATGTTGGACTATAGATGTTGGCAATCCATGGAAATCCACATTTGGGCACAATTGTTTCATTACTGGGGGATGTTGAGTGTTGAATTTATATACTTCTTTTGGGGCCCTGTTTAGTATGTGTTTAGTGTTCTTTTTGCACTTGGGGGGTGGAGTTAACTGCCAAACATTGCATTTTCCAAGACCGCTTCTGCATTTTCCGAGTGTTGTCAGTCAATGGGGTTGCGGTTATCATATGTTATCACCAGAAGGAATCCCATACCATTCGCCATGATGCTTGCTGCATGTTGGACCCGCTCAGGTTGCCTGGCTACGCATGGTAACCGGGTGGATATGGCCGACCAAAACGGCGCCTTGCTCTGGCGTTCGTTTCACCGTGTTTTGGAAACGGAGGTTTCCTATGGGGGTACCCCAAAATGGATGGTTTATAATGGGAATTCCATGGAATTCCTATTAAGATTGATGATTTGGGTGTACCACCATTTTAGGAAACCCCCAAATAAATGGATGAAAATAGTCTCGGGAGATAGGGAAGACAGTTCCACTGTTTCTCTGTTCTGTTCGGATACAGTAGTCAACCTTGAATCATCCAACATTTTTCCTGGTATAAAGCATTGGTCACCGCCAAACTACCAGCAGTGGGTGCATTTGGTTGACATGTCCATGCACAAACGTTGCTGGCTGGTTTCTGCAAGGGTCTTTATTTAGATCTAAATTAACTATAGGTTTATGGTAGAGATATATTCTATTATCTATATCTATAGTTCATGGGGCTTATAAACAAACATCGTAAACATAACTGGGGGGCAGCTACTCGGCACTGCCATGTCTTCCCTGTTTTCGCCAACAAGTGTGATGATCCCCAATGACTGACGGTGAAAAAGGGTGATTGAAGCCAACAAGAAACAAATCCCCGTTCGTGTTGGGTCAGTAACTTTAATTCCTGTTGGTTAGATCATTAAATCGATTCATTTTTCCATCAACAAGTCCAAGAAAAGCGCCTGACTCACACCCCCAATCGCCCAGGCCCATGTTCATGATGATGTTCTGTTGTTTTTTTTCCCCAGTTGAGTCCCTTAAACATTCCATAAAGCCTCCAACAAAATCACCCCAAGATCCACCAAAATGCGAGGTGTCCTAAAGTGCGGATGCCCCTAAATCATCAATTTTAACAGGATTGTCCACTTAAAACCATCAGTATTTTGTGGATTGTCCATGAAATGAACTAAAATAAATAATCCAGCTATGGGGATACCCCCATGACTAAACCCCTACGACCAGGTCGTGGAGCAATCTCTCTGCACGTGAGAGGCCACACCTGATGGCCCGTCGGGTGCAAAGCTTAACCCAACCGCGGCAGTGACTCGTTGTGGATCGAAGCGATGGAACACGTTTGGTCATGAAGCATAGATCAGTGCAGAAGTAGTATCAGATTCAGAGACTTACATATGATTCATCTATATTGATGTGGTTACATGATTTTATTGGTATGGCAAGACAAGCATGACATTGAACAAACAACAATTATCAACGTGGAAATAACGACACTCTGGTCGAAAGAGGTGCCACTGACACTGCACCGATCAGATTGTTGGAAGTGAAAGCCGCTGCCTGCGAAGGAGCCGTGTGCCTACTCCGCATGACACAGCATGAGTCTGTTCCTCATTGGAGCCTTGTCTTACCCTTTGCGAGCCCTTGCTACAGGCAAGGGGTTGTCAATGTCATCGCGTTTTACATCTTTTGATTGCGCCTGAGCGTTCTGCTTACAGATGCCTCCCTGGGCCCCAAGAGGTTGGGTTCGGAGGTACTTTTCACCACAGCCAAGTGATGCCAACAGTTGCATTCACCCCACTATGGAAGAGCATCATTATGATCATTGAGCATTTACTATTCTCATCATCTCAAGATATCTCAAGATTCTCAAGTCATGGCTTTGTGGCAGCTTGATGCATGACTAATTACAGTGATTACATCCCTACCTTTGATGCTACGATGCCTTAAATGGCTGTGTTTCGTTGCTGGTAAAGCTGTCTGCCAGCAGGACTCCCTGTTAAAGCCTCAATTGTCTCGTGCCGCCGTCGCAGTCCCAGCTGGCTTCCACTCACGTTGAGTGGTTGTCCATCAAGACTGGTGCGCTTATGCAGGATTCCAAGGTACCGGAACAGTAGAGAGTGAGACCGTGTCACAGAACCCCCGTATGACGATATATTAGATGTTCCTTCATACATGTTCGTCAAAAAGGATCACGAAAAAATACCAAAAGCTGCTAATCAGATGCCCATTGGGCATTTTCTGGTTGAAGATTGACCACGGTTTGTTGATTTGAAGAGGAAACAGGAAACACCATCGAACAAATAACCACTCCTTTTTTGGACTCGTCTGACATAGTTTGCAGCAATGTTTTCCAAGCCAAGCTGTAATTCGGAGCTTTGTTTAATGTATCACTTAAACTATGATTAAACCATATTAAACCATTTATTGAAAACCATTGAAAACCTAGAGTCCATGAATTGAACTGTGATTCACCAACTTATTCAAAACCTAGGTGCCACTAGGTGCCTAGAAAGTTGCTATAAGAAACGTCACACCTTTGAATCCTCACCTAGTTCGGAGGCGTCACACCGAGAGTCTCACCGCGTCATTCTCACCTCCTTCGATCCAGGACAGCCCTGGCGAGGGCATGCGTGAACAAAACACGAAAACACCACGGAGGGTGAGGTCACAATGTCATGGCGCCCCAAAATCATCAAATTCTAGACCAGAACCATTGGATCATATTAGAATGATGTTTCATATGCATATAATTCTAATTACATAATTATTAGAATGATTAGTTGTGGTTAAATCATGTTAGTGATCATTCAAGAATTGAGATCACTAAAGAGTCAGGAATCGGTCTTGATTTAGGGAATGTGGTTTACATTCAGTGATAGTTGTTGCGATGAATATTCAGCAGTTTTTACCCAGTACATCCCAATCATATCCACATGATATCGATTTTGCTATCCATTGAGGGAAAATTCATTAGAATCATTGGAACACCTGGTGGTTCAACAATTCAAAGAGTGTAATTCTTCCAGTTTCTCATCATTTATCACCAGCTCTGGAAGATGTGGAAGGATCCCCAAAGATTTTGCGCAAGTTTGATCAGATTAAGTCAATCTTTGGGTCACAAGCCAGATTGAACAGCCAAATTTCTAATTGCAAGTATTACCGTACAGTAGCCCACAAATATCTAACAATTTCCAACCATTGGCTCACTGTTCCGGTTTTAACACATTCAGACAGACATTAAGCTGTCAAACCCTCAACCCTGATATGGCCGAAAACGTCCGAAAACCACACAAAGATGTGTAGGAGAACTTGAAGTCGAACGTCACTCTGTTGGGCCCAGAGTGTCATACCCAGCCCATTGTGGGGCATAAGAATTTTAGCTGATCAAGTCGAGATCTGGGACCTCTTTGTGGCTGAAGTTAAATTGAATATAGCCTTACACATGGGAGTACCATACCCATCCATACACCCATAGAATTTGGTTCCCAAATTGGTCACGCAAACGCGTCCGTTGCTGTTCCTGCTCCCAGAGATCGAAGTTTTCAACCTGCACAAAGGCCTGTGGTCCCCGGGTACCCCCGTGGTTCGGGTAGACCCTTGGTTTGGTTGTGATGGGTTGATATCATGTTGAGCCATAAATCGATGAACAGACATGAACAGGAACTGACGAAAGGCTGAACTCTTGGAAAATGGCGATGAAGAGAGACAGAGAGAGAGAACTGACTAAAGATATAGACACAGCTGTCTCTAATATCCCTGTGTAAGTAAGTGTTAGCTTTCTTTTTGCGTGCTTGAAGGCTCATTAGCGATTTGGATCGGTTCGGGTCGGTTTATCTCTTCGGGCTGTTGGGAGTGGCCACATACAGCTCCGAGTACAGTATACAGTTATGATGGGTCAATGATGGGACAGGAAGGTTGTTTCTGATGGTGCTACTTGAATGATAGCACATTTAAAAAAAAAATATGGTAACGAATTCATTGGCCTTTGCCATGATTTTTTCCACAGATGTTGCAAGGTTCATGACAGTCATGATCGGCCCATGCAAATCTCTGATCCAGGGTGCAGTGACGCACATGGCCCCGCACTCAGCAGGGCTGCGCAGGGCAGTTGTAGAGCAAAGATGATGTCCAACCCGAGCAGGGTTGTGCGATTCGCAGCAAATAGCCAAAGCCCACTAACAACGTTTTTAGTGCGTTCTTTATGATTTATATTTACTGGTAAACCCTGGTGAAGGGCATGCCAAAGCTGTTGGCGTTTTGCAGTCTGGCTAATCCGGGCCCATGTTTTCAACTGACATCTTTGCTGCTGTCATCGCTGGTAATGGTACCAGCATGAGGCAGACCATGAGCAGTCTATGGAGGTCGTTGCACGGGTCATTCCATTTCGATGGGGTTTATATGGTTTAGTAGGATTTCATGCGGATTCAATGGAACATCACAACCGAACGAATAGCTATACTGTAAATTATCTCAATGCAAACATGAATATAAATGGGTCTATAAGAGTCTATAACATAGCAAACTCTTATTGTAAATTTCTAGGTATGTTTCGACATAATATGGGTATGGATCAATACCTATACATACCATTTTTAGGGGATGAACATCCAGTTACCAGCTATTTTGATGTTCACCAGGGGGATAGAGTTTTGACCCATCCCCATATGAAAGTCCTTCAGAACTGACCTGCCTTTGGCTTTCACCAGGATGAGAGCACGGAGCGGCTGCACCAGGAGCTGTCAGGCTGTTCGCGCCTGGAAACCCGCCTTGTTCCTATCAGGTTGATCGCTCCAAACATGGGAACCCCAAAAAAAGCACATCGTCTAAATCATGCCCAATGGGTTTTCTCTTATTATATATATATATATAATAATAAAAATAATATATATATATTATTCAGTTATCATGTATTCTCATTGATTATGACTTGTATAGTTTTGTTTTTAAAAACATAGTTTGTGATGATAAATTGTGATCAGAGAGATCAGAGAGGATGGCTGTCCGCCGTTTCCCCCAAAGAATCGCCACAGCCTGACCTGCAGGCGTGACGGCGGGAATGACTCCTGGGTGTCACTGCTTGGAATTTGATTCGTGGTGGTACCTCGGCTAGAGACGGTGCCCCAGGTCAACCTGAACAGTTCGGGAAGACTATAGGTGAACTATCAAGAATGTGGGGAACATGTGGGGAAGAAGGGGAAATTGACCACAAGAATATGGATTTATGAATATTTATGATAGTTATATACATATATATATATACACATAATTATATGGTTCTAGAACTGATATGATCTGACTATAGGGTTTATGAATGGTTTTGGATGTGTATGGTGCATATATCTATAGTTAATGGGCTTCATAAATCAGCTAAAAAATATAGTCGGGTAATCAGCACCTTGAGTTTCATGGACATTTCATGGTACCCCCCCAAAAAAGAACAACACATCAGACCTTATGTTTGCGGGGGTTCCATGAACCTCTATGAATGGGACCTTCGAAGGAGCACCGATGTCGATGATGATTGGATTCGCAAAGAACTGGACAATTTCATCAAACAAACTGCGGTCTTACATTGTTTTACTTTATTTTTTCATCAAATACAGCTGCCTCTGTCCGAGATTTCCGGGATCAGAAACAAAGTGGTGACTTTCCAGCAAGGCATATGGCATATGGGGACTCCCTCCCAAAAAACACCCAGGAATGAGGGCAAACAGCGGCGCTTCGTCTACATCAGGCGGAACATTTCAACAGGGGTAGATCAGCCCTGGACTAAAGTATGGTGTTTATTTTAGAATCCATGCGCCAAGGATCTCAATGCCGTGCCAACTATCATGATTATGTCAGAATCATTGCAGATTTGCCAATGTTTGACGCTGCTCAGTTTTTGGAGGGTCAAATGATGTCAAGTGTCTCCATTTCCGGGCGGCTCTTTTTCTGAGGCTGGGCAGTTGGCCATAATAACAGGTTGCACCCTTTTTGCATCCCACGCATATCAATCTCAAGTCTCACGGGCATAAACATATGAGCAACATGTCCAAACTTATTATACAGGTTGGACCAGGTTGCTTGTTGCATGATTATCCCAGGTAATTAATCAGGCTACTAGTCTTATTATATCAAATCGCAAAAAAACACTATTATTATCTATTTATTATTTTTAAGAGTCCCACAGACCTTTGATTCGCCAGGTACAGCATCACCGAAGGAGCCTTCCAAATGGCCATCGGTGAGGCAAGGCGGTGATAGTTTCCAGTAATAGAGATATCTAATGATATCTAAGTGACATATCTATTTTGATATCATATGATATCTAAGTGACATATCATCATATCATATCATATCTATGTCCATGTATGTCCGATGAAATTTCGGGCCATGGGCATTGATTATCATTGATGTTTCTCGGGGACAGGACAGCAACCTCTACCATGTGCCAGTGGCGTATGGTGCCCGAACTGGCGAGGCCAAGTTGGCGTTGGCTGGGGGGGATCCTAGGAGGACAGTGGTGTATGTTAATTGTTGTACAACAAAAAACTGTAATAACATGTAATAACATGTAATAACATGTAATAACATGTTGTATGTTATTCATAATTGTACATATAAAAAGGGGACTCTGTAAGGCAAGCATTTGTTCAAGACAATGTTGTTTGTGGATTGAAGGCGTTGCGTAGTTTTGACTTAGATGATGGTGCATGATGTGGCAACATCGTAGTTGAATTCTCTTCAGATTTCAGGCCACAAAACATCACAGAAACATACAGAAACATGATGGGTGGATTTGGAGACTGGACATTTATTTTCTCTTCTTATCCCTGGATTCCCTGGCATCAAGCAGTAAATCATAGTAAATCTGCCCATAATCTGCCCCAAAGATACCCAACGTATCCGGTTTTGTAGCTTCAGCATGGTGCCCCTTCCAGGCCGTGACGGTTTGGGATCTCCATGTGGGAGCAGAGGTGGACATCCTCGGCAGAATGACCACGTTGCCCGGACACCTGGGCGAGGAATCAGTGGCTTGATCACAGTACACGCGTAAAAGCGTGTAGTTTCTATATCAAGTTAGATTCGATATATAACAATATTTGATATATGATATAATTAAATATAATTAATATATATATATATATGCATAATTAGGTGTGTGTGTGTACTGTGTAATTGTTGTTGGAGAGAGAATTCATATACTCGGTTCAAGACATCTTACCAGACCAGCTATCCCCCGGCCGTGAGTCTTGCCACAACTGGAGGCAGAGGTGCTCGCAAACCACTGCAGAGTGGAACAAATACTGGGCCGGTGGCCAAAGTTTACCCAGTTCCGGCCATTTCATTGGGTTTTTTTTCCGTGATAAACGTGTCGGGTAAGCCGGATGCCGCCCTTTAAACCATGGCGGGAACACGGTGTATTTTTGATGAATATTGACCTCTTGTTTCTTATTCACTTTTTGGTGGGGTTGCAGCAAGGGAATGACCACTGTTGTCTTGTTGTTGTTCCTGCTGAAGAATCAGAAGACATAAGGGATGTCAATGTTCCGCCGTACTGATATATATATATATTTACACACGTTGTATGAGGGTATGTCAAGACCATACGATTCAGGAACGGAAATTGGCAAACTATGGTCGTGAATTTGTCATACTTATATTTTATAGAGTTTATGTGATAACATGGCGCTCAATTCTCTTCAATTGCTAGTCAAATCCCAGTTTTGTTGTCAAATCCAAGTTTGGGACGTGGTACATGAAAGGCCCCCCGGATATGAATTTACTTACTTTCACCTTACAACTAAGTTTCAATAGTTTGTCTACAACTCTTTTACTTACGTTAATGATTAAGTAATGTTTATAAGATCCTATATAACTAATGTGAAATTATACCTAGAACTGCAGCCTACTACTACCCCAAGTATAGTTCACTGTAGATATTACATGTTTATGCATCTTTATACAATCCACCATAAAGCCTTAGTTCATTGAACCATCGAACAATATATATATAATAGTATCATTAATACTACATTGATTCCAAGATATTTCCATACCATACATACCATTTTTCTTGGTTTTTCCGTTTCCATTTTTGATGTGTCAATCCACCATCTCAACGCATCCAAAAAAAAACAGGCGAATCGCCTGACGCTGCTTCGAGATCGCCTCGCTGAGGACGTGTCGCCGTGGATTTTTGATGGTTGTTTGATGATTGATGGCCTCAGACTTTGAGAATGAATGAGATAAGATATACAGTAATAGATATGAATGGACATATGAAAAGATATGAGTGATGGCAATGACTTATGGTAATGTGAATTATGATTTTTAGTGAACATGAAATGTTGACCATTAGATGATGGTTCTGAGGATATTTCAAGATGATTGATGATAATTATATGATGAATTTTGGATTGAGATCGGAAAACTTGTGAGTTTACATAATTCACGGATGATAATATGATGGTTTTGCTAGAGGAGATGCGGGTGCTTACAGCGATTTATGGCATGTTTGCTATATGTTTCCTTTGAACTGGATCTCTCGGTTTGATTACCGAAGGGATACAGTAGATCCTCAGCATAGCTCCAAAAAAAGGTTTTATCTAGTTTCACTACCATGATGTTTTTCCGCTTCTACTTTCACCACCCTAGAGAATTGGGAGAACTTTTAGATCGATCAACTACCTCAAAAGAGTAATTACCTCAAGGGTCATGAGGGTCAAGGCAGAAGTTCCGTGAAATTACTGCCGTAAATTGCTGGAAGCCCATATGGGAGTTTGTAAAAACCCCGTGCCTATTCGTTTAGTTCAGTCTTCCATGATCCCCCATGAGCCATTTTTAGCTTTCACTCGAAAAAACGATAAGAGGAAAAAAACGATAACGTTGGTTATGTTAATGATGTGCGTCCAGACTCTTGAACTCCAAAGTTCTTGAATTTTCCATCATTCTGCGGCTATTTAGTGCTTTTGGTCTCTTCCTTTCATTTTTTGTTATCGCAATGGCACAGATTCTGCACAAGGTGCCTGGTAGGTGGTCGCTACACTCCTTTTTTGATGCAGAAAAAAAGGAACACGGACAGGATTCACGAACGATTACAAAACGATAACGAAAACGATAACTTTTGACATCGAAAATGGTCCGTGTGAGACACTGCCTTCTCTTTCCTTTTCCTCTCCCTTTCCTCTCCGTTTTCTTTTTCCTGTCTCTTCCTTTACTCTTCCTTTTCCTTCTCCTTTCCTTTTTCCTGTCCTTTTTCCTTTCCTTTTTCCTTCCCTTTTCCTTTCCTTTTCCTCTCCCTTTCCTATTCTTTCCTTTCCCTTTCCTTTTCCTCTCCCTTTCCTATTCTTTCCTTTCCCTTCCTTTACTATTCCTTTTCCTTTTCCCTGTTCTCGCTCATGTGAAATCTTTGATCCAGGTGTGAAGCCAGCGCTTGGAAAAACGATAAGAGAAAAAAAAAACGATAACGTCTGGAAAAACCATTGGAAAGGGCTCGGGGTTTTTACAAACCCCCATATGGAAACAAATGTGTGGGGAATGTAGGCGCATATGGGCGTACAATGATGTCTATATGTATAGACTAGATGTTAGATGTAAGATGTACAGAAGCTCCTGGTGAACTAGCGGAAGTCGCCACACCTGTGCGCAGGAGCTCAAGAAGTTCGGATTCTCAGGGCCGATGCTCCGCTAAGATATACGGATTGATTCGTGGTGCATCTAATCTATGCTGTGGAATCTATATGCTTCATGCAAGTACCTTGCGGACCTTGCGGACCTTGAAGTAGCTTGAGTTGTTGTGTAGAGATGTTGCACTTAAGCTGAAACCTAGTATCAAACCTCAAAGTCATTGGCCGTATTCAAGTCAAGGCATGGGAGCAAACCTCAAGCCTTGCTGTAAGTTCTATCGGCTGAGACCCACTTGAGGTACGACACCCGGAAGAATGACCCTTGGCTAACTTGGCAGAAGGCCCGCGCTCCAAACAAATCCCGGTCGAGAATTCCCACGTGCCTCGGTGCCGGTATATAACAAATCCATGTTTTGTGAGTTACGGACATATGTTGTTCGATTGATTTGCAAGATCCCAATTTTGATGGGCTTATGTCGGGTTGCTAGTTTGTTATCCTAATATAGTTTCTCTTGATTCATTTGGTTTGCATCCGAAGCTTGGGTATTTTTCTTTGCTTATAGCATCATTTTAGCTCATTTTATCTTTCTTTATATATATATATATCAATGTTGATACTTTTTTCTCATGATTCATATCCTGGTGGCATTTTTGTTTACACTGTGAAAGTTAATATGACTTGACCCATACCAGATTTTGTACTTTTAACCCTAATGCTCCAAATTCCCTCTGAGAATAAGGTGTTTGAACCCTAAATCAAATCCATCCCCAAAGAGTCTCAGAAGGTGTGTGGAGCTGTTGGCTACTTATTTCTGTTGATTCACATTGATTCACATCATTTATTTGAAGGTTAATAGCACTGGACATCCCAGAATTGATATTATAGATATTATGTGTATATATATATATACACATATATATATATATTTACATATAGATATAGATATTATAAATGTGGTTGGTGGATTTGCATCCCCACATTCCACGCCTGCCCTTTGACAAAGCCACATCTTAAAGTGTCGTTGGCAGGGCCGTATCGAATCCGGTGGGGCGGACCTGCGCCTTCTCATGGGGCAGGCGGGATTTGATGGTCCCTAAATGATCCCAATTTACTGTGGGACATTCCCTGCTAAACCATGGTTTCTAGGGGCTGTTTAAGGAGTTTAATGTTAGGGGGATGGGATTACTTGATTTGATGTGAGTTAATGGGATTCGGTGAGGATGTAACTACCCGGATTTCCCTGCATTTGCTATTTGATTTGGCTGCTGTTTTTAATTATAATGACCTCACTGCGACCTGACTGGAATGATGGTGCCAGAGTGGTGAATTTCGCCAGTGAATTCGAACTCATCCAGATGGTTTTACTATGTTTTACTTGGGGCTCCAGCTCCAAGTATAAGTGGTTATACCACCATCGTTGCTTGAAGGTTGATGGAATTTCTTGGGGGTTGAACGGTTCACCATGGTTCACCCCCAATTGGGGCTTGTTTATGGGAAAAAATGGTAGACCACTATTCGGGATGATGTAAAATGACCCCCAGTCATGGTTGGGATGGCTTATGACATTGGGTTTACCACTATATATATAACTATATATACAATATACTATATTATGTTTTATTCCGCTCAGCCGAGAAGTCTCTCCGCATCCACGAGCTCGGTCAGTCAACAGAGCTGCATGGGCAAATTGGGTGAACCCAAATATATTAAGGAAATGCCCTTGCCAAATCGCGCTGGTACCTAATTGGCCGGCCCATCGCATTCAATTTGGCATTGATGCGGGCCACTGTACTGTCAGAAACAGGCAGGGTACATCCCCTCAAGGGTAGATGGATAGCAGCACATGGCCGAGAGACCATCACCAAACCAACATCAAAACCACCCCAATCACCAAAAACATTCTTAACAAGCCACTCAATCACACCAGTCTGCGATCCCAAAGTTCTACCTAAGAGTGCCCCAGCATTGGAGTTTTCAACTGGAAGCCATCGAAAAGAACCACGCCTGACCCCAACCTGAATAGGAAGAACCATCCCAACCTCAAAATGAAATCCGATGAATAACTCCAAAAAAGTGAGCTGTCTCACGTACTGGGCAGATAAAGCTTGATCTAAGATCCATTGAACAAAGGCCGAGGCCGTAGCTGTGCCAAACTCTACAATTTTTGGAGTGGAAGCCAAAGCAGCTTTCCAGTCCAATGGCATAGCATCAATCAATGCACCATCATTGACTCCAAAAATGGCCTCTTCAGTTTCTCCGGTCAGATCAGGCAACTCCTGATCCTCCAGTCCGTCAGGGGAACCAACAGCTCTAACAGCCAGAGCCAACAAAAACTCTTGACAACGCCTGGACCAAAATGACTGCCAAATGTTGGAGTTGTGAAAAGCGTGAAAAACCTCGTTTTGACTACAACTGAAACCAGAAAGACGGGCAGTCTTGGCTGACTTGTCCGCCACCGAATTCCAAAAAGTGCAGAACGCATCTACACTGGAACTGGCATCACTTAGCTTCTTGTGAGCAGCAACTTTTTTCACAGTGAAAATACCATCATAGAGACTCAGGCATTGCAAAACGTATTCCCAAAGGTCTTGGTTACACCAGTTAGCTGGAATCGACCTGCACTGTTGCAAAATCTGACAGCCATCCAATGCATACTGCGAATCAGTATGAACCACCGCATCATCACATTTCCAATGGGAAAGCCAGCAAAGAGCCATCGCAATCGCCCAAACTTCACAACGGTCACTGGTATGCATCATTGTTGGCTGCAGCCCAGCTCCAACAACACAGCCAAGGTTGGCTGAAACCAGGCTCCATCCACCAACAGCACCAAGAAAGTGGCTAGAATCACTACAAGAACCATCTGTAAAGAGAAGCTGACGGCCAGATGGGGGCCTTCCTCCGACCCATTCCGGAGCATCCCATGAAATCGCATTCAACATTGCCCAAAATTGAGTTTGCCACGGATTAGCTGGTGACAATCCATGGTGAGTCATACAAACAGGGAGCGAGAACCACATACGCTCCACGTCAGCATAACGTTGTCGAATCTCTTTGAACCTTGGACAAGCTAATGCACGATGCTCAATAGAGTCTTCAGCCAATCCACACGCACAGAGGGGACTCACCTCCTGGTCATACTTGGCCTTGACCGAGTTCAGAAACGAAGTCCCGTCCCGAATGCAATTGAGGAGTTCTGATTTGGCATGATCCAGGCCACTCATCTGAAAAAATGAAGCAGCTTCATTGATGCCATCCATGTCCCTGAAATCCTGTCTGTGAGTGACTTTCATCACCATATGTTGCTTCCAGTAGTAAGCCAAAAGTTTTTTGGCAAGGCCAAGATCCAGCCATGCCAACTTCAAACGCAAGTTGGTGTCCAGAGTCAAAGTATCGGTCCCATGCAGCTGCCATCCCAAGTTGCCAAAAAGCTTCAAAAGCTTAGCAAAGGGCCCATATGTTTTCCGTCTATTGTCCGCGGTCAGAAACGCAATCCATGACTCCCGAATTGCTTGATTAGACCGGTAGTAACGCAGAAAATCACGAACACATTGCCAGGCATCATAGAAACCTGGGTCAACATCTTCACCGCAGACAAACGCCACACGCAGAATAGGGCTGGCACCCCCACGTGCAACACGCAAAGCTCTCATGACTTGTGTTCTCAACTTTACTAACCATGAGTCCCCCAGGCACACTGAACTGGATGCATGCAGGGCTCGAGGAAGAAGAGCCACTTTGATTGCAAGGAGTTTAAACCAAGGAGAGACATCAAGCTTTCTCAGTCGAGCCCAGAAGGGAAGAGTTTGAAGAATGCGAGTTTGCAAAGGACGGTTGAGATGCTTGGCAGAAAACTGCATAGTGGCACCGAGGTCAGTTGAACATTCCACCACCGGAAGGCCAAGGGATTGAAGAAACTGTCGGTGATTAGGACACAGCGCCCAGTACTGAGATTTTCGTGAGTCAACCCGCAACCGAAACAGTTCAGCCCAAGTATCAAGAGTAAGGACACCAGTCATAAGGGACCCAGGGGTGGTCGCAACCAATTCCAGGTTATCCACAAAAGACAGCTCATTGATGCCAGGCTGAAAATGGCGCATGTAATGGTGAAAGCTGAAGTCCAACAACACCATGCCCAAGCAACTAAGTCCATCACCCTCAGGAAGCCCACTGTCAGAAAAGACAGCATTGCTGGGTTCATGACGAACAAGAAAAGCACGATGCATTTGACGGAGAAAGGAGGCCCATCCTTGCACAACAGCATCAGCCACACCGAACCACCTAGCCAAAAACAGCACCGGGCCTCTTGGAATGAAATTGAAACACTTTTCAATGTCAAACATCCCACCACAAAGATTTTGTCTTTGACCAAGGGCAACTTCAATGGCAGTCTGAAGAGCATATGTAAGATCACGACAACTACGGCCAGTCAAAAACCCAAAGGCAGGAAAGGCAGCCAAGCCCTCAAGCTGAGACAAGTAGTGTCGAGAGTGCAGCGAACTCCAAAGACGATACCAAAGAGAAAAGAGAACAACAGGGCGAAAATTGGCAGCCTCAAAATTGTTCTTGGCCTTTTGAAGACAGAAGACATGCCCACGGGTGAGTTGAAGAGGCCACTCCCAACCAGATTCAACCTTACCAAAGAGGGACACCATGTCTTGAAGAACACAGTCAGGAAGAGCAAGCACATCTTCCTTCTGCCAACCGTCAGGTCCGCCTGTTTTCAGCGCAGTCCCTTTTCGCAGAGCCCTTTTGTAGTCTTGCAGACAAAAAGCAGCAGGCCGAAGAGATCCTTTGGGAACAAAAGCACGGGTAAACTGGACTATCCTGTCCCAAGCATCAGAGGGAACGTCCCCCAAGGCTTGCCATCGTGGAATCCAGAACTGCAGCAGCTCATCATGAATCGCAGCGTAGCCGTAGTATGTTTCAAAGTTTGGCCAGGGACAGGAAGACAATCCGATTCAAAAAGGCACCAAGTCCTCGTAGGAGGCAAAAAACCAGGACCAAACCACGGAGCAGGGGAAACGCATTCACCATTCAAAGTCCAACAACCCTCATAGGACTGAACGGGTGAGTCCAACAAAACTGCACCAGAAGGCGGATCAACCTCCACGATTTTGTAAGCCCTGGTGGAAGTCAGAAAATCCAATGGCTCAGGTCCATCCGGACGGAGAGTCCGGAAGAGTTCTTTAGGACGACTCTCACGCCTGGCTTTGGCCAATTGACATCTCTTACGTCGATGCCAGTCCTCCATATGATGATAGTTGTGACGAAAGTCATCATAGATCAGCTCCAACATTGCTAAAGAGTGGAGCCCAATCAAATGCAACGGACTGGCTTGAAGCCGAATGGGCCGCGAGGGCCACCACGCCGCAAAGTTGGGCTTAAATCCGGCCGCCCTCACCACTGAAGACCAGCATTGAGACTGGTAAGTGGCAGCATTGATGCCAGTCTTCCCACTACGACAACTGTGAACCAAACTCTGCAGCCGACGCAACTGACGATACCAACGACAGAGGGACAAATCAGGGAGGTAAAGAGGCATCGGGGCTTCACCAGGGCGATTTGGCTTGATGCGATGAATCAAAGGATTGCCCTTGCGAGCTTTGCGATGTTGGCCTCTACCACACGTCCCAGGTGGCAAAGTCCCATGCGGGGTAGCAACAAAACCAGAAAGGGATCTTTCGACTTGATTGGACCAAGCAGCAAAAGAAGCCGTGGTGTCTTGAGTCCAAGAAAAAGAAGGCCAAACATCGTTCATAACCTCATGCCAAGAGTCAACCCGAACCTGAGACCAAGGAATATGCTTAGGCTGAGGCCAATACCAACGCTCGAAGGTCACCGCAGGGAGATGGAAAAGACCAGAAACCACAGAATGGTCAGGGAAGATCCCACTTTGAATGTCAGTGCGGCGCCAATACTGCAGCAACTCAGGGGAACACCATACAAAGTCACGAATTGTGGAACCTTTGCAGGTGGCTTCACAAGGTTTACCATGAAGCAAAGTGGCATGAACCTGCAACTCCTGCCACCCTTTTTGACGCCAATACTCCATCAGGGGAAATTGATGAAGATCACAATTGAAATCACCCATGATGCAACGGGGTCCGCTACCTCTGTCCACAACCAGATCAGAGACAGCGGTAAGCAATTCACAGGTAAGGCCAAGAGGATCACGGAACGTGGGACTTTGAGCAGCCCCATAGACCACTGCTTGGAGAATAGGGGTCTGACCAACAAAAGAAGTGGCAGCAAGAACCCGGCCGGTCTCAAAGACAGCAGGCGGCCATTCAACATTGAGAGGCTGCGTAGGGAAGTCAGCCAGCAAACCAACACCGGTCCAAGAACCAGCATCAGACCCCACTGCACGGGCAGGTGCAGGGGCCCCAAAAACCGGGCGAAGCAATCGACCTTGGCTAAGTCCAAAGCCCTTGAGAGCCGATTTCACACCTTTCATACCTTCATAGGTCAAATGAGTTTCAGTGAGCCCCCAAAGACCAGAGTCCAAGGAACCCACAATTGGAGTCTTGTTGGCCAGCCCTGCCACATTCGCAGTGCCGAGCCGAAAGCGAAATCCATCGACCATCTCATCCTCAACGAAGACAGGGTCAGGGGAACAGGGACCCGGGTGTGAAGCTTCGCCAATTCTAAATCCATACGCCGGAGACAGAAAAAAGACAAGGAAAATCCAAAGAAACTGCCAAAACATGTGGCTCCAGGAAAGCAAACGTGGCACCACTTTCCCTTGCCATGATAGTCAATTGGTTCGAGGCCGCTTCCCAAGTAGAGATTCTAATCTTGCTGTCTGTGCCTCAAGTCCGGCCTTGAGTTCAGCTTGAAAGCTGGACTGAAGAGAGCAAACATCATTCTGCAGCTTTTGCGTCGCTGCTCCCTGCGTCATCAAAGCCTGCTGCAGCTCATCCAATTTCGCCTGCTGGGCTTGCATCTTGTGATCCATACCACAAAAACGAGAACCGACATCGTTGAACCAAGTCACAAATTGAGCGTTCTGCTGTTTGAGCTCTGCAATTTCTGCTGCCTGCTGTTGAGCAAGACCTGGCTCCGCTTCCATGTCTGCCAAACCAGGAGGAGGACTCTGATTGATGTGGGTCAGCTGATTCATAAGTCGTTCTTCCAAAGCCGCAATTCTGGAGGATGCAGTGCTGGCACGCCCCATAGCAGGTTCAGTGAACACAACATCTTGTCCATCTCCAGTGGCAGGTGTGGAAGCCGTAGGCTTGTACTTAGTCCAAGGGTCACCAGAAATCCAGGGGTCAACCTCAACAGACGACGCACCAGAAGAAGAAGGCAAAGACAACATATGCTTTCGGGTGCGAGTGGAAGCCTGCACCTGAATGGCCGGTTTCACAGTGGCAGCTTTGTCACGCTTCAAGGTGACTGTGACAGTACCGTGATCAGTGTGCAGGATGGCTGAAGGGGCAACCGAAGCCGTTCCAATGTCCCAGTACTGACCATCACTGGAGGAACGAAGTGGTTTCAACGGTTTGGCAATCCAATTCCAAGCTTTCAATAAGTCAGCAACCTGGGAATGAGAAAGTCCATGTGGAAGGGGCCCCACTTCATAAACAGAATCAACAGAGCAAACAACCACATTTTTTCCAGGATAAACCAGTTCCTGGACAACCTGCTCATGCTTCTTGTAGGCACGGAGTCCAAGCTTCTGCTGCATTCTGGCAACTCCAACCACCGTTTCATTCCTACGCTTGAAGTCCAAGGCTTGAGACAAAGACATGTGACGAGGCAACCAAACCACAACAAAGGAAGGATGAGCTCCCTGTTTCGAGTCAGGTCTTGGTTCAACAAAAATTCCATGCCAACCGCTCAGAGCCAGCACTTCATTCAAAGCCGACAGAGGAACCCGCAGAAAAACTGAGAACACTTGGGCTTGATCCATGGGAAGCTGTTGATTCTCAAGAGAGGCCCAACGCCAAGACCACACATCAAGTATGACTTGTGCCACTTCTTCGCCGCACGCTGGATGAAACAAGGGACAAACCCCAGAGCAATCAGCATCCGAACAACGACGCAAAGAGGGAACCAAAACCTGCAACATTTTGACCGGACCTTTGCAGAAAGAAGCCCAATCTTTGTCAAACTGATCTCGGTACACCATGACTCGAATAACCGCAGTTTCAAGCATCGCCACTGTAGGAGCAGTATCAACCTTGGCAATATAGACAGGGACATCCCCCAAATTCACAAGGCTACCCTTGACCAACACAGGTTCAGAAGTAGGGGTATACAACGCCGGCCACTGCAAGTTGTTGATCGTCAGGTCATCAGGCCCTGAAAGTTCACCAATGGAAACAATGGCAAGGGCATCAACGCTCAAATGGTTGGAAGCACGGCACAAATCCATCGCCTGTTGAACAGTGACAATGCAAATTCCACGCGCATTTGAGCCAATGTCCCGAAATCCAATGGGCATGACAGGCTCTTCATGATCATCAACAAAGGTGGTTGGAAATAAGGTCAAAGTGTCCGGTGACAATGCTAAAGCAGGCTCAGCTTTTCGACCAGGCTTGCCTTTCGTTTTCTTGGCTTTGGGAACCTGGCCATGTTCAGCGGAAGTCCGAGCAGCAATGTGGGATTGTAATTCCTCATAGGTAACCCATTGGAAAGGCTTCCCCAGGAGGTTGCCCGCAGATTTCAAAGCTTTCCAAGGTTCAGAGGCTTGAATGGCTCTTTGCACAGCACTTAATCCAAGACGCTGAATGGCAAGTTCCGCTCTGCTTCTGGCCTTTGCTGTAGGAACACCTTTGCTGGGAAGGAAGTTTTCCAGCCAGGTAATGGCAGCCTCAGCCTCATTAAACGGCCCAAACCCAACCCGACGTTGGAATGCCACAAGGTCAAGATGCCAATTCCACTGAGCATCCAAGGGAAACTCATTCCAGAGACCCAGCAATGCGCCAAGATGCATCAAAGCCACCGTCCCACAATCAACAAGCGAAAGCTGAGAAAAGCAACGCATGAAAGTCCAATAGACAGTGGATAAAGACCAGGCAACGGACCAAAGATCCACCAGTTGAAACAGAGCAACAGGGGGAGTCACCAAAAGTCCATCACACCAAGTGACACACAAAGATCCCAGACGAAAGTCCAAGCGGAAGCAAGTCCAATGAGAATCCACCAGCATGATCCCATACAAAGTCCAAGTGCTGCTTGTGCCATCACGAATGGCCTGAATGGCAGTCTGGGGCCATTGAAGAAGCAAGCTGTCAAGAGTGAACGGTGACAAGAAGGATGCCGCAGGCAAACCCGCACACGTGAGCAATGAAAGTCCAGCATGATGAATCATCACATCAGTTAATCCATCACCAGGCAAGCCAAGCATGCAACCAGTCAATCCACTGTCAAGAAAAGGCCCATAGCCAACCCTCGGAACAAGTGTCACTTCAGGCCCTGAAATGAGCATCAATGGTGAGAGAACCACACCATTGTCCCAAACATCCAGTTCTTCATCGGTACCTTGGAGATGGCACTCTGCATCAATTAGTTCACAGGCCCTACGTGGCTGATTGAGCGTGAGGGGGAAGGAACCATCATCCAAATGCACGGTCAGGACCCTTGTCTCATACATTGCTGCTGAGGGTTGCAGCCCATGGTGCAATCGAACATGTTGAGCGACCATCTGAGTGTGACAGGATTCAACCTCCGCAGCAGTTAAAAAGTCCAGCATTTGCTGCAAATGGCGCAGCATCCAGTGACTCTGAACAGGGGAGGCAACTTGACCAATCAAACACAAAGCCGCACGCATGTCTGAACCATAGTCAAGGCCAGCGGGGAGCCCAATCAAGACACAAGCTTCAAAAGGATGAAGATGACGCAATTCAATAGCGGACCATTGTGATAAGACCAAAACGCCATGCAGACCTTGTGGCCTAAGCAAATCTCTGGACAGAGCCCCACGACACAAACACGGGCAGGGTGAAAGCGGACTCCCCATAGAGTGCAGCAGGGTGGGACAACGCCCTGTCAAGCACAGCAACCGGTTGGCAGGACCATACTGAGGGTCATGGAATGCTTCAAATTCAACCTCCGTCAGTTGCAATTGCTTTTCCTGTTCAAAAGGCCAGGTTGGCCATGATGGGATAACTGACTCAACTGTGTCAAAGGTTGAAGTCAACGGCAGGTCAGGAATGTCAACATCAGGCATCCAACAAGGAACGATCAAACACCACCAACGAGTCCGGTGATTGGGTAAAGCACGGTGCAGGTGAAGAACTTGTTCCACTAACTTGAATCCACGGATTCGACAAAAGGAAGCCAAAGACTCGCGAACCACTTTGTTCCGGCCCGCCGCAACCACACATTCAAGCAACAAAAAAGCACATTGGATGAGAAAAGCCAAGTCCAAAATATGAAAGAAGGTTTTGGCACGGTCATCAAGAAAAGCCAAATGCCGACCCAATGAGCTGAAAGGTTGACAGGGAAATCCAGCCAAAAGTCCAACCCGGGTGTCATGGGCAAGATGGAAAAGTCCAACCTGATGTTTAGAAGCAAGGTCTCCATGAATCACTTCCGGAAATCGATTTCTCTTCAGAAATTCCACCGCAAGAGGCGATTTGTCCATCGCAGCAACAGGCTTAAGTCCACTTAGTTGAGCCCCAAACGAGGTGCCACCAAGTCCAGCACAAACCTCTGAACAAAGGAAAAAATCCGAAGGAGAGGGATCAGGCAGAGTGACATCCAAAGACTCAGCATCACCAGTCAAGGAGATTTGTTCCAAAGAGGCACCTGACAAAATCCAATTGTGCAACGCAATGAGTTTGCCTGGGGGAAACATGGTAGTGCATCGGATCAATTGCTGACCACCCACTGAAACCAGCCCTTCATCTGAGGAAAAAGCCAGGATCGAGACCCTATTTCCCACTTCAGTACTCTGAACAGGTTCCCAAGCAAATCTATACCCAACCATGGCAACCAACCCTCCGTGATCCGCTGACGTCGTCTTACCCCTGACAGGACTCGGAGCCAAGACTCTATAATATTATGTTTTACCATCCCTCCAATTAACATAGACCCTGCCAAATAGATTCAAGTAGGTTACCCAAAATGGGGATTGGACGAACCAATTGATGGGATGTAATGGGGATATATCTGGTGTGATGGGTTTGTTTGAGAATAGCGCTATGCCCGGTATGCCCCCCAGTTCTGAGTTGTTTTTTTAAAACGAGAATAAACATTGATCATAAATTTAAGGGGATATGCTGACCATATTATAGCGGTGGTAATATGATTTCATGCTTAATTATTGATCGCGTTCCCACTAAGAACCCCTATTGTGCTCACAAGTTTGTAAAACCACCCGCAACCGTCAGAATGAGGCGTGGTTTGTGCTTGGCTTTACCATACGGATCCATATCATTTACCAACTGGCTTTGCCATTTCTGGCACCTTGGGATTTTCCAATATTTTCCAGCCCTAGTGCTCCACACACATGTCCGCAGGTGGCAGGTTTGAGTGCTCAGCTCAATGAGTATCGACCCAGGTGGCCGCATTTATTGCTGCTGCAGCTGCTGCTGCATCTAGAGCAATACGGAGCAATGACGGTTTTTGTCTCAAGTTGGTGTCAGAATCTTTCAAGAAATGTTTTTTGATGACTGGGTTGGTCCGTTTTCCTGGTGAACTACAATGGAAACTGCTGACGATGTTTTGAAGAATTGCATGACCATCAAATCATGGTGGGTTTCAGATGCTTTCAGTGGTTACAGTGGTTACACCTTGCAGATCGGTCAGGCTAGCGGCTCAGTTGAGCATTCCACAGGAGCAGACTGATTGGAGATTGGGGGGATGCACCATTCTCAATGATCAGATTCTGTTCTGAAATAGAATGGTGGATTTTGGTGAGAGTCTCTCTGAAAATAGGCTATTTCATGCTATTTCCTCACGGACTATCATCATGTTCATCCCCAAGATTCAAACGGCCAGACGCATTCGTCGGGCGCCTTGAACGCAGGAGATGCTGATCATTGAAGGCCTCCCAAGAAAACGGAAGCAAGAAAAGGTGCGCGGTGGCGCCAAGTTCCCCCATGGCGTGACATGCTTGCGGAGTGTGGGAATGTTTGGGACCATTGCCGGGCCAACAAGTCTGGGGAAACCGGCTGTATGTGTTTTTTTTGTTTGATGGGAATAGATCAATCTAACCTAATCTAACCATCTATTTCTTGAAGGGTATCCAACATTGGCCGTCATGCATGCTTGATACATATCCCACCTACCTTGCCTACATTGAACGTTGTCATTCAAGTTGAAAATCTTGATATCGCAAATCCGAAGGCGTACTTAAATACAAGTATACAACTCTCTTTTTATGATAATTCACTCTCCTGAGAGTTGAGATGGAAGCGCAATGAGTCTGAATCATTTTCCTATTGGAAATGGGCATGATTGGTTTCCACGTTTTTTGTTTGGTGGGGGAGGTGGTCCATTTTCTGTTTCCATGGGTTTTTTCTCTTCCGTTGCCATCCGAACGCCAGGAATCGGAGGCTTGAGATACATGCGGTTTCTGGCAGGCTCGCCTGTTCTTTCCGTCGCTGACTTCATGTGCTCTTGGAACAACTCTTCAGCCCATATTGATTCTACTATGTGTTTGTGGGATTTGTTGAAACCACATGAAACCACAAATCCATACCAATCCTATGTTCCTGGGTGAGTCATAGAATTTGGAGCAAGTACTCCATGTTGTTCTGACTGCCCGTCGCTGAAGGTCAGGCAACCGAGAAGGATCTTTTATGTCGCGAGTCTCGCGAAAGCTTGTTTCACAAAGGGTCGAGTGGCTAATGGGTGTACAGTTGCTGAATGTGAGCAGCACAACAAAGCCATTTGCCAAAGATTGGATTCGGACTTCAAAGTTCAATTTATCTATTTGCTATAGTTTCAGAGTTGGTAAGTGAGTCTGCGCTTCCAGCTATGATACACACATATATAATATACATATATAGTTTCCAGTGTCAAATATCTAAGAACACTCGGCCTGTTTGAGCGCATGAATCAGTACCATTTGTTTGGCCCCCCAAAAAATCTTCAAAGCCCCCTAAAATCTTGACAGTTCCGAAAAAGCGTCCAACAGCAGATGGCAATTCCGAGACCGGATTCGTCAAGCGGATCGGGCTTCTCAACAGAAAAAGTGTTGATCTGTGATGGCCTGAGATTGGCAATTCGGGGTGTTTTTCTTCATTTGTAGGACCCCCCCCAAAAAAAATGTCAAAGTATATACTTATATAACTTATATATTGTAATAATTCCAGCTTATTATTTTGGCAGAATTTTATGCTATAATGAGATGAGCTTATGATACCATTCAGAGAGCCTCAGCCATAACACATGTGTTACTTGAGAAACCCAGGCCACAACAGCAAAGTTAGTACTGTTTGGTGGGATTTGAAGAGAGAATAGCGAAGGAGCCATGGTTGTATCCATATTCCCTATGAAACTTGGGGAGCCAAGGAACTGCAGTCAGCGTTTCGCAACTGCATAATAGTATTAAGAATTACGATATCTAAAGATTATAAAGTCAATATGATTGTATGAAGTTGTAAAATTGGCATGAGGTTGGTAAAGTACAAAAAAACAGCTTTGTTTTGTGACATCTTCCATCATATTCCCATGTCGATTGGTGGTGACGTGCTGCACATTGCTGCACCCCCAGATTGGACAAGAGGCAACCTTGTCCGGAAATGGTTGGACTCCCAAATATTCCGGAAGTAGATATCACTCACAATTAATTAACCATGAATGGGTTTTCCAGGGATTGTCCCAGATGTAATCCCGGTTTTGACTCATGATTTTCATGTGGGTTCTCAAGTTGAACCCACGTACCTGAGCTCCAACCGCGTCCTGCAATGTGAATGGCTCAGTCTCGAATGGCTTCGGCACCGCGGTTGAGGACATCTGCCGTGGAGGCAACACCGTTGTTTTTCCTTTAGAAACGGATCATGTTTGGGAGCATCTTACATCTTTGGGGCGGTCCGGTTGAAATCTTGGCTTTGGGATTGAACATGGAGCAAGTTAAGGTAGCCTCCAGACTTTCTGGGAAGTGTCATGGTGTTTTTGTTCTTAAGTGAGAACACCTCCGCCAAGTAACATAGCAGTACTCTTCCAACCCCAACTGGTAGCATGGTTGTCATGTTGGTTGGAGGGAGGGTATCTCAGCCGTTCTTGGCATGGTGATCATGGATTAATTCCACAGCCATTCTAGGGTGGTAACACGTTGTTTCGCAGCCATCCTCTGAAGCGTTCAAGTGCTGGGGTAGCATACAAACGAGGTCTTTTTTCTGCCAAGTTTGCGGGATTTTACCCAAAGGGTTTCTTGGAGGGCCTTTAACACACATGAAACAGACAAATCATTTTGCCCGTTTGATGATTTGACAACTTGACAATACTTGACATGTTTACCTGCTAGGCTCGGAGCAACTTTTTTCAGCATGTATCATATAGGATCATAGGTGTGCGGAAAATATATAGTCGTGTAAACACATCGTTTCATTCTGGGAACCCCTGTCACTAAATTTTGCCGAGATTGACGTGCCCTGTCAGGTACGTGTCCAGTTGCCTCCGCAGTATGGCTTTGGCAGGCCATGGGTGGAAGCTTTTGATGCTTTTGCAGTCTCACCTGGTAGCTACACAACTAGCTTCCCCCTTGGCCAAGGATCATACTATCCACACTGAATTTGTTGGCGCATGGTGTCGCAGCTGTTTTGTTGCTCTCAGCTGGCAGATTTCCATATAAACATAGGTCGGGATAATTACCAGCAAGTTAAATTGAAAGAGGATTGCTTTATAAACTCAAAAATCAGTTTCGAATTCTCTACATACTCAACGGGAGGTAGCCCAGCCATTTGGAAAGATGATGAAATGATAACATATCTATGCAGAGTATCAAGCCTTTTGCACCAATGACCACGTGACACCAAGTTGCCTGGGATGCCTCAGTGACCGCGCCGCATCGATGGGCCAGGGACCTATGCAGCTCGGCAAAAAATCCGATGTTCACCGATTATCATAGGGGTTATACAGTTATACCATTAGTTCTACTACCCAACAAGTTCAGACGGGTTACACCACCCCAAAAATCCAGAATATAGTTTAGCTATGTTTAGCTTAACAGATAAGATAGCCGTAGCTATAGATTGAACCCCCTGGGGCCTGGCCGTCCAAGGAATGCCGCTTGCACCTGCTGCTTCAAGCGCGCGGATGAGCACCAGGCAAAATCGCAAGCCACCAGGGATGATTCTCCGTGGATAGGTTAAGGAAAAAAAACTTACCAAAACATTAATGGGATAGAATGGATTACATCCTTATTGGATAGTGATTTGGGTATATGGTTTTACTATCCAAAGTGTCACATGGCAGTGGTTTTCTGAGTTCTCTAAGGAAGCGCATGAGATGGCAGCGATCAAGTAGTTCACTTCTCGAAAGCATAATGGTTAAGATGGTTAATCATAGTGAATTAGTGAATGATGGTTATAATAATGGCTGATTAACGATTAATGGTGGGTTTACCCCTGCGGTAATCAAACGTGGCTGGCTGGGAAATCCCTATAAATTGGAGCTTTATAGACTATAGATGGTGGATGTTGCATTCATGACATCATTCCCATGAGCAATGTTTCGTAATCTATTCCATTCCCATCATATTTTCACACCCCCATTGTATGGTCCCAACTAGGGGTTTCACCTGTACTACATCCAGCATGGTTTCTGGAGGTTGCTCAATAATGGGGGATGGGATTCAGCTACCTGGTTTATTAATAATCATGTTTATGGGATATTAAAACCATAATGGGGTGATAACTGACCAACCAGGAATGTGTACTATACACTTCATTGTGGCTATAATCCCATATCCAACCTAAGTAGATCTAAATACATATGTTGCCGTTTAATATATGCATAATGTACAGTTGAATATTATCT